GACACAACATCTTTGTTGGTATGTGGTGCTGAGGATCGAACCCGGGCCGCACGCATGCCAGGCGAGTGCGCTACTGCTTGAGCCACATCCCCAGCCCCCCCACTCTTTTTAACCAAAATGTTTCTGGAATCATTTTCAAATGCTTACCCGTCTTTGAAGTGGTGTCCTTTGTCTCGACTTTCTTAAATACAAGTGGGGGAGTAGGTCCTGCAACTTACAATGGTTATTTTATGCAGGTTATTGTGAATTTAGAATCCCTCAGTGCAAGTTCCTTTCTGAAGTGGGAGGTTCCTTTCTTAAACCAAGAATGAGAGTCCTGGCCTAATTAGCCTTGGGCCACTTTCAGCCCCCTGTGGAGTACTATAGATTATTTCAAAGGAAGAAGTAGGTTTTACTGTCCCTGAGGACACTTGGCTCAGCCTGACTCTCTATTCCTTCCCTGAATGGCTCCTCTCTAGTGAAACTGGAGGGTAAAGGCCGCCAGAAAATGCATCTATCTGCATTTATCTTCCCTCTGTGGAAGTAACAGAGCTTCTTTGCTAGCTCATTTCCATACTGAGATGATGCTCAGGAACCACCCTGGTGGGGCGACAAGAGCAGCCTAGGAGTGTATTTATAGAACTATGGGCTAATATTTAGAGAAGTAATACAGCCAACATTTATTAGGCACCTGCTGTAAGCCAGACACCCTCTCCCCTACCCCCTACTGCACTGAGCCTGGAAGCCCCCTGCAAGCCAGCTGCTTCCACAACTGAGACTCAGCCCCACTCAGCCTTGGCCCCAGGCACGCTGGCCCCTCCCGAGGTTCTCCTGGTTTCCACTTCAATCCGTGGGCCTCAGTTTCTTGCTTTGGAGACAGGTTGTTGGAGGGCTGCGGTGCAGGCTTCCTCCACCTGGGCTTTCTGAGGCCACATGGAGCACCACCTTCCTGCTAGGAAGATCCTCTCCCCCTCGAGTCTCACCACCACAGCTGCTGCCCCTGTCCCCTGCCAGCCCTGGTGTCCCTGATGGCTGGAGGACCCGGAGCTGTACAGAAAGCCCCCAGAGGTCCTCGAGCTCACGCTGAGATGCCAGCTCAAGAGCAGGCAGTGCCCAGCAGGACAGGGCCTTGCAGAAAGCACAGAGGGTGCACAGGGCTCAGGTGCCTCCTGTCTGGGTGGGAGAGGCCTGCTGTGAATGGTTATCACTTATTCATGACTAGCACCCAAAATAGCTTGTTACAACTACCTGACAACTCCCACCTGGAGCTGGGTGCTGTTTTTCCAGATTCTAAAATTATTACCCTGTCTCCATAGACTGTGTTCAGCTGAAAGAGAGGCCTGCTTTTGATAGCCCAAGAACACACCAGTTCCCCACGCTGAGGGATCACAGTGAGCCCATGCTCTGGTCAGTGCTGTCACGGTGCTTCTTTTTTTTTTTTAGTAGTAGATGGACATAACTTTATTTATTTATTTTTATGTGGTGCTGAGGCTTGAACCCAGTGCCTCCCATATCCTAGGCAAGCAGGATACCTCTGAGCCAGAGCCCAGCCCTGTCACAGTGCTTCTTGTTACTGCGGCATGATTCGGGTTCAGCCCTCCTCTCAACACCGACCTGGAGCAGGATGAGGTCCTTGGACTTGCACATGTCGTGCATGAGTTCAGATGTGAAGCAGGAACCTAGCTGACTGGTGAGAGGGCAGGGGGGTCTGCCCAGGGCGGTCCTGGCAGAGGAAACAGGCTGTGCAGAAGCCCTGTGTTGGAGGGTATGGCAGGTGCCAGGACACAGGACACAGTGCTGGTGGGGCTGAGTGGGGCAGGCGACCAGGCGAGCCTCTGGACCTGTGGGCCTCCGTCCCAGGAGCATGGAGGTATGCAGTGTGAGCAGAGTTGTGCTTGGGACGAAAGCATGGGTGAGGGGGTGCACACAGGGAGGTGCTGAGGAAAGGGTGTAGCTCGAAGAGGGGAGCAGATGGGACTGGCCTGGCTGAGCCAAATGCCGCCCCTGTTCCCTGTGCAGGACAGCTTTGTCGCTGACTCAGCCTGGCCTTGGAGAGGATGAGGGTGAACGTGCCCCTGGCCCTGGACAGAGCGCCTGCTGGGACAGGGATGAGGACGCGAGTGCTGGGGGACACCCCACCCTTTCTTCCTAAGCCAGCCTGCTGCTGTGGGGAGGCACCGACTGGGCCCTGAACGCCCACCTTCACCCGCTGCCTGGGAAGCCGACAGGAGGGGCAGGACCGCGTGTCTCTAGAGATGGTCAGCAGGTCCTTTTGGGTTGTGTGATTCCTGACCTGGGTGCAGAGGGACCGGCTTCTCAGGGGATGTGCGGTGCTGCAGGTGGCCCTACGGCAGGGCAGCTGCACAGCTCGGGTGTACGCGGGGTAGGGGGTGTCCACGGGGCCTTCTCCTCTCCTCCCTCGGAGGAGGACTGTGAAATGCATGACCTCAGTGTGGAGCAGCACTTCATGTCCGCACAGGAGAGATGGTCCATTATGAAAATCATTAGGTCATCATTTATACATGAGTGTCCTGAAGAGAGGAAGGAACATTGCCTGGATCAGGGAGAGAATTAACTCTCTGTGGATGGGCCATCTGTCCCCATGCTGGCAGAGAGCTGTCAGTGACGCAGGCCCTGCATCTCTGAGGCCTTCCATTAAGGGCACATTGTCACTAGGAATGATGGCAGAAGTCTCCCCAGAGACAGTCAGCCAGGGCTTCAGAGCCATCTCCACAAAATGTGGCCTGGAACCTTCTCAAGACTTAATTTTCTGGACATGGAGAATGAACTGTAGGTGAGGAGAAGTTTCGGATCCATGAATTTACCTCAGGGAAAGTTGCAGATGAGGCTCTTCCAGCCATGGTCGGGTAGCCCGGTCCTGAGGGCCTCTGCCCTGGCTGCCGCTGGAGTCCTGGGGGGAGACGGCAGAGCTGGGTGTCGCACCCCATGGGGCCGGTTACCTGCCGCAGAGACAGGACCTCATGATCAGAGGAGGCCGGTGTCCAGACCACACTGCCTCTGGGGAGCAAAGGACTGTGAACTGTTGGGGCCCCAACGGTACAGAGAGACCAAGCTGGGCGCTCGAGGTAGAAACTGCAACGTGTGCTCTTCTGACCCAAGACGCGCTCTGTGACCTTGCCACTGCAGCCACAGGAGGCCACCTTCGTCTGCGGTGGACACCCTGCATCTATCTGGGCCTTCATCCACCACACCGACCCTCTGGGGCTCCGTGGTGAATGCTCCACCATGTCTCAACCCCCAACGTCTCAGGTACTGAGGGGGCATGGCAATGAGGTAATGAGGCCACCTACTAGCGGGCAGCATGAGGGTCTTGGGACCTGTGGGGTTCCACTCGGAAATTAGCGCCTGGGCAGGCGGCCCTGCACCCCGGGAGCTTATTGCCACGGCACAGAAGCCTTGCTGCACTGCCAAGAGACTGCCCCAGCTCTGCCCAGCAGCGTCCTGTGTGCTTCAAACACCGCCATCATGAGCCACCAGGCAGCTCCGTGGGGTCAAGGCCTGAAACTCAACTGGAAGTTGCCTCGTAGGCTCCCTGAGGTCAGAGTCTGGTTCCTCTCCACTCCTCTGAACTGCGCTGACGAGAGCCTCCTAACACCTGCCTCTTCTACACAACAGTGGAGACTTCCCTTTGGAAGATCCTAGAAGCACAGCAGGTGACAAGCCCTCAGAGCTCGACTGGCCTCTCCCATTAGTCTCTGCTGTCCCTCGTTGTCTTTCCCTAACTCTGATGTCCTCCTGTTTGTCTTTATTGTGGTTCTTTTAAGGGTGTGTCATTTCCACTTCTCCAGCTCTGGTGACTGTGTGAATTGTGTGCTCCATGTTTTCCAGCTTGCCCCCGGGGAGGGGCACATGGCCTCTGTGCCGAGTGGCCTGTGTGAATGGAGTGCACACCTGAGGTTCCAGTGACGAACCCCTCTTGGCTCCAGAGCCAGAACGGGAATATATTGCTGGCCTTACAATTAACAAAGAGCAGTCGGTGTCATCCAAAGTGGTGACAGCCTGGGTGTGCTGTCATCTCCTAAACCAAATGCTGAGTTGTCATGACGGGATGGTGCCCCTCATACCACCGCACAGATGTTACACTCTGGAAGCATTTGAGAAGTGGCAGGTCCTGTAGGGAGGGTTCTCTGGCAGAGCAAACCAGGAAAGACGCCCGTGCAGACCTGCTTTGCAGAACCATCCGGGTCTGCAGGGCTCGCTCCCAGGCTCCCAGCCCACATTCTGTCCTTAGCACTCTCAGTGTTTTGCAAGGCATCTTGAATTACTTTGCTAGGTTTTCCAGAAAGATTGACTTCACCGCATTTCTCAAGTTACAGTAAGGCAGAGAATCAGGCCCTGAGTGAGCCTGGGGTGGGGAGGGGGCAGGGACTAGGGACAGACCCCAGACTCCTGAAGCCACCATGTGGCCCACAAGATATTCCCAGGAAGGGCCGGGCTGCTCTCAGCTCTGCTCACTGCAGGGGTGTCCCTCATAGTTCTGCCCACTGTTGCCCAGAAACCTGGCCAGCTCCGGGTGCCACCTGAAGGAACCAGCAGCCTAGTCCCTGCACCATGTGCTTTGGAAGGCCGAGTTGGTGCCTCCCTCTCAGGAGCTCTCCCAGCAGCACTTTGGGTCAGTCCCTGCCCACTGAGGCCAGATGTGTAGAGCATGGGACTTGGAATCGGGACCCTGGATTTTAATCTCTACTCGTCCCACACTGGCTGTGGGACCCAGGCTTGCTCATCCACTCCCCACAGCCTGTTTCCTTCCTAGGATTGTGAAGTGGCCTGGACCCCCTGGGGTGACTCTGTTCACCAAGCCTGGTGCCACTGTGCACATGGCGAGGCCTGGCACAAGGCAGGTGTCCTGAGAGTGGAGCTCCAGCCCTGCACAGGGGTCACAAGACATAACAGCCCTGAGGGCCAGAGCCCCCACAGGCTCTGCCTTCCGGCCCCACCTCCTGCCACTGCCCCAGGACCCTCATTATGGAGACAGTGACCAAGGTCTGTGTTTCCTGCAGGTCACCTGGATGTCAGCATGGCAGCCACGAACCTGGAGAACCAGTTGCAAAGTGCCCAGAAGAACCTCCTGTTCCTGCAGCGGGAGCATGCGGGCACGCTGAGGGGGCTGCACGCGGAGATCAGGCGGCTGCAGCAGCACTGCACGGGTACCTCTGGGCACGCAGACGGGACGCGCCCTGGGCCGCAGAGCCCCACAGAGCAGCCTCAACATAGGGGCCCCGCTGCAGCCAGCCGCCCTGTGCTGTAGCGCTCAGCACTGTAACAGAGCCCCCTGGAATGCTTCCCTCAGCACAAAGAGCAGGAAGCCCGAGGCCTGACTTGGGATCCTGGGGACTGGCAGGACTGGCTGTGGCTCACACCGTAATCCAAACAGAGCCTGCGGGACACGTGGAGCGAGCTGCTCCCAATTTCTCACTGTTGGGAGGTGGCTGGGGCAGATGGGAAGGAGGCTTTTGGGGAAAGCAGTGTCCCTGAAGCCCAGCAGGCTCAGCACTATTGCTGTCACCGGTGGCTCCTAGAGCCCTGCTTGCTCCGCAGAGCTGAGGAATGTGGGGAATGGCGAGGAAGCTGATGTGTGAACTTTCCTTTTCAGATCTGACATATGAGTTGACACTGAAGAGTTCTGAGCCGACAGGTAAGGGCCTCCCTAAAAGCCGGTGGGTATCATTGCCTCTGCTGCACGTGGGTGCCGCTCGTTTCCATCCACCATGTGCCTAGAGCAAAACACAGCTCCATGGAGGGCTGCGTGTGTGGCCAGAGCTCTCAGTTGTCTGTGGGGGGGACAAGTGAATGGATTACCTTTTCGATGATGGCGGTCACGATAAAGACGGCCCAAGGAGGGGAGTCGAGAGAGAGCAGATGACACGGACAGGAGGAACTAGCAGTCCAGCCGGCAGTGTGCATTCTGCTAGGCAGGGAGGAGCAGGCTTTAATGGGGGGTAGAAGGGTGGGGAGCAAGTATCCCCGCACAGGGTGGGTTGGAGGAGATCAGAGAGGAGGCAGCACCCAGCCAGGAAGCAGCAGGGGCAGGGGGCAGAGAAGAGACATGTCCACTGGCCAGCTGACAGAGGCTGTCTGTGAGCCAGGAGGGAAGGAAGAGCAAGGAGGCTGTGGAGTCCCAGGTGAGGGCGAACTGGGGACGTGCAGACCCAGCAGAGACAGGCTGTGCACATGTCTGTCAGGCTTTCACAGAGGCCGTGCTCTACCCAAGGTGAGTTTCTCAGTCAGCATCTAGAAAGAACCAGAGAGCTCACATGCTTCCCAGGGGCCAGATGGCATGGGAGTGGGGTGAGGACACTGTTGTGACACTGAGTCAGCATGTATGAAGCAAAGCTTGAGGGTGGAGGGCAGGTCCCTAGGGGCAGGCTGTAGCCGCAAGACAGTGCTAGGGTAGGGCTCTACAGGGGCGTCTGAGCCTGAGAGGAGTCACACGGACCCCTGGCCAAGGAGATGCAACGGCCCAACTTCCCTTCTCTTCAGATCAGACCTTACTGAGTTAGACTGGACAGTGCTCTTGACATTTCAGTTTCAAAACAGCACTTTGCAGCAGGCACTTGACAAGCGGTTCCTGAGTGACAGGCAGGGGGACCTGGTAACAGCTGAATCCCTAGCCCCTGGTGAGGCCAGTGCTCTGAAGTGGCCCACTTTCACATCGGCGTTTTCAAGATCTGAGACAGGCTTCTTGCAGCGAGCCCGGGGACTAGGAGCCCCGAGGGCCGCAGGGAGCCCCCATCTGTGAGGGCAGGGCCTCCCGCCGCCTGGCCCTGGCGCTCGCCCGCCTCCGTCCGGCTCGCAGGGTTCTCACTTTGGCCCCCTGACTCCCTCGCAGGAGACGGCTCTTCCAGAAGCGCTGAGCTGAAGAGACGATGTGAGGACCTGGAGGCCCAGCTGAAGGCCAAGGAGGATGAGAACAGGCAGCTGCTAGAGGAGCTGGGGCAGAAGAGCGCCCTGATGGCGGTGCTGGAGAACACCCTCAAGGAGCGGGAGAAGAAGTACCTGGAGGAGCTGAAGGTGAAGAGCCACAAGCTGAGCCTGCTGTCGGCCGAGCTGGAGCAGCGCGCCAGCACCGTGGCATACCTGACCGCGCAGCTGCACGCTGCCAAGAAGAGGCTCCTGAGCTCCAGTGGCACCTCAGACGCCAGCCCAGCTGGAGGCACCCCGCTGGCCAGCTACAAGCCCGCGCCCCCCAAGGACAAGCTGCCCGAGACACCGCGCCGCCGCATGAAGAAGAGCCTCTCCACCCCGCTGCACCCCGAGTTCGAGGAGGTCTACAGACTGGGGGCCGAGAGCCGCAAACTCCTCCTGCGCGAGCCTGTGGACGCCATGCCTGACCCCACCCCGTTCCTGCTGGCCCGGGAGGCGGCCGAGGTCCAGCTCATCAAGGAGCGGCCGCTGGTCATCCCGCCCATTGCCTCGGACCGTGTGGCAGGCGGGCAGCACAGCCCAGCCCGCGAGAAGCCGCACAAGGCCCACGTCGGGGTGGCCCATCGCATCCACCATGCCAGCCCCCCACAGCCCCAGCCAGAGGTGGAGACGCTGGCCGTGGACCAGGTGAACGGAGGCAAGGCAGTGCGGAAGCACTCAGGGACGGACAGAACTGTGTGACCGTGGCCCGCACTGTCCACGCACCATGAGCGCCACAGGGAACCCCACCGCACCTTTTTCTTTACCTCCCACGCATGCCAAATTGTTTTCAGACCTGTCCACCAACTCTCCTGCTCCTCCTGCCCCACGCTGCAGACGCCACAATACGACCGTGTCCTTGCTGCAGAATGCATAATCTACTAACGCTGTGGCCACAACCCACATGCCCAGCCGCTTGCTTCCAAGCCCACTCCGTGTCGTCCAGGCGCACTCGTGGACAGGCACCGGCCACAGGATGCACACTGCGCCACGTCCTCGGAGCAGACGGGCACGCGCCTGAGTGTACAGCCAGCCACGCACAGCGACCTCGACCACCCTCCAGGGCAGCCTGTGGAGCAGCCGCTCCCTCTGGAGACCCCGCACCTCCCTCCTCCTCCCCCGGGCGGCACTTGTCACCGAGCAGCTGTATGTAGATGTCCAAAGGAACTAAATAAGATGACGTTGCTCTTCATGTCACCACAACCTGAATGTGTGTTCATATTTTTTGTTAGTCTTACCCAAAATGTTCCAGATCCCAACAAACTTTATTTTCTAAACCTGCCTTCCTTCTGTTCTGTGTCTTTTATTAAACCACCTGGGGGAGGGCCAGGAGGGAGCCCGGGTGGGGGAGAGAGCGCCCATGGTTAAGGACAGACGTCCTGCTGCCAGGTGCCAGTCCCTAGAGTTCTGGAGAAGCTACTTTTGCCTTTTGTCCAACTAGCTGTCGGCCACCCCTCCCCTGGTGAAAAAGCAAAGCTTCTTCTCCAGCTGGGCCTGGAGCCAGCCTCTTGGGCCCAGAAGGAAAGGGCACCAATGGCCGCTGGTCCTGGAGGTGCTAAGTCTGCACCCAGCCGTGCACAGACCCAGTGGGTTGGGCAAGGAGCTCGACAGCCCCACAGACCCAGCAGGCAAGAGGGCGCTGGAGGGGGGAGATGGCCGCAGGTGACTGGCTGTCACACACTGGGTGTCATGTGCATCAGCTCACGGGGGCACTGCCTGACCCTCAGTAGCCTCAGCCCTCTGGGCTGACACCTCTGAGAGAGGCCCCTGCTTGGACAGAAGCCCCTGTGGGAGTCAAATGAGGGGCTCACTCTGACTCTTAGTGTGGACTTTCTCAATACAGAGAATCCTTTAAAAAGCAATTTGGGGCTGGGGCAGGGGCTCGGGGGTGGAGCATTTGCCTAGCCTGTGAGGCCCTGGGCTCAATCCGTAGCACTGCATATAAATAAATAAAGGTCCACTGGCAACTAAAAACAAATATGTATATATTTTTTAAAAGCAATTTAAAAAATACAACCATTGAGTTAATTTAATGCAAAAAGATTCAAATACTGATTTTAAATGAAAGGAAAATCAGGGTCATCCTCCCTGCCCCCAAGGCCCCCCAAGGAACGACAGGACTGAGGGCTCTTCAGGGAGCAGCAACACTCAAGACTAGAACTCACGCATTGCCCTGGTTTCCTTCACCCCAGGGTTAGTCGCTATTCAGGGTGAGGCAGACCCCCTGCAGCACCCAGTGAGAAATGTGCCTGGTGGTAAAGAGGTCGGCCTCGAAGACCAGGCCGACCCCCATGGCGTTCCTTCTCATGGAGGTGGTGTAGACGGGCGTCCGGAAGGTGTTCTGCAAGGGAAGGGCAGGTGAGCAGTCGTGGAGGAGGAAGCTCAGGGCTGGAGAGAGGTTCAAAGCTGGGACCTGGCCCAGGCCACATAGGGGCTCTTGCAGCCCAACCAGATGCAACTACTTCCTGCCTCAGTGTCTGCAGAATTTCACAGGAAGGGAGGAAGGAGTCCCCACACCTCAGGTCTGAACTGCAGCCTGACACCTGTGCCCGTGGCTATTATCAGGTCCCCAAGGCTTCCCCAACCCCACAGAGGTTTCCAAAGGCCTGACTGTGGAAAGCACCTCATCTACCCCCAGGTCAGAAGGGAAGGTGCTGGAGAGGTAGGAAGGCTTCACCTGCAGCTTCAGGCGGTGCACCTCAATGGGGATGATCTTCAGGATGGGCAGGTCCACAACCAGCACCTTGGGTTTGCTCTTGATCAGACATCCCCTTTCTATGTCCCAGTCAGCACCTTCTAGGTATAGTCCCGAGACAAAGCACCCTGGAGACAGTAGGGACAGGCCCAGATAAACAAGGAGGCCTCCGCCACCCTGCCAGTGGCCACTCCAGTGGTCACGCAGGTGGAACAGGCACACAACCTCTGCCCCGCCTCCTCACACATGCCTGGAACACAGCCAGGCCTTTCTCCATCACCTCTGCCCTGCCTGCCTGCCTTTGTAAGAGGAACAGTGGGCCACAAAGGAGTGGGCACAGGGCGGGCGCGCAGCCTCAGACCACCATGGGTGCTCAGGCTGCAGAGTTGAGTAGCACCAGGTCAGAGCTGGCAACCCAGCTCCTGGTGAGCCACAGCGGCTAGGGAGCCACAGAGAAAGTGCTCTCTGGGGTGGCAGGCACATGAAGAAGACAATCCTTTGGCCCCAGAGAGTGGCAGCCAGACACGTGCCTTGCCTCTGAGCCCTGGCTGGGCTTCTGCCGCTGCCACCTAGGAGCTGCACCTTAAACCCCTCTCATGAAGCGGCAAGGGGGGTTCACTCCTTGCAGTTAAATGGCCTCTGGCCAAGGCCCCAGGGAAATGTGATTTCAGCTATTATTTTCATAGCAGTACTCAATGTCTTAGGGATCTGAAATCATGGTATAATATAATGGTTCCAACAGTTAGCCCATACTGCCCTCTGGCTCCCCCTGTCCCTGGCCCCTGGAGGTTTATAGGGAAGCCACCCAGTGACCTTTGCAAGAACTAATTCTGACCTAGGAGCTCATTTCCCACAGGCTAGCATCGTGCCCAGGCCTCCCCTGACATTAGCTCCAGGGCTCTCAGGGACACAGGTACTGGCCTCCTGGGCAGCAGGAAAGGGCACACAGACACAGCGATTTTTAAACATGGCCAGCCCATCGTGCCCCATACTGCAACTGCCCTTTGAATTCTGGGTGGCTCTGGGGGAGAAACCCCAAATAAGAGGCCAAGACTCCCTAACAAGCCAACCGTACCTTGTCCTGCCCGCTCATTCACCTCTTCTGCATCTTGGAACTTGGTCACTTGTGTGAACAGGGTGGACCGGTCCAGCGGCCAGCCGTTCTTCCGGCAGGTGGCCTGCACCAGGGCTGTGAGGTAGGACTCTGGGATTTGCAGCCCTGACAGCCACATCACAGGGGGCTCACCCTCATTGACCTGGAGAGAGGCAGGCAAGTGGTAGGAGCCAGGGCCACTGTCAGACGCCAGGGTCAGAGCTGGTCATGGAGGGTCAGCACAAGATAAAAGATGTATTCCACCTTGGCAGCAAATTGATGGTTCTGGCTTTGGTGGCCCACTGGGGAAAGGAGCTGGACCGTCACATTCCAGGTGGGTTCAAACATAGCCACAGAAGGACCCAATCAATCTCCAGTAAGGTTCTCATCATCTTCAGGTGGGGAGCCCCAAGCCCAGGCACCATTACAGGCCACTGATGTTTGACCACATGAAAACCTAAAACTCTTCTGTGGAAAGGGTGCCACAGTCAAAGTCGAAAGGCTCTGGACGAGCTGGAGGAGCACGTACAACCTGGCGCCCAGAGGCCAACTCCTCTGATCCACAAAGAGCCCTTCAACACCAGCGGAAAAGATGGAGTCCTCAGGAACAGCACAACTGAGAACCAAAACACAGCCCAAGAAAAATAAACGCAGACTGTGCAGAAACTCGTAAGATACACTCAGCCCACCACAGCTAGAGAAATGCAGAACAAGACAATCCACAGCAGTTTTCACCTGTCAGGGAGGCAGAGACCCAAAATATAGGTGGCTTCCCCTCCTCTAGAAAACCTCCTGACCACCAAAACCTGAAGGCACGGTCCTCAACCCTTCCCCCGCTGGAATGGACTCGTGAATACACTGGTGTGAGCATCCACAGACGTGCGTGCCAACATGTTGCACAAACACACCACCAGAAACACGGGAAGTGACCACCTTGACGCCCATCAGAAGGAGAGTGGATGCCGAATATCTGTGAGGCGTGATGCCTCAGTTCCCAAAAAGAGCCAGTGGGATTAGGGTGTGCTGGGCCAGAACGAGGCTCGAGGCTCACCCAAGACGGGGTGCCCAAGTGAGCACGGGATGCTTCAGAGTCAAAGACGACGCAGGAAAAGAGCCCCACGTGCTTGTGGGACCCAAGGACATTCCTGTGGCAATATTAACTCCTGCAGAGGTTGCTTCTGGGGACAAGGGCGGGGAGGCGGCTGAGGGAGGCAGGGTGGCTCCCACTTACCCACAGCGTGTACTGGCTGAACCGCCGCAGGAAATAGATCATCCAGTTCCCCAGGGACTTCAAGGTGTCCGGGGCCAGCTTCCTCCAGATATTAGGGATATGCCCAATAAAAAGAGACCTGGCGACATCATCTAGCTCATTGCTCATTCCGACCTCTCCAGCCAGGGCCTGTTGCGGAATCGAGAGCAACAGGCAGACTGCAGCAGAGATGCAGGAGCTGCAGGCCAACAGCTGGGCACACAGGGAGCAGCGCTCACCCTCTGAAGCTCCGCCAGAGACTTGCTCATCCGCGTCACGAGCTTGTTGAAGCGCCCCAGCTCCTGCAAGAGCACCACCGCGGTGGGCGTGATCCCTACACCCAGGTACTTCCGGATCTGGTCCAAGTCGAACACCTTGGGCATCTTGTTTTGGATGTCCTTGGCCACCTGGCTGATGTAATCATCGCGGCTGATGCCACTGCTGGATTCCCCTAAAAACCAGGACAAGTTTAGGAAAGCGAGCCATCTGGGTGGAGGAAGGCACGTCCCAAGCCCCTTAGTTCTTGGGAAGGCATCAGCCATGTGGGGAAGCTAAAAAAACCAACCAGGAGCCCCGAGCAGACGCCCAGGCCCTGACCAAGTTAAGGAGCCCCCAGAGCTCACTTACCCGTCTGTGGCTGCAGCTCCAGCAGGTGGGCCCACATGTCCCGAGCTGCCTGTGTGTAATACCCAATCTCGGCATTGGAATGAAGGCCAAACACCTCAGGTGTGTTGGCAAGCGGGAGCGCCTCGATGGCTTCTGGAACCCCAGAGAACGGAGGCTGTACTGTCACCTGCCCTTGTTCCCAAGGGCCCACAGCACCCAAGTTCCCAGACGAGCAAGACTAATTTCCACGACTGAGTGGGCCATGTGTTTTTAAATAAAAATCCCAAACCAGCATGCATAGCAGTTCTCTGTTACAGAAATGAGCTGTGAGCTTCCCAGGGCTGCTATGTCCTTCCAGGTGGAATCAGTGACTGCCTCTGCAGACTAGGAAAAGCCCTCTGGGCTCCTAGCAGGCTGAACAGACCCCACCTGACCAACCAGGATGCCCCACCCCTGTCCTGATCAGAAAAGCCACCAAGACGACCTTAGGAAAGACAACTGTTGGAATTTAGGGTCTCCCCAAAAAGCTTTAAAAATAGCTTTCATATCTGAGAAATCTCACCAACAAATTTATCCTTCACATCACCAATAGGGATTTTGTAGTCCACCTCCTTGTTCCGGAAGAAGTGGAAGGGCTGGAAAGTGTCAAAAATGAAGTCTCCCAGGTACTCGTCCATGTAGGTGGTCAGAATGCGGCGGTCGAAGCTGTCGATGGCGCGTCCTCCATACATGACCTGCGGCCAGAGCCCGTGAGCTTGGGGGATGCACACCCCACTGCTGCACCTGGGCTCCTGGCTCCAGGGGCCACTGGCTTGCCACAGTGAAGACCCACTCGGCCCCGTGAGTCTCCTGCCAGCTCAGCCCCTGTGCAGCTCCAGCCCATGGGTGCAGAGAGTTTGTCTGCAAGACGTGCAGTACCCCCCTGACTTCCCAAGGGCAGAGACCAAAGTGAGGAGCATCCTCGGGAAGGGCTGGACCAGTATGTCCCTGACAGAGTCCCCAACGCACGTCAGACAAACAGGGAAAAAAAAGAAAGCAGCCACTGTGTCTTCAGCATTGGGGCCACTGTCTGAACCAAGTACAGGCCACCAAGACAGCTTCCCAGCCACTCCTGGAGGGCCATGGTTTCCAGAGCCCAGAGCCCAGGACGAAGGTGCCCGTGCTGTGCCCAGGTGTGGCTAGCAGAGCACTGCTGACACCTTGAGGAAGCCTGGCATGAGCCCCGGGCCATGAATCTAGCTCAGGAAACCCCCACGTGACTGCAGGTCACCGAAGACAGAACAGCTTGGTGGCGAGTGGGGGTATTTCACCAGGACCTTAGGGGAGGGGAACAGAAGCAGGAAGGGATTATCCAGGGCTCCCGGCCACGCACAGGGGCTGCTTCCCCAGGATCTCCTACCTCCCCGATCAGGTACTTGAGGCTGCCCCAGGGGATCCGAGGGTCCTGCTGCTGGAAGGCTTTTGTTAAGTACGTGTTCAGAATTTCCATGCAGACCTTGAGAGAAAAGGAACAGGCGGTCACAGTAAACTAACAAGGCCTCGAACCGAGCCCAGACGGCTGAACAGCCCGCGTGGGCCAGCCCGGGAGCAGGGGCAGGAGCCGCAGCCCCGCACGCTTGCCTGGAAGTCGGACTCGTTGAAGTCGTAGGACACGTTCCAGCCGATCTTCCCGAACTTCCTCCTCTCCTGCACCACGGCGTGGAAGAAGGCCAGCACGTAGACCAGGGGCTTGAAGGCCGTGTGCGGGCACTGCTCCAGCATCTCGGGTGAGATCTTGAAGTACGTTGCCCGCATGTTCAGTTTGAGCCCATTGGGTGGCTCCGTGACAACCTGCAGAAAGGACGAGGAGGCAGACCTAGATGGAAGCCATGAACCCGTGGACGCAGCTCTGAAGAGGGGGCAAGCCAGAGGTCATGGCTTGTCCTCCTCCCCTCACAGCAAGTCCCTCGTCCAGGGCACAGGCAGAGAAGGTGCAGGACAGGAGCTGGCGGAGAAGCCCACCCCACTCCCCCCGAAACCCAGATCCTCAGCTGTCAGAATGAAAGTTAGGTCTTCCCTCCACCTGCCCCAGGAAGGGAGATGACGAGACCTCCCTGAGAATAAATCCACCAGGTGCATAAACCACCGAGACCTCCCGCCACTGCTGGGCCCTGCAGGCTGCCATGGTCTGTCCTCAGAGATAAGGGGAGCTTCAGGACACGTGAGGCTCGTGACAGCCACCAGACACCACCAGAGCACTTGCAGGGTGGGTCAGGGAGGCAGGTCACAAGCCCCACCTCCAGCACTTCCTCTGGAGAGGCAGAGATGGGGCCAGAGATGGGGCACCCAAGCACCCCCCAGCAGACGGGCAGCCCTCTGCCTGTCCTGCAGACCTTTAAGGACTTCTGCAGGATCCCAATGGGGAAGTCCCTGGTGGGGTCAGTGGTGAGCCACAAGCGGAAGTCTGGGTGGGGCTTGGTGATCCTCTCCAGGGACTTCTCCAGCTCTTTCAGCCACTTGACCAGAAGGTGGCAGTTCTGCAGCATCAGCCACTGCCCACGAGCCACCGCTGTCTCCAGCAGCTGCAGGGCCACCTGCACGGAGGGAGCGGGAGGGGAGCGTGGGCGTCCCAGAGCCACCAACTCTGCCCACAGGCAAGGGGTGCCCACTCCACAGAGGACAGCGGAGCCAGCGATACCAGAGCAGCTGTTGGAGACTCTATCTCCTTGGGGTTTCCTGCAGCCACAGCCTGTAGGTCGTGAGCGCCCGCCCGGCCCTCATGGCCTCCCCGGCCCCAGAGCACCAGCTTCCCACACAGCTGCACCTGGAACTCCCTGAGCAGGCACCAAGCTCCACCACCCGCCAAGATGGGCAGGGCCCTGAGTAGAGAACAACCCCAGAGCCTCCCAGGAGGAGTTCAGAGGGAAAGCAAGCCCCCCACTCAATAAAATCTTGGTTTTTGAAATGACTTCAAACTGACGTGATGGCTGACTTTAAAATCGCTTCCATTGGTGGGTGGCGCCCACGGCTCCTGACACTGTCACCTCACAAGGGCTGCCAGCAGCAGCAGAAACATTTGCCAGAGCCTCGCAGACAGACCACAGCAGAGCTGGGACCTCATGTGTGACCACCATGCTCACCCTCCAGCTCCGTCCCATGCTGCACTGCACTTGTGGGGCAAGTTCTAACTGGGTGTGATGTGGTACAGGACCCAGCAAAGACTGAGGCAAAGCAAGCTCAAGGCCCCGAGGACTGGCAGCCATGCCCCTGTTCCATCCTGCCCAGCGCGGTCCTGGGTGCGGCACCCCTCACCCACTTCCTTAGCCAGGCATCACAACAATCCTGATCCCAGGGGTCATGGCAGGGATCCAGGGAGAGAATGAGTGTGAGAAGGCTCTGACAACAGCGGAGGGCAGGGTCTCTTAAGGAGGCGGGATTCCAGCTATTCATGTGGTCACCTTCCAGCACTCTATCTCTGCCCTGTGGTGGGAAACCATCAACCCAGGTGTGGAGGGGGCTCTCAGCTTACATCCCTAAAGGAGGCCAGGATCTCACCTAAACTGCCCTTGTCCCTTCCAACCACAGATTACCTTTTCTTGACCTTGACCCATTGCGAGAAATTTGAGGCGGTTTCCTCCAAAACCAGTCCTCTCGGCTAGTTTCATGAGGTCGCTGGCAGGGTCGGAGCCAGGACTCAGGATAAACACAATGGGCGACATGGGCGTGCTCTGCTCAAAAATGCCTTCAAAGCTGATCATCGGGGGCTGCACATACCTGGGGAAAGAAACGAAATTGAAAAACCCTCCCGGAGGGCAGCCCAGGGCCAGGGTTCACCCATCTGATCAGTGCCATCTCTCCCAGAGTCCAGAACTTCTGACTATTGCATGGTCCTGGTTTGAGAATCTAGTTTTCACAAGCGTCTCCATGGTGGATGGTTAACTGGGGACAGGGGCTTCCCCGGCTCCCATTAGCACAGGGCATGTGCATGTCTGGGTGCCCTGCCCTGCCTTCCAGGTACACGTGCCCCTGGCACAAAACCTGAGACTGCGGTCAACAGTTCCACAGGCAGGCCCACATCTGGATGGATTATTTTTTTTTTAATTAGTTGCTGCTATATGGTTTGGATACAGTCTCTCCCCTAAAGGTTCACGTGCTAGAAGCTTGGCCCCCAGTGTGACGTTATTTTGAGGCTGTCGATGCTCAAGAGGTGGGAGCTCCTTCCAAGAGGTCAGGTCACGGGTACCACCTCTGGAGGGGGTGAACATAGTTCTCCTTGCAGGAACCAGGCACTTCTCACAAGAGGGCCTGTTGTAAAGTGAGGTCCCCCATATGCTTGGGTCCATTACCATGTGGCTGGGTCCCCTCCTGCCTGTCTCTCATCATGACACAGTCAAAGGGGCTGCTGCAAGATGCGGATGCGATGCCATTTGGACTTTCCAGACCCCAGAGCCAAATCAATCTCTGTTCTTTGTACATTACCCAGCATCTAGTATTTTGTTACAGCAATTCAAAATAGTGAGTTGCCAACACAGAAAGAAGGGGAGATTCATGTTTAAAAAAAATCTGAATTTCTAGCTCCTTTCAGAGATTTAAAGGTTCAAATCACTCAGCCCCATTGCCACCTGCTATGGACAAGAGCTCAGGGCAGCTGCCCCTGTGGCCCGGACTTGACTCCAGTTTGCCCCAGTGCCCCCAACCCCACCTCATCCCTCATTCCCACAGCCCGTGGGACACAAGGGCACAGCTACACCTGCAACCTGGAGGGATCTGTCTGGCGCCACGCTCAGCTTGGAGCTGTTTGTCTAGTATGGTGCCACCAGGCGCGTTGGCCACTGAGCACCTAGAAGGTAGCTATCCCCTGACATGTGCTGTGGCAAGTTCACCCAGGATTTTGAAGACTAAATGCCCCCCCCCCAAGCCTATAAAAATCTCAATGAGGTTTATATTGATTACATGAAAAGTTAATGCTTTAATATATTCAGTTATGCGTACTACTCATATGTCGTTAGTCATTAATTAAAAATAAAATATCAAAATTTCATCTGTTTCTGTCCAAGTGTGGCTACTGGAAAATCAGAAGTGAAGAGTACAGCGGTGTTTGTCCTGGCAAGACCCTCAGCCACTGCGCACAGACCAGGCTCACAGTTCTCTGCTTCCTGGGAGTCCAGGTGGAGGCGATACCAGACATCCCAGCCACAGGAAGGACCACAAAAACAGAAGACACACTTACTTCTCCCCCATGATTATGGTCACATAGTCTGTCACCGCCCGATACACCCGGTCCACACGGAAACAGCGCAGAATAAGCAACCTCTGGAAAGGAGTGACGCGTTTATCGTAATTCAAGGGAAATGGGAACTGCTCTAGCGAGTCCAAGTCGTACCACTGGGAAAAGCAAGGAAAAAAAAATCATTATGACATCAACTCAGAAATGACGTAGGCCACCATTACCATGAGAGGGCCACATCTTTTTTTTTTTAAATTTTTTAGTTGTAGTTGGACCCAATACCTTTATTTTATTTGTTTTTATGTGGCGCTGAGGATCGAACCCAGGGCCTTGCATGTGGCTAGGCGAGTGCTCTACCACTGAGCCACAACCCAGGCCACCACATCCCATCTTGAGCTTTAATTTTCTAAATCAGAACTGTGAACATCAGAAAGGGAGGAACCAGGTTTCCTTCCCTGTGGTTTTCCTGGTGCCCATCCAGGGATGCGGTACCTGGCAGATGCTCAGTCAGTGTCTCCTGGATGGACAAATGGATGGATGGAGGGAGGGATGGGTGGGTGGATGGAGAAATGGATGAATGGAGGGATGGGTGGATGGACAGCAGAATGGATGGATGGAGGGATGGGTGGATGGACAGATGGACAAATGGATGGACGGATGAATGGACAGACAGATGGACGGCAGATGGATGGATGGTCCTTCTACCCAGCTAACTGAATTGAACAAAGGAGAATTTCACCCTGGAGTGAGCGGGCATGGACTACACTCTGAATGGGGTTTTCAAAGGAAATTCTCACTCCCAAGGGGCAGGTATGGTTAGCTGGAGGTTGCTGGCAGATGGAAAAAGGGAGAGAAGATGTGGGCTCACCTCCTGCCAGAGGGTGATATTATCCTCCACGTCACCAGGAAGCTGCCCAAAGTTATTGGAAAACATTTCTGATAGAAGAATGACATCCTCCCACCCCTGGTCGGACAACCATGGGCAGGGCTTCTTCCTCTGGCTCTTCTCCAGGGAGATGTTTCCTGAGATGAGAAGAGAAGCGAATGCCCTGGTGCTGCCCATGCCCAGCAGGCAGCTCAGCAGCTGGGCTCCTCTGGCTTAGGGGGAAAGTCTGCTTCCCAAGGAGGCAGGGTGGGCGTCCCTGTCACCAACAGCACAACAGTATTGCTGCGCCCCCAACCCCCAGGCAGGGCAGATGCTGTGAATAGAGCCACAGCCACTTCAGAGGCCGGAGTTACCAGCAGGAGCATTTAAGAGGCAGCGAGCGGGTGGTGATGGCACCTGTTATAACCAAGGAGCCCTGTGAGCCATGCTGCCGAGGAGAGACTGGGAAAAATGAAGACAGGCGAATAATTACCTTTTAAAAAGAAATCCAATTCTTCCTGGGGGATTTTTCCCTCGGCTTGCTCTATCTTGATGGTCATATTGAAGGAAAAGAGTAACTTGTGCTTCTCGAACAGCCCTGCAGAGAGACGCCACAAAGGGTGCTTCTAAACCACCTGGGCAAATGCGGGAGTCGGGGCGGACCCTAGGCCTGCAGGGCCTGAGGGGTGACTCTCTGGCCCTTCACAGAGAACATCTGCCGACCTGTCCCAGAGACACAGGCTGAAATACTCACAGATCGATGGTCCCAGTAGGAAGCTGAGGGTCAAAACAGCCCTGGCTGGAGGGGGTGTGGGAGGACCCTTAAATGATTCTACTTTTTAGATTCAAAATTTTCCATGACAAAAAGTTTTTAAAAATTAGGAGGTGAAAATCAGGAATGCCACTTTGGAAAAGAGTTTAGCAGTTCCTTAAAAAGCTAAGCAGAGCTACCACGTGACCCAGTACTCCCACTCCTAGGTATACACAAAATCTAGAGAATTCAACACATGTTCAGGCTGGGAGTGCAGCTCAGGGTAGAACACGGGACACTCATAACACACAAACACACACACACACAGGTTCACACAGAAACGTGAATGTGAATTCCACAGCAGCATTATCCTAAGAGCTAAAAACCACGAATAGCCCATATGTCCATCCACCAACAAACGGACACAAAATGCACCCTACCCAGACAAGAGGACAAGCATTCAGCCACAGGAAGGGTGGATCCCGCTACGGACTTCCAAGTGGACACACCCTGAAACTGTGCTCCGTGAAGAAAGGAGAGCCACCCAGTGTGTTCTGTTGATGTGAAATGCCCACCAGAAGCAAATCCACGGGCTCAGAAGGTAGGTCAGGGGCAGCAGGGTTAGGGGAGAAGTGGGTGTCGAGGGGCAGGGGTCTCATTTCTGGGCTGATGGAGTAAACAGCGGCCATGGCCACACAACTCTGAATCCAAAACAGACTGTGGACTCCTCCTAGGGCATGAATCACGGCTCTCTAAAGGGCTGTTCCAGACACTGGCCTCAGTAAGGTCTCGGTAGGTGAAGTGTCCGCACACCTGCCCCGGGGCAGTGGGGGAGGCCTCGCTCACCTGTGCAGCCGTAGTTGTAGATGTTGAAGGTCAAGGTGTCCATGATGTTCTTGAGCCGCTTCATGAGGATAGAATCTGGCAGCGATTTCTTCAGGGACAACCCGAAGACCTCCAAGAAGGCGCTCAGGGAGTACTGGTACATGGAGTTCACCAGCGCCATCTCGGACAGCACGAAGAACAGGATGGCCCCCCTCCTGGCCGCCGGCCGGTAGCCATCCCGCAGCCTGTCAATGTCCAGGGCTGTCTTCTCCGCCAGCTTGAGCTTGTCTGATACCTGAGAAAAGGCCCAAGTTATCCTGGACACAGCCAGGAAGACCCAGAGGACAGGGCAGGGCAGGGGAGGGGACGGCAGAGAAGACCATGCAGTGCTTGTGGAACCCACAGGGGCCCAGGGTGTCCTCTCTCCTAGGAGACCTGGTGGGCGTTCGTAATTGAATGGCCGACTAGAGCCCCCGGTTACAGCTGCTGGCTTCCACTTGGAGACTCACTGCCCCCTTCATTCCACAGGAGGGCTCCACCCCAACTCCACCCCGGGTTGTTTTGGGTGGTTTGGTGACTCTCAGGACATTCAGGACAGAAACAGGAAAAGATCCCACTTATGCCCCTGGACTTAAACCTGGGAGGACATGAGGCCACACTCATGTGAGGCCAAAGCTGGCAGAGAGTGGAGACCAGTCCAGGGGTGAAGAAGAAGGGACGGTGGCTCTGCCCTGCCCGACTCTTCTGCTTTCTGAGCTGATGACCCTGCTCTTGACGCAGGCCAGGTAAAGCCAGGTTTCTCCCGCTCTCCACTGGAGGGTCCCTGGGGCACCGTCATGATCCCCCTCCCTGCAGCACACCCTGTTAGACGAGCCCCTCCTCATCAGCCAAATCCTCAGAAGAGTCAGAGCCAGAGCCTGCTGAGTGCTGAGAGCCCGCCCAGCTTGGACCCCCCCCTCCACGGCCAGTGGCGCACACCTCCGTGGCCTTGGACTTGGTGTCCTCCAGGGTCTGCACCAGCTCCACGTTATCCAGCATGTTCCCAGTGGAGGTGGCCAGTTCCCGGAGGAGGGAGTCCTCCAGGTCCTTCAGCAGGTTCTTGTTCTCACTCGTCTCCTGGATGAGATGCTCCCGCTGCTCCTCCAGCTCACGCCTCTCGAAGGCCACCAGCACGCTCAGCAGCTGGTCCTCCAGGCCCTTCAGTGTGACTGTGGGGACAGGGAGTGGCCCTCACATCTGCACCCAGCTCCAGGCCTGCAGCACCTCTCCCATGAGAGCCCAGGGCAGGTCTGAGACACAAGGACGCAATGGCTCCCCGCCCAGCACAGAGGCCACCTCTCCTCCTCCAGGTGAGAACACCTGACTCCCAAAGGCCTGGGGCCTTCCAGGTGTCGCCCACCCGAGAGCTAACCCTGAAGATGTGCTTATGAAGGAACTGTCCAGGGTCACCAGCGAAGAGCAGCCCAGGAAGGCCTAGAGGGGACTGGTCTCAGCGGGAACCCCCTAACCTCACCAGGCTCCATCTGCTCTTACCGGTGTAGTTGATGACCATGGCCTTTCCAAACACCGATGGGCTGTACCTGGGGTTGGCCAGCTTGGTGTTCAGGTAGAGCCTGAAGTTGGAGTCGTAGTCGACCTCCTTGTCCCCCAGGATGATGAACTGCCGCCCCTGCGTGTACTTGATGTTTTTTTCTAGGACATTGTCAATCACAGGGTCGATGTACTCATCCACATCATGGAAAAGAAAAGGGGTCCCATACTTGATGGACATCTCCAGCTGTTTCAGAAAGTCGGAGTCGTTGAAGGACGCCACCTAGAAGACAGGGGCAGGAGCTGAGAGCCGCACACCTGCCCTTGCCAACCGTGAGGCCAAGCGCTGCGCCAGGGGGTGACTACACCCAGAAATGGAGGAGCCAGGGGCTGCAGGAAGAATCAGGAGGGAGCAAAGACCAGAAAGATAAGGACACAGGAAAGCCGAAAGCCATTAACTTGATCATGAGTTCAGCAGGACATGTCGGGCCTGGGGACCCTAGTCCTGGGTGCACACCCAGAGAACCCAGGATACTCATCCCTGGGCACAAACGTGCGCAGCGACCTTGTTCAGGAGCCTCAAAGCAGAACAGCCCAGGGCTTTTCAGTGGATGGATGATAAACCAACACAGCATGTCCACCCTGTGGAGGGACTCGGCCATGGGACAGGCAAAGCACTGTCACAGGGGCAACATGGAGGAACCTCCAGGACACCAGGAGGCCAGTACTGCAGGAGCCACTCACACGACAGGGGCACGAGAGGCGAATCCACAGAGGGAGACACCATCATGGTCACCAGGGCCTGGTGGGGCCAGGGCAGGGGAGGGCTCAGCGGGGCCATCACCAGGGGATGCAGCATTTTCTCTCATGGTGACAAGTCTTCCAAGGCTGACCAGAAACTGTCATGCAACTCTGTCAACGCACCAAGCCCGCCGGGCTGCACCCTTTACGTGGGTGAATGGTGAGGTGCGTGGGTCCCACCTTGGGTCAAGCTGCTGCTCCCACCCCACCTGCGATCACGACCCCACCCAGGCTCCAAAAAGCAGCGAGGGAGTGTTGAGGGCCCATCCCAGGAACGCACGGGTGGGCAGCGAGGGCAGCCACATCAGGCCAGGGGGGCGGCGTCTCGCTTGGCCTGGGCCGGGACGGGGCGGGGCGGGGACCAGGCCTACCCGCAGGTTGTTCCCCTCCTCCTTTCTCTTGATCCAGTTGAGCGCCTGCTGCTGGGGGTCAATGCAGAGCGGGAAGCGGCTGGCCCGGGTGGTGAGGATGCCATTCTGCACGGAGAGTTCGTCGGGGGGCAGGCCCTGGGAGCCCCACCTGAGAGGGACGGCCAGAGGGAGACTGACCTCTCCCACCACACTGTGACCCAATGGCGAACGGAGATGGGATGAACCTCCCAGAACCCATCTACTGACCCTCAGGCTGCTCAAGCCTCCTCAGAAAGCTGCCGTCCCCACCCAGGCAGACCCTAGCCTGATCCCCTCCAGCCCAGGGGCACCCCACACCTGCTGATCTCAACGTCATCTGTGAGCAGATTCTCTAGTCGGAAAGGCTGGCTCAGGGGGATCTCCCGCCTCAGGATGTCGCTCTGCCACACCTGATTGACCATCTCGTCCCGGAACTCCCAGGTGAAGGCGCCCTCATAGCTCAGGAAGGCCGCGCACAGCAGACAGTCCCCCAGCAGCTTCACCCGCCGGTGCTGGAGCTCCTCCAGGTCTTTCAGCCACCTGGTGGGAGAGGAGGCTGCTCTGAGGGCTCCCCTCCCAGTCTGCGGATTCCTCTAGATATTCCAGAGTGCGTGATAAGTCATTCTAGACTATGGTTTCCCTGAGGTTAAGGTTTAGGAGAGGAAGATGCTCATTACCTGATGTGACGCACTGAGCTATGCTACCACACTCCACAAAGACGTACAAACCTGTGTCAACTTCAACAAACACGTTTGCTAGAACAGGAGGAGGAGGAGGAGGTCGTTTAAAATCAGAATAATAAACAGATGCATTTTTCGACTGTCATCTCATGCAAGAAGATTCCAAAGAGGAGCAGATAAACGAAGAGTGGACCTCAGTTCTCCACAACTAAAGAGGCACTAAGAACAACTATAAGAACATTCCAGAAGGACCCGCTCAACAGAGCCAGCCAGAGGGAAACATTTTTAGGGAGACTCTTTTCTCCTATAAAGGGAGCTTGCCAGCATTTCCCTGCTCAGCCCGCCGGCATTTTGAAAGGCAGGTTCAATTCCAGGACCCTGCACAGCTGGAGCTCCGGCAGGGGCTCAGTAAACCTTAGTGGGACTCTATAATCTCAACCTGTTTACCAGGTGGTAATCCCACTGCTTCAAACCCCTTGATTCAAGACAGTACTAAGGCCAGCACAGTCAAGAGCTCAGGTCCTACCTGGCAAGAGAGTTCTACCCAGGACCCAAGAGAGCGAATGCTCCACTTGGCCTCTTACAGTCAGTACCCAGAGTCTTACAGGTTTTAGGGATACTGGAAATTGTTTCCCAGAAGCAGAAAATAGTTTCCAGTGCTTTATACATCACACTTATGGATGCCAGATTAGAAACAATCATCCTGTCTCATGGAAAAGCATGGCCAGTCTCACCCACAAATATCAAACAGCCCCACCCACTTCAGATTGAGCCTAGGACCGACAACAGCTGTACCCTTAAAAATTACCTCTGCAGTGACAGAGGTGGGCCCCTCTTCTCATGTCCTTTAGAGGCACCCAGGGGTTAAAGGTCACCAAGAAGTCCACATACCCTAAACCTCGGACAACTGCTGGATGCAATAGTTTTCTCCAGGTCTCTGACCTGCACTGGCTCCTTCAACCCTTAGTGGGTGACTCCATAAACAGCCCGTCTACAAAACGGCCCTCGGCCACCTCAACCATGACAACCACAAAACAACTCATCACGTGGTTTTTCCGATGGAAACACAAGGTGAAAGGGAGAATCCACAGGGAAGGGGATGGTGCCCACCAAGTCCCGTGGGGCCCTGCTCGTCGGGTGGGACAGATGTGCAGGCTGACCTGACGTTTTCTGATCCTAGACCCGAGATGAGTTTGTCCGCGGCAATCAGCCGCCTCTCCATGATCTCGGCTTCCTCCTGGAGCTTCTGCTTCTCGAGGATGGCGGCCTCGTACTTGGCCCCCAGCGCTTCCAGTTCTCTCTGGATCGCAGCCAACTCATTCTGGATCTTTTCCAGTTCCCGTTTAGTGAGGTAGAAATTCCGCTCCAGCCGGGCCACCTAAGTGAAGACAAACTGCAGGTCATCTCAAGGGACCATGGGGGGCAGTGGTCAGAGGGTTGCGGACCTGGGCAGTGTCCACACTGCACTCCTTAGTAGTTCCAACCTATGACTCTATGCCACATTCAGACGTGAGGCTTCTTTTCTGAGTTACCCCCTCAAATGCCATCTGCAAAAGTTCTACATCCCTTGGCAAAATGACATCCTGTACCCAGGACAGCAGATGGCTGGATCTTCATGGGTACTGAGGTCATAGTGAGAGGACACTGTGGTTCTGAGTCAAAAACTCAAAAGAATACACTGGGAACCAGACTGGGCTTACTAGTGGTCCTAAGTTTTCTGAGTAAAAAAAAATTCTGCGTTAGAAAGCACTGTCAAACTAGGACTCAAAATGAAGAGCTCGGCCTGATCTCGTTGTTTCTAGGGTTCTACATGTTATTTCACCCCAGTTGTTCTCAACTGGGCTGATATTATCCCCCAAAACACGGCAACATCCAGAGACATTTCTGGATGTCATAGCCTGAGGGCAAGGCCAGGGACACCACTACACATCTATGAAGCACAAGGTGGCCCCTAAAGAGCGAGCTGGCCCTCCCCCAAAGCCCAGAGCCCAGGCTGAGGAGCTCTGCTCCGCCCTGAACAGTGACACGGACACCTTCCTCCCACACTTTTGGCAGGAAATTGGAAGACCTTCCACAGCCGGCCATGTCCACTCCTTCGACGTCTAAGCAAGCTGGATTTCAGGGCCACCATGTACTGGGGGAAATGTTCACAGGTTTCCGAATCTGCCAGAACTCTCCCAGCAAAGCTGCGGCCACGTCAATCCTGACTCTAAGACGTTGTAGACGGTGGTGACTGGTCTCGAGGCGGAGGGGCGGTTACCTTTTCTCTCTTGGGCTTGATCTCCCTGAAGACATCACAGTAGCCCATGACGGCCTCCACGAACTTGAGCATCCCCAGACCAGCTTTGCTCACGGCCTCCATTTCCTCAATCGTGGTATTGAGGGTCTTCAAGAGGCCTAAAGTCAAAGACCCCAACCCCACAGGCTTAGCATTGGGGAAAACAAAACCGGAAATGAGCCTATTGACAAAGGAAGGGAAACTGGCTCCTTATTCCTTGGTGACACTGGAGTTGAACCCAGGCAGCTCCATGGGAGCGGCAAAAATGAGTCTCACACACATGGCATTTAAGATGTGTGTGGGGGCACAGCCACTGCTGTTGGGATGTCCCTGGACCCAGGGGCCTCCGGGTGACACTCAGGAGCCTGGGAACCAGCGTGTCAAGGGGTCTCATGACTGAGCACACGGTGACCAGGCACAGGCAGCTGACTGGGACTTGGGGGCCACTCTGGCCTCCACCTGCACCTCACCCCAGGTCCTCTCCCCGAATGGAAGCCACTCACTCGGGATCAGGCAGAGGGTACACTTGGGATTGGACACTCACTGCTCTTGTCTGTGTCTGGTTGCTTTTGCTTCTAATGGGGTGAAAGGAGCCCTTGGCGTTGGGTCTGAGGGGACCGTGACAGTATGAACCTGCACTGCTTTTTATACAGCTGTCCTTCCGCCTAACCGAGCGCGAGAGCCGAGCGCCCGGCAGGGGCAGGAGTCAGCCCAAGGGAACTCGGTGTCTGTGAACCAAGGCACAGTGCTGGCTCTGGGAGACATTGTCCCCTCCCCACTGCCTATTCTGAGGGGTCCATGGAGACTTTACTGGGGGGAGTCAAGGTTAGACCGTGTGCACTGATGGGACACACAGAGGACAGGCTGGGCCAGTCCCAGCAAGATTGTTTCCTGCTGCCCAGCCAGCCAGGCAGGGGCCATCAGCTTCCTCTCTCCCTGCCATTTTCCTCTGGGGACAGTCAGTAGGCTGTCCACCTGCAGGACAGTGGTGACCCTCTGATCTCAGGGAAGGCCTGCCCCTGGTAAGCCCCCTGCCCTGCTGCCCGTCCTCTATAGGGTGGGGGCAGCCCTAGCTGGCCGCACATCCCCACACTCACCCTTGATGCTTTTAACCTGGCTCTGGGAAATGGAGTCGAAGTCGAGCTCCATCAGAGACCGCAGGAAGTTGGGGTCGGACATCATGCCTTTGGCGGTCTTCCAGTTGAGCTCCTTGTAGCCCTTTATGATGAGGATGCACTCGCACACCGTCTGCACCTGCCTCGGGGGCTTGGCAAAGGACCTGGCAGGGATGGGAGCGTGTGTGGGTCTCATGGGGGTGTGGCTGGATCTGGCCGGTGCTCACTCCAGGAATGAGTCTGAGAAGCCAAGGACACCAGGTCCCCCCCACACACACATGGGGTCCTGGGTAGGAGCTCTAAGGGCAGGGACAGGCCCCCTGTCAGGTTGGATAAGGCTCCTGGAACCCAACTGAGCCTCAGAATCATGGGGGTGGGGACAGGCATTAAAATACCAACCCAGGCCACCCTGTGCAGCCAGGTCCATAGGTTAGAGCAGAGTCTGGGAACTTGCCTTTTAATTACACCCCCCATGACTACTTAGATTAAGTGGTGGCTGCATCACTACTGTCTTTATCACCATCAACACCATCATCTTCCCGTTTACTAGGTAAGAAACAGGCTGTGGGCACTGGACCACCCCGTGTTCACACAGCTGGGCTGGAGCTGGGCCCACGCTCTGGCTCCTCCAGGATTTGGCCCTCATTGACGTCTATGGCCTCAATAGACTTACCTGCTTCTCCAGCACCAGGCGCCCTGAGTCCCCCAGAGAACCAGAGCCCAAAGAAACAAGAGACAGAACAGCATTGGTGCAAAGCTCCAGCAGGGCCCAGCAGGCCACAAGGTGACTTGCTGGTGCCGGGGCCACCAGGCAGCTGCAGAAGGTGCTGATCTCCAGACAAAGGTGTGAGGAGACAGCGAGAGGAGTGGGACGCAGGAGCCCAGGAGGGGAGAGGGAGGAGCAGGAGCCCAGGAGGGGAGAGGGAGGAGCAGGAGCCCAGGAGGGGAGAGGGATGCAGGAGCCCAGGAGGGGAGAGGGGGGAGCAGGAGCCCAGGAGGGGAGAGGGATGCAGGAGCCCAGGAGGGGAGAGGGAGGAGCAGGAGCCCAGGAGGGGAGAGGGATGCAGGAGCCCAGGAGGGGAGAGGGATGAGGGAGCCCAGGAGGGGAGAGGGAGGAGCAGGAGCCCAGGAGGGGAGAGGGATGCAGGAGCCCAGGAGGGGAGAGGGGGGAGCAGAAGCCCAGGAGGGGAGAGGGAGGAGCAGGAGCCCAGGAGGGGAGAGGGAGGAGCAGGAGCCCAGGAGGGAAGAGGGATGCAGGAGCCCAGGAGGGGAGAGGGAGGAGCAGGAGCCCAGGAGGGGAGAGGGATGAGGGAGCCCAGGAGGGGAGAGGGATGCAGGAGTCCAGGAAGGGAGAGGGATGAGGGAGCCCAGGAGGGGGAAGGGAGGAGCAGGAGCCCAGGAGGGGAGAGGGAGGAGCAGGAGGGGCATGGGCCTCAGGAGGGCCTGGAAACAAGGTGTGGCCTGGCAGGTGCCCAGACTCCAGTGTGGTGCTCTAGGAGGCAACCCCAAGGAGGTGGGGAAAGAGGGAGAGCTGGAGGGGGGCCAAGCTGACCAGAGAGCAGGCTGGAGACCCCATCCTGGCAAAGCCCCCTCCCAGACCTTGCAGATAGGCCAGGACAGAGGGGCATGGGCTCAAGGACAAGCCAGGGCAAGTGTGGGGCAGGGGAGGGGCAAACAAAAGTCCAGCTCTCAGCCTGTGATTACAGTGATGACCCTGAGTCACCAGAGAAGGGGTTGATTCTGCTAGCGTTTGCTGCTTACAAAAGCAGGGGACACTGCCAGCTGGCTTTGAGAGGTCTCCTCCAGGCCTGGTGAGAGCCAACCCTGGGCCACTGCTCCCAGTAACCAGGGAGGCAAGGACCAGCAAGATGTTTCCAGACATAAGATGGAAAGAGCCGTGGCCCAAGTGGCCAGGTCCTGAGCCCGTGGGCGAGTCAGGGCCCAGCCAGAGGCCTCAGCGTTCCAGCCAACACAGTGGGGACGTGGAACCAGGCCCTTCCAGCTCCAGACTCTGAGTCGGTGAGGTGCCAGGTGGCTGAGATGTCTGAAAGGCTGAGGCTGCAGATCAGAGTAGGATTCCCTTCTTCCTCCAAAACAAACTCGGGGGTGGGGGAGATAAGACTATTGCTGCCCTCCTGAAGAAAGAACCATCGCAAGCCCCACTCCCCATATCCCCCTACATTACCCCAGGCTCGCCAGCCACCTGCTCTTCCCTGAGCCAAGCTCTCACCACCTTGGAGAGCGCCCCCTGGAGCCAGGAGCACAGACTGCAGGCTCCTGTGGCCGGGCGGGACTGCCTGGCCCAATGCCACCAGCCCCAGGGCCTGTTCAGGGTGGCAGGAATTGGATCCAATGACTACGGAATAAATGGAAGGAAGAAAAGCACAATCATAAGCCAGCGACAAAGGGCACCTTTATACTCCAACAGCAGAGAAACATCCGCTTCCAATCTCCATTGCTCCTCGTCTTCCTGGCTTAACGTTTAGTTATTTCTACAAAGGGGATTGAGCATTATGGACAGGAAGTGCCCTCCAAGGAATTAAGGTTATGAAACTGTCAAGATGTAAGTGCTGGCCCATCAGGCTTGCCATCCCAAAGACCTAACGAAGGCCAGACTGCAGTCATGGGGGATGGAGGGCTGGATTCAAACTCACACAGGACCCCGGCAAACAAACAAAAAACCCAAATAGATCAAAAAAATTTTAAATGAAAAAAAAACTGAACCATAAAGGTACAGAAAGAAACTGTGCTTTGTGTCACCATCTGACAAGAGCAAGGCATTTTAACTGACAGGATATTAAAAGGAACAATATAGAATACTGCCACATACACAGCAAAAACAAACACACACACACAAACCTTGTTAATAAAATCAAACAGCCAAGACAAACTAGAAGATATCTGCACTCATTGTATGAGAGGATAGCGAATCCCTGTCATACAAAATGCCATTTGGGGGCTGAGGGCTAGCCCAGGGGCAGAGCAGGTGCCTAGCTTTCAAGGCCCTGGACTCCATCTCCAGCTTTGCAAAAAAGAGAAAGAAAATCCCCTGGAAATGATTAAGAAGACAAAAGCAACAGTAATAACAACAACTTCACAGATAAACAGAACACGAGACAGCATTTTCCACAATGAAAAAAAAAAGGCCACCTCACGCTAGTTAGAACCACACAGATGCCACTCTCCACCTACAAAAGCAGCAGCAGAGATCCAACGTCAACAGCGCCCTCTTCTGGTGAGGGAAACAGGCCTCAGGGGGGCTGGGGAGCAGCAGGTCCCCAGGGCCAGGCATTATGAACCACACCCACCGCCAGAAACACACCCCGTGGGGGGCTTGCCCAGCACGTGGCAAAGCAGCCAGGTTTGCTCTGTGTGAAGGCAAGGGACTGGAGGCCAGCTAAAGCCACAGCCACAGGGCCTGGCTGAGCAGACTGCCTGGCGGGATGGGACGGTTTAAAATAGCAGGGTGTTCACCACATACGCGCCTGCAGATCTCCAAAATGCAAGCAGAAAAACATGAATGGTGTGCTTTCATTTGTCTACCCTCACTCTCAAACCCTCGGACTCTGAAGCCAGGGGCTGAAGAGAGCCTCAAATATCAGGTAGCCCGGGAAGCTGCTGGGCTGGGCTGTGGCACGCCGATGTGACATTGGAACAGGACAATGGCTAAAGCTGTGCTGGCACTGCTTAAGTGTCCAGCCAGGTCTGAGGATTCTTCACACACTAGCGCCTTTTATCCTCACAACCGCCCTGACTCATTGGGGATGACTGTCATCGTCCACATTTTACAAGTAAGGAAGCAAACTCAGAGAGGTTAGATGACAAGCTGAATGTCACAGAGCCTTAGACGACAAACTGAAGGTCATGAAGCTGGTAAGAGGCAGAGCCATGCAGGACTGTATTTCCCTGCTCTAATGGCTCTTTTTTTTTTTTTTTTTTAATTTTTACCATGACAGGGACAGAACCCAGGGGCTCGCACATGCCAGGCAAGTGCTCTATTTTTTTTTTCAAATACCTTATTAGTTGTTGACCTTTATTTTTTCATATGTGGTGCTAAGAATCGAACCCAGTGCCTCACACATGCCAGGCAAATGCTCTACCACTCAGCCCCAGCCCCAGCCCTCCACAATAGCACTTCAAACCATCACTCCCTTTAGGTCTTTAGGCCATCGGCCACTTTTAGCTCTCTCAGGCACGAGGCCTGTCTAACTCAGGGATGCATCAAGTTCTCCACGTGACCCCAGGGACTCCCCCTCCCCTGCCCTCAATCAGGGGGACACTGCCTTCCCTGCCCCTCCTCTCTAGATGCCCTTCAGTGTCCTTTCCAGCTCTCTAAGCTGCTGCTGGGAGCCGCCCATACCATGTAGCCAGCCGTGGGGCGTTTTCCTTGAAAATGCAGTTGACTGTCCCTCCTATCACCTGGCCCACACGCAGCCCCACCTTGTCCTGGCACCTCCATCTGCCACGCAGCAGGGACATTTATAGCACCCGCCCTAAAGCCCTGTCAGCACCACACTCTGGAGAACACTGGAGGGATGACTTGTTGGTCACATAGCAGCAACTCTGGTGTCACTCAGGTTCCCCTGTGCAGCAGGGACTGAGTTCCTGTTCAAGTTCCCATACAGGAGAAGGGCCCAACCTCCTGTGAGATCCGCATGAGACACACAGGGCACAGGGACACAGGAGCGCCACAGGAGCAGGAACAAGGTGAGACACCGACTATCGACCTGGAAGCAGGAGCCTCTCTGGGTGGGCAAAGGGGGCAGCCAGGCCTGATCCTCCTGGGGCTTTCAACTTATCAACCAAATCCATGCACGGCCCTGCAGAGACCAGGCCACACAGGGGAAGCTCACCTGCCCACCCCCGCAGGCCACTCCTCCCGACAGCAGGTGACAGGAGTGGTTTACAGAATGTCTGGGGGCCATGACAGTGACCCACTCCCCACAATGCTTTTTTTTTAGTTGTTGGGCTTGGGCTGGGGCTCAGTTATAGAGCACTTGCCTAGCATGTGTGAAGCCCTGGATTCGATCCTCAGTGCCACATAAAAATAAATAAATAAAATAAAGATATTGTGTCTGCCTACAACTAAAAATAATTTTTTTTAATAAAAAAACATTTTTTTGTTGTTGATGGACCTTTATTTTATTCATTTATGTATATGCGGTGCTGAGACTCAAACCCAGGGCCTCACACACATTAGGCAAGCGCTGTACCACTGAGCCCCAGCCCCAGCCCTCCCAGTGCTTCTCTATGGAAATGGATGAGGGCCGAGGCAAGGCCTCCTGCTGTTTCTGCCGGGTGCTGGCACCCTGGCCTGTTTAGAGCACACACTGGCTTTTGTAGAGGACAGAGGAGCACCGTTCTATCATCCCTGCCTCCTCGCAGCCCTGCTGAGCCCAGCCTCCCTGGTGAGCTGATCTGGGTTCAAGGCCGGCAGGCATGGCTTCCTGGGCTGGAGGCCAGGGTGGCCACCTCACCTCCAGGCCTCCCTTCTGTCTGTAAATGTGGGCAGTGACGGTCCCTGTGTACAGTGCTCAGCACTGCGGCTGGCACCTGTGGGCACCAGCAGAAGCAAAGGGGCGGCCGCAGCACACCTGGGGCCCCTGTTACCTGATCTCTGTCACGTCTGACTTATCCAGCTTCTGCAGCTCCAGCTTGGCGGCCTCCAGGATGGGCATGACCTCGGCAAGGGCTGTCTCGGCCTCCGCTTTCTCCACCGCGATGATCTTATTCTGCTCCTCTATCTCGATGGCCTTCTCCTCCGCCAGCTTCTTCTTCTCCTCCGCTGCAGGGCAGCGAGGCCGTGAGCAGCTGAGCCTCAAGTTCTGGGCCACATGGGGCTCAAGGGAGCTCTGGCCAGCGTGACAGCCTCCAGCCTTGCCGCTAGGACAGAGTCCTCAACATGCGGGGTCTGGACACCTAGGGGCTTCTCCAACTCTGCCTCCCTCCACTGGCCCACCCGAGTCCACCCACTCTGTACCGTGGCAGGTCACACACCTACCCCTGCCTGGGCAGGGTCGGCTGAGGACCCAGTGCTGCCTGAGATTTCTCTCTCTCTCTCATGTCTCATATTCACTCAGAGCCAGGCCACCAGCCATACCCTCTAGGAGGGCTGCCCTCTGTCATCTCACGCTGACTGCTGGCCTCCCAACACTGACCACAGTCAGAACCTTCGTCCAATCACCAGAGCATTTACTGTCTGCTGCCTCCAGGACGCACACACCTTCCCGGGCCTGGAACCCAGTCCCCACGGGCCTGGCCCACAGGAGGTACAGTGGGGTGAACAGTGTTCCCCCAAAAGTCAGGTCCATGGGAATCCCAGGAAAGGACCTTATTTGAAAACAATGTAATTAGTTAAGATGAGGTTACCCTGGGCTAGGGAAGCTCAGGTGACGAGTGTCCTTCAAGAAGTTTAGGCCTCACGTTTGACACATGTATTGAATTATCACCACGTTGCCATAAGTCTATACAATTTTATATGTCAAATTTTTTCTTTTAAATTAAAGCCACAGGGGGGTTGTGGCTCAGTGGCAGAGTGCTTGCCTAGCATGCACGAGGCACCCAGCACCACATAAACAAACTATAAAGGTACTGTGTCCATCCACAACTAAAAAAAAATTTTTTTAAATTAATTAAAGCCACGTGCAGACCCACAAGAGGAAGGTCACAGGGTGAAGGAGGCAGCCTCGGCTGGTGATCTCCAGGCTGCAGTCTGCTGAGGACCACCTACAAGCAAGCAGTGGGAACAGGCCGGTCCCCAGGTGGCCCCGCACTTGCCTACGACGGTGTTGGTGGAGATCTCCTCCAGCAGGGCCTCGCAGGCAGCTGACTTCTCAGCCAGCACGACCCTCTGCTCAGCCAGCTTCTGGTTCAGCTCGTCCAGCTGGATGGTGGCCTCCTTCAGCTTGTCCAGCCCGCCCTCCAGGCGCTTGCACTGAGCTGAGGACAGACGGCACCCGTTCACTGTCCCCAAGCCTGCTCCCTGTGGCCCAGGCTTGCCTTCTGTGGCCTCCCTGAGGTTCATCCAACTTGGGTTCATCAGGGGGAACCATTCACTTGTCACATAGTGTCACTATGTTCCAGTCCCTCCTGCACGGGCACGGCATGGGCCCAAATGAACTCGGGAAGAGGAGACCTGGATCCCTACACCTGAGCATTGCGACATCAGGCGACCAGCCATCCCCAAGCCTTACCTATGTTAAACTGAGTCTTCTCATCCAGCAACTTCGAGTACGTATTAATAAAATCCAGGTAATTCTTAGGCGTCACGTAGTTGCTGCGCCTCAGTTTCTGGAGAAATTGTTTGCTGAATTCACCAACGGACTCGTGGACCAAGACCACGTGTTCCACCAGGTCTTCTATATTTTCTCCTGGGATCATGGGATTAGCCCCTGGAGAGGGAGGACAGGCAACGCTGCCTCTCAGTGAGAGGATGGCTCTCAGTGAGCCCAGCCTGGAATCACCCGGCCCAGAGGCCCGCCGCAGCCCAGGCGTGAGCCCCAACGCAGGGCTCTACAGGTCCACCAAGGCTCACGGCAATGCTGGGGCAGGCAGCACATAGCCACAACAGGCTGACAGCACCACAACAGGGTGAGCCTCAGAGAAAGAGAAAGAAGGCCACCCTGAAAGGACGGACATGGACATGGCGGGATTCCGTCATCCACAAAGGCAGGCGGTTGTGCTGATGGGAGGAGGGAGGGAGTCTGCATTTAGAGCAGTTAAGAGGGTGACAAGTTCTAGAAATGGGTCCCGTGATGGCTGTGTAGCCCTATGACTGTTACAAATGCCACAAGTGCACTTAAAAGTTGGCAAAATGGAAAAGCTTATGTTAGATATATTTTCAAAAAAAATGATTTAAAAATGTAATTTTAAAAAAATAGAAAAGAGCAATTATAATGAGTGGGTGGCTCTTCTGGACCACTGAGCCAGGCTCCAGCAACATGCCTCAAACAGAGAGCCACACCTCTTCCCTGGGCGCCGTGGCAGCACGCAGCGGGGAGCACGCCACACCTGTCCTGCTCAATGCTCCCCAGGGAGCAACCTCTTGCGGCCAGGTGAGCTACTCAGCCCTTCTCTGCAGGATATCCAGCGTGCAGACCTACTGGGCAAAAGGCAGCCTTCCTGTCAACCTGCTAGAAGAATCACTGCAAGAAGCATCCTCTTGAAGACAGAATACAACTCTCGTTCAAGCAAAGGGAGGAGAGTGGACAAAAACATCAGCTGTCGGGGTTCTGCAGACCCAACCTTGGGTTATACCAGGGGTACTGCCTGCAGGAAAGACGCAGCCTGACAAATATCCACTTTGGGGCATAGTCATCTCGATACCAGGAAACACATTCTAAGGAAAATAATTCTAAGCAAATTCTAGGCAGCATTATTAAAGACACTGAATGCTGAAAGCAAGCCCAAGTGATAACACTTGAGAATGACTAACACACTTATGAAAACCAGGGTGCACTACATCAGGGTGCTCATCTACAGCCCAGAAGGGAAATCTGGCCCACACCCCGCTTTTTAAATAAAGTTTTATTGGAACACAGCCATGGAGATTCATTTGCATATTGTCTATAATGGCATCCACCATATAACTGTAGATTTGAGTAGTTGCAACAGAGGTAAATATTTTCCATCTGGACCTCTGCGGAAGTAGCTTGCTGGCCCCTGAGTCATATCTTAAGACTCATGCTCTTGGCCCCTTCCCAGAAAAAAAAAAGACCTGCATTATGACCGAAGCTATGATCTCTGCTTGCATAGAATGACTATTTATTTATTTATTGGATACATATTTATAAGGTTGAAACTATTTTGAGGTCACTCAGTGGAATTTGTCATAAATCTGTTCAAGGTGGGTCTAGAGAAAAAGATTTTCCCCTGAAGTTCCACTGACATGCCTTCTTATTCAAGGAGTATAATTGCTGCTGTCCAGGGCACAGGTGCTGGAGGGAGTCGAGGCTCACCCACAGCTTGCCCCACGGCCCTTGGGCAACCTCTGGGTTGGAGGTCAGCACACTTTCTCCATCAAGAGCCAAACAGGGACACCTGGTCTCAGTTGCAACTCCTGGCCCTTGCAATTGTGGCATCAAACCAGCCATAGAGGGCTGGGCTGAGGCTCAGTAGTAGAGCGTGCTTGCCTAGCATGTGTGAGGCCCTGGATTCGATCCTCAGCACCACATATAAATTAATTAATTAATTAATTAAAGGTATATATATATATAAAACAGCCATAGACAACATGTGGATTAATGCGTGAGTCCATGTGCTCACAAAGCTGCGCCCATACAGCAGCAGTAGGCCACACTGGCCAGAGGCCATGGCTCGTCAACTCCCAAGCTCGATGCTACTTAATCAATTTCCAATCCAAACTCTTCTGTAAGTCTCCTGAAATCCCTTGAGACTGAAACACAAGGGCAATCTAACAATAAAAAAAAGGATGTGTTCTTCATAAACTCTTCATAGAGTTTACAACAAAGGAATCCATGGGGCCAAAGGTCAAGGTCAGAGGGGTGATGTAGAATGGCTTTGTGAGATCCATGACACAGTCCCCACAGTAGCTGGGACTTACCTAAAAATGACTTGGCGACTGCGTGCAGGGCTTGGGGAGGCCAGGGCATGAACCAGTCAATCCCAGTGTTATTCACCAGACCTTGGAGAGAGAGGGCGACCACCGCTCTGCACCCGAGACACTTCAGCTCGATCTTCAGTTGCCACCAATGCACTGAACAAGCTGGGCACGTCCCAGCTGGGCTCATCCACAGCAGAGTGTCTTATTCTGACACTGGGCACTGCTGACCCTGGGGCCAAATAACCCTGACACAGGCACTGACTGGGCACTGTGCATGCTTACAGCATCCCTGGCTGCCACCCACTGGGTGCCAGCAGCATGCCACCTCCCCCTCGGTTCTGACAACTACACATGTCTCCTGATCCTAATATCCCCGGGGAGCAGCACCCACCCTCATTAGGAACCTGTGGCTAGGCAGGAACCCTTCCACAAGGCTGGTAAGACTGTCCCATATGGGAGGGGACAAGGAGCCATCCTCCATGCACTGCCACATTGTTCCTGGGAGTGGGAGCACATCCTCAGGCCAGAAGAACATCACCCACTGCTGGTGGCCACTGCAAGGGGCCAGCCAGGCACATCCCACAGTACAGGCCCTCGTTTCCACTGGAGGCCATGTCTTGTGGACTTGTTGGTGGAAGCTTGGGAGCAAATGGGCAGCACACATAGCCCCAGGTACCTGGGAAATTCCTGCAGCGGGTCCTCAGGGTGTCCCCCACAGGGGACATGCCCAGGACGATGTGCAGATTATTTGTACTCTTGTTCACGAAGTACTGCCACACAGACTCCTTGGCCGGCCCCATGCCCTGCTTTAGGGCTTCCTGTCCAAGCTGGCTGAAAATGGTGTCCTTTTCCTCATCTGTGAACAGCGCAGGGACGATCCCTGCAGAACAGATTCGTGGGAGCTGGTTTTAAAGTCCCAGGGTCACTGCCTCTCTGTGCACCAGCTAAGACAGCAGAAGAACAGCATGGCGGAGAGAGCAGTGGGTCCCGACGGGGGGGCACTAGGGCACTGGGGCACTGGGGCATTGGACTCAGACCCCTGGCCCACTCGCCTGTGGGCAAAGCCCCTGAGCCTCCATCTACCCATCTGTGAAATGGGGGCGATGGCACCTCCCGCTCACCCCAGAGGACTGCAGGGAGCTCCGGAGGCCACTGAGTGTGGAAGCCTTGTGTTCTCTAGAGCGGGAACGCTCACCTGGGGCATCCGGCCATCTGGAGACCCTTTCCATCGCTATGACTTCGGAAGAGGAGAGCCACCTGCCGCTAATAGGCAGGGGCCAGGGGTGCCACTAAACACCCCAGGGTGGTCCCACAGCAGAGCTTCCCGGCCCCAAATGCCAACAGGGCTGTGCTGGGAGCCCTGAGGGCGGGACATCACCATTGGCACATTTCAAATGACACAACACACTGTTAATAAGCAGGTGATGTTAACACAGGGCCAAGGCCACTCACCTTTAAAGCCCCCGCCTCCCTCATCCCCTCCGACCTAGTCCCTAAGGGCAGCTAGAGGGACTCCTGCAGATCACAGATCTAGACCACATCAGGGCACCAGCCCATTAGGCCCCACACTGGGAGACCATCACTGTGCTCCTGCCATGGTGTCCCTTTCCCATCTGACCGTGGCACACAGACCCCTCTGCCTGAAAGGACTTTGCCAGCCCATAGCTGGTCACTACTCCCGTGGCAGGAGCGTGGATGACGTCCCCTGTTGATGCCCATCCTAATCTCTGGGACCAGTGGTGAGGTTTCCGCACTTCCTGCAATGCAGCCTCAAAGAGGTGTCTGGATAAGGGTCTTGGGAGGGGGCAGGTCTCTGGATCAGCCGGGTGGTCTGACACGTCCGTCACAGGGTCCTTGTGAGAGAGACCAGCAGTTAGAATTGAGGTGACACAGTGGAGCCTAGGCTGGTGTGATCAGGGACTGAGGCCAGCGGCAGCCTCCAGAATCCAGAAGAGAAGGAGACGGATTCTCAGGAACCCCTAGAAAGACCCCGTCCTTGCTGTGGCCCCACAAGACCCATCCCCAGCTCTGAATCCAGCCCTACGGCGGGAGAATCTGCATTGTTTGAAGCCACAGCGGGAACTGGGGCTAAGTTGCTAGAGCAGCACGGGAAACAGACACACCAAGCTCAGGTCCCACGTCTCTGCACACTGCACACTGGAGCCACCAGGGGAAGGGGCTGGACCCCTCCTCATGGTACCTATTGCAACATTAGTGGTGGCGCCATCTCTGTGTGCTTCTGTTGCTGATGTTAACCAGCCCCACCCCCCCACACACACTGGACCCCAAGCTTCAAGGGGGCCAGAGGCATGACTGCCCAGTGTCTAATCCTGCGGGGTAAATCCAAGTGGAGGATGGTCCCTGTCCCTGTAGAGCTGACCCCCATGACTTAAAACTCAACTACCAAAGCTCAGCAAGCACACATTCAAAATGGGCACATTTCATTGTATGTTAAGTTTACATCCAAAGAAAAACCTACCCAAAACTGGCCTCTGGATAAGAGCAGGCCTACTGAAGCTTCTTGAGGGGCGGAGGGGCCGGTCTCAGGTTTCACTTGGAAACCCACCAAAACAGGAGGTGGGAGGAGAGGGGGCAAGGCGAGCACAGAGGGACACCCCCCAGGGAACCTGGCCAGCACGCTGCCATGTCCCTAAAGCCTTCCTTCAGCCTCGTGCTGTGTGTGACATGTTTTATGGGCGGGTGGAGAAGACCTGCTAACACCGCAGGACAATGATGCCTAGAGTCAAGTGCCAACATGACCCACAGTAAAGGCAGATCCTCCCTGGGAGCCATTTGGTCACACATCTGCGTGAACCTCAGCAGGCTAAGAGGTGGCCAGGATCGTGACTCAGGGTAGCAGTCTCCACTGTGGCCATGAGGCTGAAGCCCAAGCCCCTCCTCAGCCCCTTCTTAGCGGGGCACCTTTGGGTGAGTTGTCAGCAGTTTCCTGGTGACCAGCTCCTACAACTGATTACCACAAATTGCACACTTAAAACGATGAAGAAATTTACTCTCACATTTCTGGAGGCCTGAGAGCAGAGATCAAGGTGTCCGCAGGGCTGTGCTCCCACGGAAGGTTTTGGGGACCCTCCCTGGCCAGATTCTGGCATCCCTTGGCATGCGGTTGTCTCCATCCTAACAAGGCCTTTTCCTCTATATCCCAGTGATCGCTCTCCTTTCTCTTGTAAAAATAGCTGTCACTGAATTCAGGGCCCATCCCAAATCCAGCGTATCATCTCAAGGCTCTTCACTAATCACATCTGCAAAGACGGCTTTTCCTGACAAGGCCCGTTCACAGGTTCTGGGGTCTGGGGTCTGGAGTCGGGATGACTTTTGAGGGGTCACTGCTCCACCTCTGGTGGCATCTCTGTGCCTCTGTTTCCCCTTAATGGAGGCAGCCAGGTGTCTCCCTCCTGGGGACCCAGCAGTGCTGGGTAAGAAAGTACTTCCAACGGCCCCCAAGCGCAGTAGACGCCCACCAGCTGGTCAGGGCAGGGCCACTGGGCAGCCAGACCCACCCCCAGGGGCTGTGGTGAGGATCAGCCTGATGTGCCCCTGAGGCCACCGGCCGAGGGGTACCTGAAGTAAGCATGTTGTTGATGAGCTCCAGGAAGCCCTCCTCAGCCACGTGCGCGTCTGTGAACAGGAACATCACCGTCTTGTTCTCCAGCCCCAGCTTCATGTAAAGGCTCTTCAGATCCTCCCGGAAGCTGTTCTCGGAGTAGCCTCGGCTCAGCAGGATCTCAAACACCTGGGGACACAGGGCAAAGTCACCCGGGCTGGTGGCCTCCCTCCCCAGCCTCCTAAAGGAGGCCAGCACACAGGGAGAGCCTCTGAGTTTGCACGATGTCACTGCTGGGCTGTTGGCTAAGGGGGACGAGGGCAACGAGGCCAGGTGACTTGGCCAGTCTCACAAAATGACCCAGAGCCAGAAGCGCAGGAGGCAGAAAGCCAAAGTACCCTGCTTTTTTTCTGGGGGGAGGTTCAGGGATTGAACCCAGAGGTGCTTAACCACTGTGCCAATCCCTATCCCTTTTTTGAGACAGGGTCTGGCTAAGATGCCCAGGTGGCCCAGAACTTGCAATCCTTCTGCCTCTCCTGCTGAATCACAGGCACACGCCACCATGTCTGGCCACAGCACCCTGCCTTTGTCAAAGCACCATAAGTGTTCTGTGTACACACACGAGCATGCGAAGGCACCACCATGCAGAGAACATGCCTACGTCCAGGAGGCAGCATGGAAAGGAGAAAGGCACAGAGCAGTGGACAGCCAGACACGGGCAGGTGGGAAGGGCGGGCAGGGAGGCCAGCAAGGAAGGGCAGGAAAGGGGCACAGCCGGGCGGCCCAAGCAGCAAGTGTGGACGCTGTCCGAACTCTGCAACCTGGCACTAAGGCCCAGGCAGAAGCAAGACTTGTATGTGAGCAGTGGCAGCTACTTGGAACCTGGTGGGGTTCCCGGCCTCAGGAGGGCTCTGTCCCTACCTCAGGCCTCCTCGCCCACCCCCGGCCACACACACCCACAGTCACAGTCACTCCACACCTGTGCTCACACACACTCCACCATTCCATGCACACCCTCTCACACACACAGGTTCACACATGCACTTTCACACCCACCCACACTGTCCCAGACACGTGCCACACACAGGCACACTTCCATACTGGCGCACGCACACTCACACACCAGTCACACAAACTCAAGTAGCAAGCGTGACTTCCAGCTGACCGACACTTACTCCGCAGTTCTGTCCAGCGCCTGCCCTCCACCTGCCAGCTCCCTGCTCGCTGGGGTGCCCACCCACTGGAACCCATGGCCATCTGCCTTGGCCTCCAGGGCCCCAGCCCACTCTACACACCCTCGTCCTCTCCTGAGTCCAGTCCCTCAATATCCCTTCTGTGGTCCTTCCCAGGTGGCCTCAGAGGAAGAACTCCCTGTGGGAGTCTGGAAGATTCTGAATGGTGGGGAGAAGCAGGAGCCCTGGGACCCTGCTGGTGGGAATGCAAATCAGCCCAGCCACTGCAGAACAGTGTGGTGGCTCCTGCAAGGGTGAGCCCCAGATCCACCACGTGACCCAGTAGTGCCACCCCATCCTCCTTAAGAAGCCCTGAGAGCAAGGGAAACATAGGTCCACCCAGAGATTCCTACATGGACATTTATAGCATTATCCACAGCGGCCAAGAGGCAGAGCAGCCCAGAGGTCCACGGGTGAGGGGACACATGGACAAACGCAGTGTGTCCACACAGGGACCAGGATTTGGCCAAAACAAGAATGTCACCCAGATGCAGGCCACACTTGGTAAGCCCTGTTGCTGCCACGGCTGCCACGTACTGTGCTATGCTACGCATGTGACAGTCCACAGAGACTGGGGGAAGGGTGGGGTGATGGCAGCTGCGGGCACGGGGCTTTCTTAGAAGTGGTGGGAATGCTCTAAAGGAGTCCACAGTGATGGCTGCTCACATCTGAATGACAAGAAGCACTGACCTGCACACAGAGCGCGTGGATAACACGGCCCTGAGTTGTACTACAATAAAGTTGTTTTTAAAGAGAGAGCTTCTAATATTGATGTAAAACTGCATGTGTTGCTGTGCGGCTATGGTTGCCTGGCAAATGGCTGGCCCCTAACAGCAGCCCACCGAGGTCTGCCCAGGCCGGCCTCCTTGCAGCAGATGCACATTGGGATCTGCAGCAATTGCCTGCGTTTGGCTTTTGACCTTGACCCGACATCTTCTCCAATCTAACAATACAATAGTTAAACGCTTTGGATATTCCGTTAAAATATGCCAAAAAACAAACCAACCCAACTCCCTACTCTGTGAAAACGTTATGCTATGCCAGGTGCAGGGCCCAGACCTGTAACCCCAGCAAATCGAGAGGCTGTGGCAGGAGGATCACAAGTTCCAGGCCAACCTGGACAACATAACAAGACTCAATCTCCAAATAAATAAACAAATAAATAAAAAGGGCTGGGGCTGGGGCTGGGGCTCAGAGATAAAGCACCCCCGGACTCAATCCCCAGGACTGAAAAAAAAAATCACTTAGGATCTGCTATAGGTGGTTCCAGTATCTGCAGGTACTCCCTCCCGGCTGCAGGGACTGGCAGGACCGGCCTTCCTGGAAGGGAGGTGGCCTCACCTCGTAGCCAGCCGTGAAGGCGGCCAGCCTTGCGAGCAACTGCTTCCCCGAGCCACCCACGCCCACCAGCAGCGCGTGGCCGTGGTCCATGCGGATGATGCGGTGCACGCGGGTCAAGTGCTCCAGTGCGTCATCGAAGAGCACCAAGTTCATCCTGGTGTTGATCTCATTGTACTCCTCAAGAATTTCCTGAATTCAAAAAAAAAATTTTTTTTTAAGGATCACTGTTTTTTAAGAGGTGAACTTTCTCCTTTTGTGCAGGAGAGATTAAGGACGGAGGAAAGATTTTTTCTTTCCTGAAAAATCATTGTACTAATTGAATCAGTTGGGCTCCCAGGACAGGATCCAGCTCTCAAATCCAGATTCCACCCTGCCGGCGCAGGTCAGCCAGCAGCGAGCCAGGGCAGACCACAGGTGTGGGAGCCTCAGAGTCAGGCACCAGGCCCCTGGGGACGGAGCCACTGTCACACCAGCGCTCCAGGAGGAAGCAGGCGCAGGCGAGAAGGAGCCCACCACACCTGGAACAGCGCTTTGGCCGCCTCGTAGTCCTGGATGTCCTCGTAGATGCGTGTCTCCTCCTCATGCAGAGCCATCCGGAAGTCCCCGAACAGGATGGGATCCCTCATCACTACCTCCTCATCCTCCTCAAAGTGCTCCAAAACCAAGTTTCCTATGTGATCTTGCACCTTAAAACGTAAGCCGGTTAAGGACCCACACTCAAGGACAGCAGTCCCGCACTGACTCATGTCAGGACAAGCTCCCACGCTGTCACCATCTGAGTGACCTGCCTTCCATTTTCTCCCTCGACAGCTACAGAGTACTTATGAGCCATCCCCCAGCCCATCAGCTTTGACTGTTAGTGTCTGCCTTTTTGCCATTCTATATATTTTTAAAATGCATTGTTTTCTCTGTGCGCACGTGAGCGTGTGTGTGTGTGTGTGTTTGCATGCATGTGTGTGTGTGTGTGTCACAAGGGCTTGGTCCTCCTCAGAGAGCAGTTCTGTGGCTGGCCTTTGCATCTGCTGGCACATCCCCATGCACTAACCAGCTGCTTGTCTGTTTTGTTGATCAGCCGGTCATGGAAGACCCTCAGACACTCATTCCTCCAGACTCTCACCATCTGAGCCACCGTCTGGAACCTATGGAACATGGTGGAAGGGGCAAGTCAGCCTCGAGGGCCCCTGGAGAGGAGTGGTGAACCACCTGCCGCCGTTCCCAGAAGGATGCATGGGAGGCGGCTCGGGAGCTGCACCCTGGAGTGCCCTCTCTAGCCTCACATTAGTGAAGTCTAATCAGGAGCTAATGGATTAAGTGCAAAGACTACAGATCACCATCCATAACTTGCCCTATCTGAGGGAAGAAAGGGCCCTCTCTTTATGCAGCATATGTGATGGAAAACTCCTAGCACTACCCTGTTGCTGGAATGTCTGAATTTAGAATCAGCATAAGGGCCCCTGGCAGCTCCTGTATTTCAACTGGAAACAACTGGTCACATGAGCAAAAGGATTCGGGTGAATTCCAATTTCAGAGTTGAAGGCAGGTGGCAAAGCCATCCCACCCAAGGGGTCAGAGATACTTGTCCACCTGTCCAACCTCTGCTGTTGGTCCCACTGGTTTTCTGCCCAGGGGTTTGCAAAGAGCCCAGCCTTGACTCAAGCATTTGTCTCTATTCTTCACTTAACACAGCAAAACGTTGGGAATTAACTGACACACTGGTTCTTCAAGTTCACTGACAAGCCCCCCCACCCCCATCTTAAGAGAATAAAAGAAACCATCAAATTGGCAGGATATATCTTGTTAAGATCCAACAAACTTACCGCTGGGGGTTGGTGAGCACAAGGCCATTGAACACCCGGGAGAGATCACGGAGGTTGAAGATGTAATGGAACTTTGAAGGGGTGGGCGGCAGGTCCTGGACGATGTTCTTGTAGAGCGTCAGCGTGCAGGAGGTCAGCAGGCCACTCACTGCCACGATGCTCTCGTGAAAGTCCTGAGACAGGAAAAGCCCCCACCCCCGGGTGTCCATGAATGGGAGAGTGGACAAAGGAAAGAGCGTCACCCAGAGGGAATATTTAGCCATGAGAAGGAAGGGAGCCTTGAACACACGGGGAGCCATGAACACACGCAGCTAACCAAGTGCAAGACGCCAGATGACTCGAGCCATGTGAAACCCCCAGGACGGGCAAACCCACAGAGATGGGAGGTTGGTGGGTTTCCAGGGGTTGGCGGGGGGAAGGGTGGGCAGCTGCTGCAGTGTGACATCAGGGTTCCCCTGGAGGAGAAGAGGCTGTGAAATCAGACACAGGGGTGGGGACACCTACGTGCCACGAGTGTACAGAGTACCTCGGAATTCTGTGCTTTAAAGTGGCCACAGCAACGAATTTTACGTAATGTGAATTTTGTCACATTTTTTTATGAGGGAAGAAGTGAACAGACCAGAGAAGCTCATCATCTGACCTGCTTTTATGGCCTTGGGTTTCCATGTCCACCGGGAAGTCAATGAACTGTGAAACCAAAGACCCATGCCAGCCGCCCTGGGAGTTATCTGCCGGGCACACCTTTGGGTAAGGCACGAACTTGCCAGGTACTCAGGGTGGCCATGATATCTGCTGCTGCACAGCCTCACCTTACCCACCTGGCCCCAGAGCACAGGCCTAATGTCAGTAGGCAGGACTCCAGGTGGGTCCAAGGCACTTCAGCCTCTGAGGTCCCCCTTCTTGTACATTAAAATCACATTTTGTGACTGCATGGGTATAAAGGTGAATGTTTTTCTTCCGATTTTGAAACACAGTAAAACATCTTCCTGGTCCCCTGAATGCACTGCAGGCCCTTGGCTTGGGCCTGGTGTGTCTGATGTGTCAATCAGTCTGCGTACATTTCTGCCCAACCGTGTCCCCCATTTGTACTTCTGATTTAAAGAGTTACCGCAGTGTGGCCTTTCAGGATGGAGAAGTAAATCAGGTGCAAGGACTCCTCTGAAGGGAACGGCACGTTGAAAGTGCTGAACAGTGAAAGGAACCTGGGGTCCACCTCGTTGCGGCCTCCTCCGGCTTTCCCCATGGCAGCGATGAAGCCGAGGTCCCGGATGTTCTTACAGTTCAGCTCCTTCCCGCGGTCATACAAGTAGCCTTTTTCCAGCAGCAGCTTCAGCAGGGCAATTGGCTGCTGGGTGCCGTATTCATCCACCTTGATGATTTTTTTTTAAGAGAAAAAAGAGAATAGCAGTATTTCAAGGCAGATCTCCGAGAGGCCTGAGCGTCTAGACCAAAGCTTGGCCCTCCTCTCATCCCAGAGCATCCTGGGCTTAATTTCGTTTGGCTTCTCAAAGTTTGCAATTAGATACTCATTGGTGATTTTTAAAGTCTCTCTCTCTCACTAGACTGTAAGCTCCATAGGTCTCACACACTGCACAGCGCTGACCATCAAAGATGTCAATTCATCCTCCCACTCACTGGATGGATGAATGAATGGATGGAAGGATGGAAGGACAGATGGATGGACAGAAAGAAGGATAGATGAGAGATAAAAGGAAGGATGGAAGATAGATGGGTGGATGGAGGGAATAAATGGATGGATGGATGGAAGAATGGATGGACAGATGGTAGGAAGGATGCATGGAAGGATGGAAGGATGGATGGAATGATAGAAGGATGGATGGAAGGATGAATGGGTGGATGGAGGGATGGAGGGATGGATAGATGGATGGGAGAAGAATGGGTGGATGGGTGGGTGGATGGATGGATGGATGGATGAACGGAAGGATGGATGGACAGATGGTAGGAAGGATGGATGGATGGAAGGAAGGTTGGATGGATGAAAGGAAGGATGGAAGGATGAATGGACAGATGGAAGGATGAATGGGGGTAGATGGATAGATGGAAAGATGGATGGATGGGTGGATGGGAGAATGGATGGATGGACAGATGATGGATGGGTAGATGAATAAAGTTATAGATGAACAGACAAATGGATGAATAAATAGATAATAAAGATAACAGATGACAGATAAATGGATGAATTGAGTAATGGATGAGTAAGTAACTGAATACATGGGTGGATGAGTGGGTAAATGATCAGATTTATGGGTAGGTGAGTGGATCCTGGCTTTGCATCATCCTTCTGGAAGACAAATCTTCAAGGAAAAGATGGTTCTGTAAAATGATACAAATTTAACTTCCTGTATGCCGAGAGAACTTTGCATGTCTCAGCCTCGGTCCCCAGAAACACACTTGTGTGCAGCTGAAGTTCCCCTTCCTCAGCTAATCCCCAGGGGTCCTGGCCTTCAGCTTCTCCAGCACAGAGGGCCACCTAAGAGCTCTTGTGGGACACCTCCTTCGACAGAGCTGAGGCTGGGCGGAGGGAGGGGGAGGAGCGGTGGGATGCTGCGCCCTGGCTGCCCGCGATGGCCTGCACTATATACACTGAGCAGGACTGTGCTCAGACACCCTCCACCCCGCTCCTGCCTCACCTTGGGCATATTCATGTCGTCCATGAACACCAGGAGGTATTTGCCCATGGGGGGGCCATAGGTGTCTCTGGTCCGCTTTTCCACGTTGGCTTCCAAGTTTCTCTGGATATCCATGGACGTGGTGCGGGATGAGAAACTGACCATGAGCACAATCTGAAACAGGGAGAAGGCAGGATGCGTTGGCCTCCTCTGCGTGGCACCCGCAGCAAACGTTTGACCGCGAGCTCCCATCTATGCTGAAGACCCACTGCCTCTGAGCTAATGCTATTGTCACCCAATGTGGGTCTGTGCTTTGTTATTTTTAAGTGCTAAAGCAAGAATTCCTCTTCCTCCTGGCAGGTTGCATGAGCTGATAACGAGCTGCCACACGTGGGCCTCGGTACACGGTGGCACAGCAGAAGGGGGACTGGGAGCTGTGTTAAAGGACCCCAAAGTCACCTAACCCTTTCAGACCCTCCTTCCTTCTCGCCTGAAAGGTGATCTGAATACCATCTTCTGGGACCACTTACTTCCTACAGTGGTTTTACACGAAGGCATTTTCAATGAGGCAACATTAAAACATAAACTGCTTATGATGGCAGCTGTATCTTAATAAGTCAGCCAAAGAGAACGTGCACAACCTTGGGTTTGGTCTTTGGAATGAGTTGCTGGGAAAGAAGGTCTACCTGCTGTACCCTCATGCCTGTGTGCTCGGGCCTCTCCCTGTGCTCAGAGGTGCTGGGGAGCCCCTCACCGGGGTATTCACACTCCTTGATGTGCCAGCCATACCCAGAGGGCTGTGCCATGTAGCCGGCTGCTCTATACCCAGAGCTTCCAGTTCTGTTTAGTTCATGGGTGTCTTGAACAAGCTTTCAGGTAAAGCTAGCACTGTTGGCCTGGGACCACACATTGGGAACTGTAGCCTTTTAAAGGCCCTCCACCCAGGGTGCCTGTGAGCACAGGTGCACATAAGCAGACTGTGCTGGCAGCCGGGCTGGGCTGTTAAGCTCCAGCTGCGGAGTCCTCAGGGAGGGGTATCGTACCGTGGCTTCCCTTTGCCCCACTTTGCAAATCTGCAGCTCCCCCGCTCTGTGCCCTCCACAGGGACATCCCTAAAGCCAACTAGGCCATGCTGTCAGTGTCAGTCTAGGTGAGCTTGGCTACTCAGACAGATCAGCCCCATCCTACCCACGCCTCTTACGATGTCCAACACAAAGGTACCCCCTGCCCAGAGGCCGGTGAGGCTTGCAGGAGCCCTTGATGCCAGAGCTGCTGGAAACAGAAAAGACACAAACTAAGAGATGCGGAAAAGTGAGTGGGGGGGAGCTCCTCTCCCCTCCGAGGTTCCAGAAGACCAAGACAGGAACTAGACTTAAATGGTGACGTGACCAGGCAGTAACGAAAACAGAATTGAGTCAGCGCCTGGACCGCCTGAAAACCACAGGAGGTTCCTTGGGGGCAAGAGAGTCTTCACTCAGTGATCCAATAGCTAGAAAAATGGCTTGCAGCTTGGGGAATGAACGGTGAGCAGCAGCCAGCCCGGGGAGCAGGTCTGTGTGGACAGGGGCCAGCGCCTTCTTCTGGCTGTCTCAGTGTGCCTGGGGCACGAGCACCCTTCTGCTCCAGAGTGACCCGAGTGGCCTGTTCCACTGGGCTTGTCCTGTGGTGCCAGCTGGCACGGGCCCCGTGCATAGCAGACCCTCATGCATCTGACCAGTGGCGAGGGATACCACAGAGGGATGATGGGAAGACATGACAGCCAGTCTCCACCGCGGAGCCCAGCGCTGTCTCCAGGTGTCCACCCCTGGAGGGTGCTCAGTCTGACGCACACAATAGGGCAGAGGTGAGGTCTGTAACCCCCAAGACGGCGCAGCCTCCCTTTGCTGCCCGTCCTGGGCTTTCACTCCAGCCCTAGCTGCAGTCACAACACTGCTCAGGTTTCAATGTGCCCCAGGTTTCAGAGGTGCAAAGCTCAATCCCCAAATTCATATGTTAATGAGACTTCAGGGTGGGTCCTTGAAAGGTGAAGGGATCCCAAAGGCAAAACCCTTGTGGATTAATGGATTCATCCACTATTAAGGAAGCACCTTTTTTTTAAAAAAAAAATCTAAGTGACTTTCTCTGGCAAACCTACTCTGTCTCGCCATGTGACACCCTCTGCCACACTATCATGTAGGTAGAAGGTCCTCGTCATGCTGGCACCAGGCTCCTGGATTTCCCACCATCCAGAACTATGAGTCAAATAAACTTCTCTTCTTTATAAATTACCTGGTCTTGGGTACTTTGATAAAGCAACAGTTTACAAAAAGCGCACTCAAGCAGCCCTGGGAGAGGCCCACACAGCAGGGAACTAAGGCCTCCAGCCTCTATCCATATGAAATACCATCTGAAAGAGGATAATCCAGCCCCTGTCCAGCCAATAGCCTGACTGCAACCTTATGAGAGGACCTGAACTAGGGCCACCCAGCTGAGCCACTGCCAGCCCCTCCACCCACAGACACCAGGAGGTGGTGCTTGTTGTCTTAAGTGACTCTGTGCTGGGCAGTTTGCTACACGGCAATGGGTAACTGATACCAACAATGGCTTACATTAGTGTCTTCACTGAGGTGTCTTAGGAAGTTCTGGGTAGCGGCTGTCTTAGAAGTGCCAGATTCACCAACAAAAATAACAGGCTGCTTAATTTTGACCATTCGTTCCAATATCCAGGTGGTGCGGGTTGTATCCACCGTGTGAACTACAAAAGAAATGGAAGGAACATCGGAAGAGCTCCACATGGGGGTGGGGGGTGGGGAGTGACAACACAGAACTGTCACAGAATCCCGTAAATCCCATAAAAAGCATCAGCAGAAGCCAAGCCGTGACCTCAGGCACATGCGTGGCAGGTAGAGCTGCTCTGCACGAGGACCTCATCAGCCCAGCTATTATTCTCCTCGGCTTTATTGAGGCACAACTTACAAAGGCATCACCCATCGTAAGTGTAGAATTCCATGAGTCCAACACATTTCTACATACGTTGTGCGAGCACGACACTGTCCAGGATGACAGCGCACAAACTGCCCCAGCATCCGAGTGAGATTTATGCTTGGGTGCTAAAAAAAAAGATCTCCCTGCTGCTGAGTCACCCACATGCCTGCAGGATCTGGTCTCCTGACCCACAGCTCCCTCTGCAGAGACTTCAGCCACCAAGTCAGGTCCAGCCTGCCCCCTCCCACGTGGGCAGATTTTAATCTCCATGGGTTCTGGAGGATCGGGGTGCCTTGCTCTGCAGGGACAACGGACCAAAGCCAGGTGCACATGTTGTGGAGCTATCCAGCCCACATTGTGTCTAACCAGCCAGAGGAGGAGACTTAAAATACAGTCTTGGGGGTACACACCAGGGGCACATGCCTTCTCCAGGAAGCACTGTTCGCGGGAATGTGCCGGTCACTACCCACGCCCAGCCAGCTCCGTGGGCTGGAGAGAGCAGAGGAAATGCCAGGGGAAGCCAAGCATCCTCTCCGCGGGCACTGAGCCAGCATCCAAGGGCCTCTCAGGAGGGCCCCTGGCTCCCTGCTCTTCTCAGCTCCCTGGGTGGGACTCAGGTGGGCAGCCAGGCCACAGGATGCTTCTCACTTCCTCCCAGGACCAGGGTCACACACCCTCACACCAGGGACAGAGTCTTGCCTCTCGCTTACCCAGGATGTCGATGAACTTCCTCTGGTGGTCATGCACATACTCTGGAACCAGCTTACTCCAGGGGATCCACTGGTTCCGTTTGGAATCAAAATGAAACTCGTACAAAGTTGGAAGCTGGCCTGCGGTGGACAATCAAAGTCCATGTCACTGTGATCGTGGACGTGGGAACATAGGAATCAGTTCTGGTAGGTGCCTCAAATGAGCTAATCCTGATGGTTCCCTGGATGGCTACCACAGTATCACCTACGTGCCACTTCTTCCCCAGACAGACACTTAGCAAGTGCTTTGAATTAGAGCGACTTGCTCGCCAGTCAGATGCTGACCTAAGGCTACCTGTTCACTGGACAGAAACCTTCCGAGTCCCTTCCAGGGGAACACGTAGTTGGGCACAGAACCCTGGTCCCCACCCCTCCAGTGGTGGCGTGTCAGGCAGGGGTAGAGAGAGATAAGAAAACACTTTCACTGCAGACATACTAATTTCTGCAAAGGGGGAGGACGGCTGCCATGAAGGCATCTGATCAAGACGGTGCAGGAGAGGGACAGGAGAAGCACCAGGTGCCACAGGTAGCCTGGGAGTCCCAGCCCCACCTGACACCATCACCTCCCTCTCCACACCATTCTTCACCATGACAGTCAATCACAGGGGTGCTATCCAAGCCCACCTCAAAAAGAAGCCCCTTCACAGACCCCTTCCCCATGGGCCCTGCCAATTCAACCTTTTGTAGGGTGCGTGTTCTTGGTGAAAAAACTGAAACCCTTAATACACCGTGATTTCCCATGAGTACCCTGCAAAACCCACAGGTGACGGCCTACCATGCAAATGTCAGCAGCACCAGATTAGTTAAGTCATGGTGCTTCAGACAGATGAGGAGCCCAAAGGAAAAGAGGAGCAAAGTCTCGTGGAACACGGGAGTTAGAACACCCAGCCAGAGCCAAGGGGCATATGCCATAGCTCCAGGGAGAAGAGTTGAGACTCCTCAAGAAAGGGCACTCGCAGGGACAGCAGCCAGTGCACCTGACCTCCTCCTGAGGGCACCACCAGTGTTCTGACCATGGCCCCAGAAAACCCACCCAGGCGGGAACACGGGGAACGAGCTCACGGTGTCTGAAAGCCCAACTCGAAGCAGTCGGACAGGGTGAGCAAGTAGCGCTCGGTTGTCACCTGGCAGTTCCCCAGGTTTGGCCCAAACCTCCTCCGTGTCAGCAGTGGGCAAAGAAGCAATGCGTTTGACGCTTTCATCAAATTTAATCCTTCCATCCTCGAGCAGGGAGGCACCCAGGGAGAAGTACAGGGCCTCCAAGAAGAAGCACTCCAGCAGGTCGGGGTCCTCGATTTCTCCCTCCAGTAAGGCGTCCAACATCTTGGCTAACTGGGTCACCTGGCTCGTGGAAAACACCCGGTTCAGCCCATACATCCTACCCCCACAGAGTCACCTCAGTCCTAAATCTTGGGATTTCCAGATCCCAGAGCAATGGGAACATATGACCCACCACGTTGGTCCAGACAGATGGAGCCCACTGTCGTGGCATGCTCAGGGTCACCAAAACAAAAGGACCCCCACTGACATGTTAGGGTTGACCCCGCTGGCATCTCTGTCCCCCTTAGAAGTCCACTGGGGTCTGTCCTATGGGAAGCCTCTGCTGGCAGCAGGCACAGATCCTACCATGTTTAGGTCCGTCTGGGGCACTATGGTCTTCAGCTTCTCCCCTTGTCTTCCGTCCACTATACCCTCCACGATCACGTCCATGAGGTAGGGCACGTATTTCTCAAAGAGAGTATCCAGATATTTTTGCTCCTCCTGCGAAGGAGCAGAATTCCAAAACATTTGCAAACCTTCACTTATTTAAGTGGATGTTCACAGAAAGTCCTCCTGTCCGAAGACGGAGCAGCGCAGCTAATGAAGGGTGAGGCCACAGGGGGCGAAGCCCTGGCAGCAGAGCCTGCGCTGTGGGCAGAACATCCTTTACATTGCCCTTCCACTTCCTTTGGCTGCCACAGGGGCCGCTCCGCCCCTGGGAGTGACAGAGACACAAGTTCCCATTCAACAGGAAAGGGGCCTGCCTCTCAGAGTTCCAGCGGCCTGACCAGGCATCCAGCAAGGAGTAGAAAGGAGCAGAGACCCTGTCTCTACCCAGCACTGGTGGCCATAGGGACTGAGTGGATCCCCAGGAACTCCACCCCAGATGACAGTCCCTCAAATGGTTCCCTGGTCTTCCCTTCTCTCGGGAATCATGTCCTAACAGCCCTTCTAGAGATCCACCCAGGCCACCTGTTACCACAGACCGTGGGTCCAGGTGTCCTGGGCATGGTCAAGCCACACCCTGTACATGATGGTCACATCCATCCCTATGTCCATCAGTGAAGCCCACGGTTAAGACAAAACACTTTCTGAGCAGCCATAGGACACGTCACATGGCTTGAGGTCCACTGGAACCTTCAGATCCCAATTACATGACAAGCAGGTCCCTCACACCTCCCACTGAGCAGAAGCACAGAATCAGGGAGCTCCTGTCCCTCAGGAACTGGGCATGTCTGCCAAAGAGCCCATAAACCCAATCTGGCCTGGCCCCTGTTTCTGTAAATGAACCTCTCAGGGTCCACAGCCGTGTCCTTTCCCATACGCACTGTGTCTGGCTGTATCTGTGCCACAAGACAGAACTGAGTAGGTGCAAAAGAACAAGTGCAGTCCCCAAAGCCGAGAACATTTATTATCTACCCCTCTGTAAGAAATGCTTTTCAACCCCTTGAACTACATGAAGTCGAATGAGTGTGTCACCGTGTCTTCATCTGATTTGTGCTCAAGGACACGAGCAGGTCAAGGACCAGGCCTTCAACTATGGCTGGCCACCAATACTGATAACTATAAGTTTATTTCAGAAATAATTTCACCTTATTTTGTATTTGATGAACCCACTTTTTCCAGTACGGTTGGTATTTCAAGTTTTTAGGATCTACATACACCATTCCACATCGAGACACAGTTGCAGGGGAGGCGTACTGTAAATCTCCAACCTGGAGGGAGAGAAAATCAACCATGTCTATACTAGAAACAAGTGCATGTATGTTTGGGGGTTTTTTTGGTACCGGGGATTGAACCGAGGGCACACGACCACTGAGCCACATCCCCAGCCCTTTTTTGTATTTTATTTAGAGACAGGGTCTCACTGAATTGCCTAGGGCCTCACCAAATTGCTGAGGCTGGCTTTGAACTGACATGTTAGGGTTGACCCCGCTGGCATCTCAGTCCCCCTTAGAAGTCCACTGGGGTCTGTCCTATGGGAAGCCTCTGCTGGCAGCAGGCACGGATCCTATACCATGTTTAGGTCCATCTGGGGCACTATGGTCTTCAGTTTCTCCCCTTGTCTTCCGTCCACTATACCCTGCCCTGGTGGTTGCCTTGGGGACTCAGTCACATACACAGCCCAGATTCATGATCCTCCTTCCTCAGCTTCCCAAGCCAGCTAGGATTACAGGCATGTGTCACCACACCCAGCTTGGATAAATGTTTAAGGGTGTTTTTTTGTGCAAAGTTTTTACAACTCTATAAAATCCACACCACACCCAAATTAATACAGCTTTCCTAAGGGTTTTAATTGAATACTTAGGTTTCTGATGAGGTTATACATCTCTGATGTAACACCTTTTTAAGTTTTCCCTTACTATAAAATAATATAAAAATAAATATGCAGTAGAGTTCTGATAGAAAATTATAAAGAAAATAAGTTATCCCAATCCCACCACCTAGAAACTAATACTGCTTTGAAGTGTTTTCCTTTTAATTTTTTTTAACCATTGTTGAGATAAAGTAGTACAAAATTTTAAAAATACAGCTAAACTGGCAATTTTAAAAATCTCTCTTCTCCCCCCGCCCCTCTCTCTCTATCTTGAGACAGGATAAAACCCACATCATGCCCAAATTAATACAGCTTTCCTTAGGGTTTTAATTGAATACCTAGGTTTCTGATGAGGTTATACATCTCTGATGTAACACCTTTTTAGATAGAGTTTTAGTAGAGTTCTGATAGGAAATTATAAAGAAGAAAATAAGTTGCCTAGGGCCTCACTAAATTGCTGAGGCTGGCCTTGAACTTGCAATTTTCCTGCCTCAGCTTCCTAAACTGCTGGGATTGCAGGCATGCACCACCATGCCCAGCTAAACTTGTCTCTTTCTATAAAAAAAATAGCTGGGTCAGCCAATTAAATGCTGATACCCATAAATACTAATGCATTGCCAAGTTTCAAAGGCCAAGATGAATGAAAGCAAGTCCCAGGGCCACAACTGAAAAACTGCTTGTACTTTAAGCAAGAAATGGAGGGCCTTGGAAGGTATCCTCCAGGGGAAAAGGGAGCTCAACAGAATACTTGAAATGAGAGAAAGTTAAAAAAAAAAAAAAAAACAACCAAGGATAAGATAGAGACAGATGACATGAGAGAAAAAGGAAGGCAATTACAAACACCACACAACACAAATGGCTCTAAAAATAGTAAATGGGGCTGTGGATATAGCTCAGCGGTAGAGCACTTGCCTAGCAGGTACAAGGCCCTGGGTTCAATCCCCAGCACTGCAAAAAAAAAAAAAAAAAAAAAGACCAAAAGAAGAAGGAGGAGGAGGAGGAGGAGGAGGAAAGGAAGGAAGGAAGGAAGGGTAAGTAAATGGCCAGGCAGGCATGGTGGCACACTCAGAAAGCTGGAGGCGGGGGGAATCACAAGTTCGAGGCTAGCCTGGGCCACTCAGTGAAACCCTGTCTCAAAATAAAATATACAAGAAAATGGGCTGGGGATAAAGTATCCCTGGGTTCAATCCTCCATAGTTTCCAAACCAACAACAACAAAAATACAGTAAATGTAACTACAGTATACTAGTTGACTCTACAGTAAATATTTCCATATTCCCAATAATTTAAATACTGTTTGCTATCAGTCAATTTAGCAATATACTGTTCTGAGGAGAGAAGTTTGGCTAGTGGTATGAGATAAACCCTGACTGTGAGAGTGCTCAACCAATAGCTAATGTGTAAAAGAAACAGCACGCTGACCCCGTTGCTTATTGACACTCAGGAAAAACAAGTAAAAGCCATCACCCCAGGAACGAAGAGGGGACGCAGGGAGCAGATAGGGACAGAGCAGTACGAGTCATAAATTCTGCATTTTTTAATAATCATCCACATGCATCAACACTTTATCACACATATGAATTCTGATTAAAGGAAAGGCCGGCCATCACTGTGATGTCCCACCTTCACTTGCCTCAAACAGCAGGGCACAGTGTGCCTGGAGCCGGATGCGCTCGCCGTTGGCCAGCGTCAGCAGCTTGTTGTCGTCCATCACGGAGTTCATGTTCTCCACCCACAGAGCGTCCACGTCTCCATCGAACAAGATATACCTGCGGCAACCCAGGACCCGCCATGCCTGAGAGATCACGGAGCAGCGGAAGCACAGTTCCCGCGGCATGGAAGGTACCCGACCTGACGACCCCAAACTGAGACTCTGCTATGGAAGAGCTGTCCCAGAACCTTCCAGAACATTGAGATCCTGAGAGGAACTCTAAAGGTGCCAGAGACAAGAGAGCTGATCGCCCTGTGACGTGCCGGCTGGGTCCAGAGCCCAGCGAGAAGTGCTAAGCAGAGGTCTGAAAAGTCACCGGCCGGCCGGGGCTCTGGTCCCTTCTTATTGTGAGGTCCTTAAGAAATTATTCATGGGGTTTGACGGGAATATCAAGTCAGAGCCGTTCCCGAGGCTCCCTAAGAAGTCTCATAGGGCAGCTCAGGGCCCGAAGCTCCCTCGGAGCTCTCCACACTGGGCCTCATGTGTCCCTCACAGTGGGTGGAGAGGTGACCAGGACACTGCCTGGTGTGTCCCTCACAGCAGGAAAGCAGCAGCTCACAGGGGCTTCCCAGAACTGCCCCTGACACTCTGATGCCGTCCTTCCTGGACTCACCTGGCCAGACAGAGGGGGACCCTGCAGCCTGCCCTGGTGGTTGCCTTGGGGACTCAGTCACATACACAGCCCAGATTCAAACCAGCAACCCTGAGGACATTTCTTGCCTTCTCTCGACCTTGGTTTTATCCATGCTACACTGGGACAAAGCCAGTACCTACCACACGGCGTTGCTGAGACCAGCTGGGGCCACACAGAAAAAGCCCCAAGATAGCACCCGTGCCCAATAAACAGAGCCACGAGATTTGTCCTTGGTCTGTTGAGTGCAAGTGTGAAGGCACAGTGCGTGCTCATCTGCCACCACCATCTGTGCTGTCCCATGGTCACCACCACCCCAGGCTCCCACCCACTCCTGGGGACACTCACTTCCGCTCCTTCTTATCCGTCGGCTTGTTGATCTCCCTGAAGATGTTGGACAGCACCCCGTCCGTCCAGTCTCGGGTGTTGGGGTCCAGAATGCCGTAGAGCTCTATGACACTCATGGCCTTGGGGTTCAGGATGTACAACTTTGTCACCAGCCCAAGCCTAAAGTAAGGGAGAGGCTTCAGCTGTGGCTCAGCCCACAAAACACACCAGGAAAACTATCTGCGGTGCCCACAAGGAACCAGATGCTTTGAATCCAATTCAAAATAGAGAATGTGAGCCCTATACATGCTCCACCAGATGGCTTCTCATCCCTGTTAATGGTCTTCACTAAATGGAAAGGTTCACCCCAAACACAGCCCCAGCACCAATGAGGCCCCAAGAGGAAACGCTGGGCCTCGATGCAGCAGGAAGCTGACTTTCAGGCACAAGACACATGTGTAGGTGTGATGAGCTTTTCAAAATGAATGGTGCATAGGAGACAACGCTCAGTATCCAGGATTACGTCCTCCTTATCCACAGGATGTCCGCTGTGCTGATGATGTTATAGAGCTGCTGACAGGGCACTTCCTTGTCTAAAGAGATCCCCACCAGGCTACGTGGTCCATTCATCTCAAGAAAAACTAAACTTCACACAATCCATGGTTCAAATGAACAGATAACTTAAACAAAAAAACAAAAACATACAACGTCACCCATACACATAGTATGTGACAGCTCCATAAATTACCTAACGTTTGATTAGTTGAGGAATGAAATACAGAATGACTATGGCACAGGCCACTCATCATCAGTAGGCCCCGTCCCTGGTCCCTTGTGTGAAACATAGGAAGAAATAAGAAGAAATGACAGACAGACTCCTTATAGGCTATCTATCAATCTGAGAAGTCACAAATGTCACATGGCTTGATTTAGATTGCTTGCTGGAGTGAAGCATCCCACTCAGACGTCAGGACATCCACTTTCCTTGGAAGGCTCTGACTCCCTGCCCGCCCTGAGGACGTTCTATCCAGGAGGGACAGATGGCTTCCTCAAGCAGTGGCTCCTGCAGGCCTGACAGACACAGGGCATCTCTGTTCCCTCGGATACCACAGCAGCATCACCTAATCGTGGGTCCAGACTTACCTGAAAGGAGCAATCTGAACACCAAGGCAACATGTCTTAAGTTAATTCACAAAATATCCTTATAGGATGGTTTGTGAGATTCTGTACAAAGGGCCCCTAGTTTGCATCCTGAAATATGTGAGCTAAGTCAGCCATGAGACAAGTAAAGACGGTGAGATTGAAGGGACATTAAGACAAATTTCCCACAAACAGGAAACTGGAGAGCAAAGTGGGTCTAGGTAACATGGTCACCAAATATTTCCCATGAAACCGCCCTGGCAGCCAGGCGCAGGGCCTGGGGGAGGGCGTACTCACTTGGTCTGGGCCTGACACAGAGCGTTGATGACCACAGACTTGCCCCCTCCCGTGGGCCCCACTATCATGGTGGTGTGGCGGGTGAGCATGGTCTCGTACATCTGAACCACTTTATCCACCTGCAGGACAAACATCGGCACGGAGTTAAACATACACGTGTGTAAGAGTTTTCCTGAGATCTTTCATGAGTGCGATTTACCCACTTAAAGTACGCAGTTCACTGGTTTCTGGTCTATCTGCAGAGCTGTGCAGCCATCAAAGATGACTATCAGTTTCAGAACATCCCACCCATCCCGTAACCACCTCTCATCATCGCTTGCCCCCTCCTCCAGCCCCTGGCAAACACCACTCTACTTTCTGTGTCAATGGATTTGCCGACTCTGGACTTTCCACACCAATGGAATCACACAACAGGTGGTCTCTATGCCTGGCTTTGCCGCTTAGCATCATGTCAAGGTCTGCGCACTTCATAGCATATTGCATTAGTTAGCTCTTCATTGCTGTGACAAACTACCTGACAAAAACAACTTAAAGGAGGAAAGTGTCATTTTTTCCTCATGGTTTTACAGGTCTCAGCCCATGGTTGTCTGGCTCCACTGGTTCTGGCCTGTGGTGAGGCAGGTCTCAGTGGCACAGAGGAGCAAACCTGCCCTGTGGTGGCAGCCAGGAAGCAGAGAGAGAGGGAGGAAGGCGCTAAGGACCCAATGCACCCTTGCAAAGCACAGGACCAAGCCTTCAACACGGGAGCTTTGGGGACACTCCAGACCCAAGCCATCACACAGTGTCAGTGTTTCACTCCTGTTCCTGCCTGAGTAGCACTCCATGGTACGGACAGGTCACACCCTATCCATCTGCCCACAGACGGTGGACTCCACGTGGTTTCTGCTTTCTGGCTCTGTGGGTTATGCTGCCTGGAGCATTCATGTCCAGGTTTCTCTGGAGACGTGTGTCCATGTTTCTTGTGGGTCTATACCAGGCAGCAGAATTGCCGAGGCCTGATGGTGGCCGTGTTTGGTTGAGGAACTGCCAATCAATCTTTTTAAACAACCACTTGCAGAGAGAATTGGAATCAGAACAGGCACAAAGAGCGTCCATCCATGGCAGGTGCCCACTGCCTGGGCCTGAGAGGTCTGGGGAGCCTGGTGCCCGAGGGGCAGCCACCCTGGTCCTGCAACCTCATCAGAACACTCGAACCACAAGCTTTTGGCTTAATGACGACACATACAACCTCACAGGTTTCAGATGCTCCAAGTCCTGCCCTCCTACCCCAGAAGCACCTAATTTAATCATTTGTAAGTGCAACTCTGATGGGAGGGGAGCACATTAGAGAGTTGAGCTCCCGAACAAAACCCTTCAGTGATCTTATCATGCTGGGCCAGAACCCTCTGTAGCGTACACTCCGTGGAATGCCACTCAGTCTCACAGAGGAGTGACACAAGCCACGCCAGGACGGATCTGGGAGCATCACACCAAGGAAAGAAGCCAGACACAGAAGGTCAGAGCTCCACAGTGTCACACATGGGCAGTCGTTGGAGTCATCAAGTTCATGCAGACAGAGTGGAACGGCAGGTTCCTGGGGCTGCGGGGAGGGCAGGGGGGTCTGAAGGACGTGGAGTTTCCGTTGTGCAAGATGGAGAGTTCTGGGGATGGGGATGGTCCCACCACCAAGTGACTGCCACAGAAATATGCGCTTAAAAATGGCGACAAGAGTAAATTCTAGGGGCTGGGGATGTGGCTCAGGCGGTAGCGCGCTCGCCTGGCATGCGTGCGACCCGGGTTCGATCCTCAACACCACATACCAACAAAGATGTTGTGTCCACCGAAAACTGAAGAATAAATATTTTTTAAAAAAAAAAAAGAAGAAGAAAAGATAAATCTTAAAAAAAAAAAGAGTAAATTCTACATTGTGTTTTACCAGCATTTTTAAATGATTAAGATGGCAAGCCTTGTATTATGAATATTTTACCTTTTTTTTAAAAAAAAAAGAATTTCAGAAAACACAGAGAAAGCCAGGCAAAGGCCGCGGCAGCCCCTGGGAGCCGGCTCCGCACTCACCTGCACCGGCAGGAGTTCGTAGCCGCTCTCGGACAGCACCTGCTCCACCGCATCGTTGAAGTCAGGGTAGCGGACACGAGGGCAGTCCAGCCCCGGGAACAGGTCAGAAATCAGGCCCAGGAAAAGAGGGACGTCCTCGAACACAAACTTGGGCAGGTTCATGTCCCGCAGGGCCCTCATGAGCACCACGTCCTGAGTGCGAGAACACAGGTCCCCAGAAGGCTGGAGCCAGCCTGGAACCAGCTCCAAGTGGGCACCTAGATGCCCTCTCAAAGGCCACATGAGCTTTCAAAGATTTCTATGCCAGGCGCGGGGGCACATGCCTGTAATCCCTATGGCTCAGGAGGCTGAGGCAGGAGGATTGAAAGTTCAAAACCAGCCTCAGCAATTTAGTGAGGCCCTAAGCAACTCAGTGAGACCCTGTCTCTAAATAAAATATAAAAAGGGCTGGGATGTGGTTCAGTGGTTAAGTGCCTCTGGGTTCAATACCCAGTATTAAAAAAATTTTTTTCTATATATTTACATGCTATACATTTTTACATGTTTAATATGTAAACATATAATAAAATATATACCATATACATCTATATGATTTTTCAAAACTTTTAGGCATTTTATATAAAATTGTACAATCACATGTAATTTCATATAAGGCACAAAAGTTTTTGAGTAAAATTTTTGAGATGAAACAGAACATTTTATATAGAATACAAGGTATATTTTTTAAGTGCGTGCTTCATATTTTTCAAATTTTTCTTTTTTTTAGAGAGAGAGAGAGAGAGAATTTTAATATTTATTTTTTAGTTTTTGGCTGACACAACATCTTTGTTTGTATGTGGTGCTGAGGATTGAACCCGGGACACACACATACCAGGCGAGCACCCTACCGCTTGAGCCACATCCCCAGCCCATTTTTCAAAATTTTCTACGAAAAAAAAAAAATCCGCAAGTGAAATTTATAAAAATGGAATATAAAATATCAAACTGTACATAAAATGAAAACTCAACACGGCCAGGCCAGGTGGCCGCTGGAGAAGCGCGGAGACTGGCGCCCACCGAACGGCCGCGGCAAGGGCTTTGGGGACCCCACAAGAAACACACAAAGGAAGCTTCTCCCGCTTCCTTTGCAAAGAGAAAACGGGGTGGGAGGGTGTGGCCCGCTGACCACACTGTGTGTATGAGTGTGTGGATGCCACGCTGACCCACCAATACATACCATGAAGAAGTCCACCAGGGGTCAGGGTTTGCCCCGCCGCCACCCTGAGACCACAGACCCACTGTCACTACCCAAGCATCATGATTCAGGCACTGGCCGGAGGACACTGAACTTGACCCTAAGATACTAAGTCCCAGCAGAAGGTGATGCCGTGGGTGGGAGGCCACAGCGAGGCCCCACAGGAAAGGAAGGGCCCCCCAAGACCTAGAGCTCACGTCGGGTTCCAGCCCTCCTCTCTGCCTCTGCCAGGGCGCCCGAGCCCGCTGAGCTGCAGCCCACCTCCTGCAGCTCCGAGGAGCCCCTCTTCAGCTCGCCGGCCATCACCAGCACGGACTTCAGCGCTCGGAGCCCGAAGTCATAGTGGTGCTGCTTGGACAGCTGCTCCCGGGCCAGCTTGTACAGGACAGTCATCTTCTTGGCCAGCGTCTTTGTGCAGAAGACGGGGAAGAAAGCAAGAGACGGACGAGATGAGGGGAAAGCAAGAGAGCACCGCCGTCCCCACGTGGCTGGAGCCGGGGAGGCTCCTCTAGACAAGCACCGCTGGCCTCCAGCCTTCGAAGTCCAAGGGCAGAGGGTGAAAGGGAGCTGCCTTTCCAGAGAGGATTGTCCCTCCAGGCTGGGGACATCATCACCACCTGGATCCAAAGCTCGGTCCCAGCAACGCGTCACACTTGGAAGGATGCTTCCTGTTGATCTGACCTAAGCGACCACCCAGGTTTCTTCTGTGCCCGTTTAGAGGACAGTTCCGTCACCTGGACCACACCAAGGCATGAAGCCCGAGGGTCCAAGGCCAGTGCAGGGGCTGGGGTCATGGAAGCAAACTAGAGATCTCTTCATGCCAGCTCAGAATCCTGACGGCCTAATGAGCAGCAAGAGCCTTTAAAAAACATTGCAGGAAAGCAACATAACAACGCTCACTGTTGAAAGTATTCTCTATTCTGTACCTTTTCCAGAACCTTCTGGAAATATATATGTCACACTCTGATAGAGATATTTTGAAAGAGAATATTATAAAAGACAGAGAGGTGTATATATTTTACATAAAATATATATAAGTGGGCATCATGGCACACACCTGTAATCCCAGGGACTTGGGAGGCTGAGGCAGGAGGATGGTCAGCCTCAGAAATTCAGTGAAGCCCTAAGCAACTCACTGAGACCCTGTCTCAAAATAAATAAATAAATAAATATAAATAAAGGGCTGGGGATGATATCATGTCTTTGAAAAAAGATAAATGCCAGATCTACATATAAGAGGTGTGTGTGTGTGTGCGTTTGTGTGTATGTATGTGTGTGTGTGTGTATATGTATATATATGAATACCATAAAAGATAAGTATGTATATATCTTATCTGTGTATATTGCTCTGCTTTTTTTCCCTTTATATGTAATTTTGGGGGGAGTTACCAGGGATTGAATCAGGGGCACACTACCACTGAGCACATCCCCAGCCCTATTTTTTTAAAACATTTTTAGTTGTAGGTGGACACAATACCTTTATTTTATTTTTATGTGGTGCTGAGGATCAAACTCAGTGCCTCACGCATGCTAGGCAAGCGCTCTACCACTGAGCCACAGCCACAGCTCCCCGAGTCCCATTTTATATTTTATTTAAAGACAGGGTCTCTCGTTTTTGCTGAGGCTGGCTTTGAACTCGCAATCCTCCTATCTCAACCTCCCCATCTGCTGGGATTACTGGCATGTGCCACGGCACCCAGCTTTATGTGTATTTTTAAGCCACGTATCTCAGGGGCATTATGCTGAGTGAGAAGCCCATCTCAAAGGGCCACATGTTGTTTTTTCCAGATATAGAACATTCTTAAAGTGACTGGATCACAGTGCTGGAGGAGTCCAGGCGGGGAGGGGCAGGAGGGAGTGCCCAATGGAGCTGTGATGCCTCCACATCCCGAGTGTGGTGACGGTGACTCCTGTCCACACGTGTGACCAGAGGGGCAGTCCATCCAGGCTGCCCTGAGTTACCAGCTCCGTTCCTGGGTCTGTTTGCTGGTTCCAGCAGTGCACTGCGGATGTGTGTGGGGACCCAGAGATCCCAAGTTACTCCTGTCACCCTCTTTTCAGTTGTAAATAAGTCCAAGTGTGCAAGTTAGGATGTTGGAGAGGAGGGAGGAGGAGACCCACAAGGCCAAGCTGCCCATGGCCCCGGCCCACCTTGGCCAACAGGAAGCCCTCGGAGAACAGCATGATCTCGCAGATCTGCTGCAGGTCGGGGACGATGACCACCACGGGCCGGAACAGGGCCTTCACGGACTCAGGCAGCTCCGTGCGCCCCGCGTAGCCAGGGTTCATGGTGATGAAGATGCCCATCCGCGGGTCCAGGGTGATCTCCTGTCCTTCAAACTGGGGGAGACAGGAGAGGAAGGAGGGGGTTACGCGGCTGGCTCACTCACCCAGGGAGGGGAGGCTCGGGCCAGCCACGGGGCTATTTATTTTCACATCACGAGGAGCGGACCCCATTTGTCTCCTTGAGCCTTGGCAGACCACCAAACTCTCTGAACCAAGGTCTGCACTGCAGGAGCCCAGGCTGGGAAAGCACGCAGACCAAGGCCACTGGAGGTGCTGTGTGATGCCCAGCGGGTCACCTCACTTCTCTGTTTCCCTTTCCCCCAAAACAGGGATACAACCTGCCCAAAAGCATAGTTGTAGCAATAAATGGGATAACGTGCAGGAAAGCAGCCAGCATGACCGGTCACCCGAGGCCCATTTCCACTCCTCCCTCCTCTGCCTGACCCTGTTTCCATCTCCATCCAGGCTGGGCACGGGCCTAATGGGAAGCTCAACCCTTCCTGAGAATCCCCTCGACAGGTCCCAGTGAGCTGCAGACATCTCCCTCGTCTGAGTCCCAGGGGTCTCTCTTGGTGAATTTCCTCTCCACCGACATTTTGATATTTCCTTTCTTTCAAATGTCTACCAGGTAGAAACAGAAATGTTTATTTTTAGGAGGTGCAGGCTGCATGGACAGGATGTCAGCCCTGCAGACAGCAGACTCCCCCAAAAGTGAGCCCACGGTCTTGCATCCCTGATCCACACTGAGCCTGTCCTCCAGATTCCCCAGGATCCCACCTGAGGCCCAGGTGATCCTTTGGAAAAGATTGGCAGGCCTGCCCTTAAAAACCCAGTTTCTAGGGCTGGGATTGTGGCTCAGTGGTAGAGCGCTCGCTTAGCATGCACAAGGCCCTGGATTCGATCCTCAGCACCACATAAAAAGAAATAAGTAAAATAAAGATATATATATATATATATATATATATATATATATATATATATATATATATTAAAAAAAAAAAACAGTTTCTACATGTGCCACAGGTGGAACTTCCCTCCCACATCAGGGAGCGCAGCCTGAAGCATTTCAGAGCATATGTTAAAGCTGCCTATCCAGAACCTTCACTGGAGTCCTGGAAGTACCAGTGCTCGTGCTCTCTCCACAGTGAGCCCCACCAAGGTCTGGGGGGCGGCAGGCCGGATGGAAGGCCACTGTTCATGCTGAGCCTCCCAATGGGGCTCCGAAGGGCCTCGGAGGGTGTGTAGGAGTAAAGGGGAAGAGAGGGACATGCGAGGTGTCATTGCAGGGTGGGTGGGTGAGTCTGCAGAGCAGGGGGCATGAGGTGACAGGAACCAGAGAGCTGCCCCCGGGCTACCTAAATTCTACAAGATGCTGCTTGTCCCCACTCACCCGCGTGCTGCAGCTGAACGCGGACTCTTCGAACTCGAGTCTGCAAACATCTTGGGCAGGGAGAGTTTGTGAATTCTCAAATTTTTTTTTCTTTTTAATTTTGCCTCTCACTTGGAGAGCAGCCTTCTCAGCCCTGCTTGTAACAACACCAGGAATTTGCAAGCACCCAGGCAGCACTCGCCGTGTGCGGGGACAAGACGGAAGGACACAGCAACTTCTGAAGTCAGGTTTCCTCAGAGTGGGGGACGCACCAGGGATACTCCCTTTCCTTTAAGGGGTCTGCATGTGGCTGACCCGAGAACCCCGTGCTACCTGACTGACTGTGTGTCCACAAGCCTTTCCAAGCCCCTGGGACGTGACCACCCAGAACCAGAAAAGATGGTGCCATCGCAATCGGAATGCAGAAGTCGGTGAAGGCTGGTCTCCACCCGCGACCCAGTTCTGCAGCAGGTTTCCCTCCAGGGTCCGACCTGGGCGCCCCTGCTGTGCCCACCTGGAACGTGGCCAGCTGGTGGATCAGGGCGTTCCGGATGGTCTGGATCTGGGACGAGATGACCGACAGCACCGAGGCGTCAATGCGGTTGAACTCATCGAAGCAGCCCCACGCTCCACACTGGGCCAGGCCCGAGAAGATCTTCCCCACTGCCTGGAACACAAGAGACACCACACAAGGGCACTTCTCCCTTGAAGCTGTGAGTGACACGCGGATGGATAAGTTTTCCAAATTCAACAACAAGATTGGCAGAGAAGCAGCCCACCAGCCACTCCACCAACCGATCTTCCTGGCAAGATGTCTAGGGCCTCTCATGGGCCAGCTCACACTTGGGATTTTACACATTGAGATTATTTTGTCTACAAAACTCCAGATTTCTCACTTCTCTTGAAATGCTCTAAAATCTAGCAACTGTGGGCCCGAATTCCCAAGTGGAGATAATGAACCACAGCGGAACGGGCACCCTCTAGACACCTGGAGCGCTGTTCTCCGTTTGGCCTCAGTCCCTCCCCATCGCCTCTGCCCGGTCCCTCATTCGAGCTGTCTCCCTGACGCCGCAGGCATGGAAGTCTGGGACTCCAGCTCTGCTGTTGCTAACAAGGCAGGCGTGTTTTAGCTCTGAGACTGCTGGTGAGAGGTTTTCTAGTATGTTCTTCCAGCAGTCACTGGTCATCTCATGGATGACCCGGAGGTGACGCTCTCTGCAGAACATGACAGCACACAACGCAACAGCAAGGCCTTACTTTGTAATCCATGCCTTCTCCACAGTTGGTCACGACACAGAGCAGGCCCAGAGCTTTGGCGAGGTCCTTGGTGGTCTCAGTTTTGCCGGTACCTGCAGGGCCAGCAGGGGCCCCTCCCAGGTACATGGACAGGGCCTGTTCAAGCGAAAAGCAAAGTGTCATTTCCAGACTGATCACTGTGACAACGTGTGGGACATATACACAGATGGATGTTAACCCCAGGACAACAGGGGAGAGCATCTGGGCAGCTGGAGAAGCGTCCTTTCTGGCATCTCTGAGGGAGCTGTGACTGGGCCCAGCAGATCCCCCAGGAGTGTGGGTGTTCTCTAGTCCATTGAGGACGGGAGGGGACGAAAGGCAGCTGCAGGACCCAGCCATGAGCCACAGCTGGGTGGCACCTCCCACCCGTGGTGCTGCTGGGCCTCGGGCCTCAGACCCAGGACAGAGCATCCAGCTGCCGGGCCTCTGAGCCACACGCCGCCCTCCTGGCTCTCCAGCTGTCAGGCAGAGACCAAGGGACCAAGCAGTGTCCAGAGCTCAGGAGCCAATGTCTCACACGAGTCTCCTTCTGTGGGTGAGGGTGAGTGAGGGTGTGCACATGTGAGAGTGAGTCTGAGAGTGAGTGTGTGAGTGTGTGTAAATGTGAGGAAGAGAATGAGTGTAGAGTGAGTCTGAGTGTTAGTGTGAGAGTATGTGAGTGTGTGTGTACGAGAGCGTTTAAGTGCGTGTGAGTGTGAGGGAGAGACGCTGTTGCGTGCAACCTGTCGCCTGTGTGTCTGGAGATCTCCAATTCCCATAAGGTCACGGGGCTATTTTCCGGGAGATAAAGGACTGTCTCAGCACGGTGACCAGCACGGGCGTCATCCTTGCCCATGTCCCCCAAGCCCCATGTGGTGATGTGGAGGCGCCCCGGGCTCTAGTGCCCACGCGGTGGGTGTGAGACGCTGCTGAGGAGCCGTGGCTCAGCTGAGGCCTGCAGGCTGGCCTGCACAGGCCTGCCCTGGACAGGGCCTCTCCTCTTTTCGGGGAGACACCGTCCATTCCCAAGGCTGTTTGCTTGAGCAGACCACCCGCACGACAGCTGTCACGCAATGTGCACATCCCCACTCGCTTGTCCTTCCCGATGTCCCCACATTTAACATCTCTGCACCCTTCCTTGCACCTCTCCTGTCCACCCCCCACTGCACTGGGACCAGTGTCCCCAGGACTAAGCAGCCAGCTGGAAACTGGTTCCTGAGGACGTCCCGATGGCTCCCAGAAAGGACACCCCCAGGCATCCCACCTCCCCACAGTGTCAACATGCTTCTGAGATGTCAAAGCAAGGCCCTCCTTGACTACATTGACTACCGCCACACAGAAGCCACCATCACCCACCCAGGCTGGCAGTCACCTGTGTGAGCGTCAGGTAGATCCGGTCTGTGAGGGGCGTGATGACCAGCCTCCCATTGAGGCCCATGTACTCGTAGCCGTAGCTGAAGGTGCCCGTGCACTGGCGGATGTGCAGCTGGTCTGGCTCCCGGTCCCAGTAGAAGCGCAGCTGACTCTCCCACTCGAACTCCCGGGCCTCGAGAATGCTGGACGGCAGGTGGAGGAGCGGGAAGGAGGCCGGTTAGAGGAGGCCAGGGAGGGACAGAGGGAGCCCCGTAGTGCGCCACGTCCTTGGAAGGGACCCACCTGCCTCGGATGAAGGAGTCGACAATGTCCCGGGCATGCACGTCGATGATGAGCACCGTGTTGTATTTCTTGCGGTCATTTTTGCTCAGGGACATGGTGATCCGCGTCACCAGCTCATCGATTTGCCGGTGCATCTTCTTGCCGTAGTTCTTCATGGCCTGCTTCTCGCCAGCCTGCACCTTGTGGAAGACGTCCTCCACCTCCCAGGTCCACCACACCTGGCTGGCGGCCAGCACCACCATGCCCTGGTACAGCAGCATCCAGTCCACTCTGTGGACACAGGACGCCTGTGAGCCTTGCGCCCACCCAGGCCGAAAGCAGCCCCGCAGGGCACATCTTCCTCTGATCTCGAGCAGGAGAGACTGGCAAAGCCCCAGGAGAGAAAATGGAACTAGGACTCCTGGCCAGAGGGCAAAGCAAAGGCCAGGCCAAAAACTACCCTCCAGAGAAATCCTGTAGGCTCCCGACAGCAAGGTAAGTCCCGGAGCACTTTAAAAATGTTTCCTCGTAGGTTTTCAAAATCACTTATATTACGGGTGTATTGGAGGAGATTTTCAAAAATTCCAACAAGGAATTTAACAAAAACTCTGCCCAAGCCTGTGGCAGCTTCCTGGGTTGTAGCGTCCTATCCTCCTTCCTCCGGCAGAGTTACCCTGAACTGGGGAGAAGGGTGCTGGCCTTGCTTCTCCAAAAATGGCTCCAGGGACACAAGTCAAGGTGCCCCTGACTGTCGTTGGCTAGCTCTCACGGACCTGCCTCGGGTCAGTGGCTATTCACAGAGATGCGCTCGAGGGCCATCTGTGGGGCCCTGGGGGTTATGCAAGCTGGCCCCTGAACCACCTCCCACCATCCGGTCCCGGAGGATGCCCTGGGCAGCACTGCTGTGGTGACGGTCCAGACGGCTTTGTGCAGGCCCCGCTGCCCATACCAGGTCCATCTCAAGGAGCTCACCTGCTCCTGTCCTCGCAGTATCTGAAAATTGCCTCCTTGGTAATCAGTCTGTTGGTCCGTCTCATTTCATTCAGCACGGCCGTCATCCAGTCCTCCACGCGGCCCTCGGCCCGGATGATCTTGCGGAACTCCATCACCTCGCCCTCCGCCGAGATCATGGCGGACACCAGCTTCTCCCCGCTGTCCCCATCGTGGAACCGCAGCTGGGCTATGTTGTCGTACATCTGCAACACAGCAAGAGGGCGACCACGACGCTGCTGCCTTCTGCTCTGGGATCGAGGGCAGCTCCCGGACACCTGGTGCCCACAAGAGGGGAGCAGCCCTGGGAGCGGGAACCTTCAGGTCCCCCACGCCGGGTGAAGATCCTGGGGGGTCTTCAGAAGAGGGAGAAGGAGAGGAGACTCTCCCCCTAGCACACAGGGCTCCAGGGCACCTGGGGAACAGGGAGGTCCAGACACTGTGGGACAGGGAGCTCAATGTGCAGGAGGTGGCCAGAGAGGAACCACAGGAGCTGGAGACCTGAGGAGAACCAGGACCCTCTGTGCAGTGGTGTCATCCTGGGCGGCTGGCTCCTCCTCCCTCAGCCTGGAATAAACCCTGTGCCAGCTTCTCCAAGGTGACTCGAACCCTAGGCATCTGCTGACTATCGTCACTGCTACTCTTCAGAGGAAAATGAGTCCTGTAGGGCCCAGGAGAGTACGCAAGTCACTCTGCAAACCAGGAGGAGAGGACAGAGAGGCCGCGGGCTTTACAGAACAAAATCGGGGAGGTGCAGGAGCGGCTAGGGGAAGGGCAGGGCTTCCGGCTCCCTTCTGCCTCACTAGAGCAGTCAGAGGCCTGTTGAGGGAAGTGGAAACAGAGCGTGCCCCACCCCCACCCCAAACCTCACCTGACAAAGGCGATTAGCTGGAGGGAAAGTGGGGAAGGAAGTTTAGGAGTGCTCTGTTAATTTGGAATAAAGGAATCTATGGGTTCTCAAACCTTGCCCCAGGGGACACTGGTTTTGTCTAGAGACTTCTGGGTTGTCTCAGCTGCAAAGAGGGCCTGGGGATGCTCCTGGACAGCCTGCTACACACAGGAACAGGACACCTGCCTGCGACAGAGTCACCCAGGCCAACGTGGAGCTGAGGATCCCACCCTGCTGACACCAGATACAGAGGAGCTAGCCCCAGGGGCAGGGACGGTTTTCTCTGACCTTCCACCATGGTGGTTCTTGGATATTCGTGTTTGTAAAAGGGTAACAAGTTGTAAGGTGGAAGGAATCACAACAAACTCAGCACCTCTAGGAACCAGAGAGCATGACATTGCTCTTCGTTCATTTCACAAGGGACACAGTGTATGACTATAGGGTTACGAGGGCTGTGGGAAAGGCTATTCAGACAACTGTGTTAGGCAGGCGCTGTTCTAAGTAGTAACTTGCTTCACCTTCAGAACAACCCCGCGAAAACAAGTAACTATTACAGAGGAGAAAACCAGTGCTCAGAGAGGTCGCACTACTTGCCAAAGTTCACACAGCTCTTAGGGAAGAGCCAGGATTTGAGCTCAGGAAAACTGGTCCCAGAGTGCGTGTGTTAAACCACTACTCTCCAGTGTTATTACATTAGCCTTTGTGATTTGGGTGGCTGTTGTTTTGTCTTAGTTTCTCAAAAAAAATAAATAAATAAAGGGGGGGAGGGGGTTGAACTGCGGGGAAAGAGCAAGAAACAGCTGAGTTTTGGTGAAGCTTCAGACTTAAGCGAATGTTGCCAGGTTCATACTTCAAGTCAAAACCCCAGCAGCGTTCACAGTCCCAACCCTCTGGGGGACCTCGCTGCAGAGAATGCCCAGGTGGACACCCCCATGGATCCGGGCGCGCCCACCTTGATCATGTGCTCCTGGACGCAGAGCGGGTCGCTGTTGCCCAGGATGCTGAGCAGCTCGTCATCAGAGATGAAGAAGAACCTGGGGAAGGCGTTCCTCTTGGAATCCAGGTAGTCGTTCAGGCTCTTCTGACACTTCTCCAGCCCCTCGCTGATGTGCTGCAGGTCGCTCAGGCGGTTCGGGGCCTCGCAGCACCTCTTGATCACTGGGTCCTTCAGGGTCTCGCCCATGATCTGGACGGGGCAGGAGAGAGCCGTCACCCCACACCCCGCGGACAGGGGCACTTCCCCAGGTTCCCACACAGGCACAACCCCGTGGGAGGCCAGCAGTCAGCACCTCCACATGTCCAGGTCACCCTCCCTCCCTCCCTCCCTCCAGGAGGCCAGCCGCACGGCAGGTGCCTGGCACCTCCAGCAGGGTGCACTGTACACACAAGAGCATTCGCTAGGGCACCTTGCACAGCAAAAGGAGGGTGGGGGGCATGGTGGACATGCCCTGTCAAAAGTCTGACCACACAGAAACGGGTAAATAATTAGCTGGGACAACTTAGATATTCACTGATTGAAATATGTCAAAGATGCAAAATGAAAAAAACTCAGTTATATTGGTAAGAATGATCCTGTTGTCACAGGCTGCTTATTTACTTATCTACACTGATTTGCAGGCGTACACAGGATAAGCCTCGTGCAAAGGTGTTCAGGTGTTAAAACAATTATCTTGGGACTGGGGATGTGGCTCCGTGGCCGAGCACTTGCCTGGCATGCTCGAGGCCTTGGGTTTGAGCCCCAGCACTGTACGAAATAAAACAAAAAGTAGTTTAACTTGGGTAAAAGGATTGTTGGTATTTTTTTCTTTTGTTCTTTTTTGCTTTACTTGTAAATCCTCCTATAATGAATTTGGATATTATCTGTTTTGGTTTTTTCCTTCAAGTTTTAAGACAGAGCTTGGGCCAATAGGTAAGAAAAACGTCATGAACTCTAGGGGATGAAGGAGAGAAAACACCAACCAGCCACCTGTCCCTGCAGCTGGGAACACAGGGGTGAAGCTAAGCGGGATTTGAGAGCGGGTAGTCCTCATCTAGATCACCAGCCCTCTTTACCAGCAGGGGAGCCCAGGGCAGCCTGGAAAGGACCTAGGCAGAGTGACACTTTGGGGTCGATTTGCTTCCTAACAACCTAGCGCCAAATGGGCAAACAGCATTAGACCTGCTCTTTACAAAAGAGAGATTCTGTTCTAACAAGAGGTGCAGTCAAGACCAATCAATGAAAGCAACGTCAGGCCGCGCACACCTAACTATCATGCAGAGCTGTTAAAATATTTCTTCGGTACTTTCATAATATGAAATGTTTTATATAATATTAAAGGAGAATTTTAAGATATAAAATTGCATGTGATACCATTGGAACTGCTGTTTGAACCTGTACACACAGGGAGGATTTCCAAGCGCTGGGCAGGCTGAGAGCCTCCTATCAGAGGTGCTCCGGGTCTCAGGTTTTGCTCAGAATTGGAGCATCTGTAGGTACGTGCTGAGACCCCCCTCGGGATGGGACCCAGGTCCAAGCAAGAAACTCACACGTGTTTCAGGGTGTGAAACATGTGTGAGGTATCTGAGGTGCTCTGTCCCTCCATCCAGACTATGCCCAGGGCTTGAAGGTAATTACATATTTTAAGACAATTCCTTGCAAAGCTTCATAGTGTGGAATTTTCCATCTTGGCATCATCTGGGTGCTCAAAAAGTTTCAAGTTGTGAAGCATTTGGGGTTTTCAGGTTAGGGGTGCTCAACCTGTACTGAAGGTTAGAGCTGCCCCCTGAGGGTGAAGGGACCATGGGCAATGCATTTTCTGCATTTCCAAACATTTTTTAAGTAAGCAAACATTGCTTTTATGATTAAAAAAAATAAAAATAAAAATTCGGCGTCATATGCCAGCAGCCAAGAATCAAACAGGATTTTTTACTAAACAGATTAAGGTCATGACTGAAAAAATTCAGAGGCCACCAATGGAGAAAGTGCACCCAAATTAGAAGCAAAGGCATCTCCTGTGTCCGTCCCTCCATCCAGACTACACCAGGCGCCCGTAACTTGCCCTTTTAAACATTCGGTCAATGTTGTCAAACTTTTTCGCCTCATCGGGAAGCTGAGATCTGATGTCTCCACCAATGAAGATGCTCTCGAGATACATCCATTTTCTCTGGACCAACATCCAGATCTGAAAATGTACGACGGTGATGTCAACAGGGGGGACCAGGCACCATGAGGAAGGGATGGTGAGATCCCACCCACCCCAGGACCGTCCGGATCTCTCAGTCCGGGACTCCGCAGGCCAGGGAGCACTGAGCACACGCAGGGCTGTGTCCCCTCTTATCCGCAGCATCCCTTCCATGGTTTCTGTTAACTGCGATTCAAAAGGACAGCGAGTTGTTCTGAAAAAGAGACCACATTCTGGAGGACTTCATTAGGGCAGCTTGCCAGGGCTGCGCTATTTTGTGAGTAGTTGCTGCTGTTGATCTCTTGCTGCCTGTGACGTGTAAGTTAACCTTTATCAGAGCTGTGTGTGTATCGGAAAAAACAGATCACACAGGGTCGGTACCGTCTGGTTTAGGGCATCCTGGGAACATGCTGGGACGTATTCCCTGAAGCATAAGGGGGCACTATTGAATAGGAATTCTGGAAAAGACTTAACAAACTATTTTAAAATAAACAGCCCACATTCAAAAGCCAAAGAAAATACTCCATGCCCATGCAGGAAGGGGAGGAAACTTCCAGCCACAAGCAGAGTCTGGAACCCAAGACCCACAACAAACAAGAGTCCCTACCCATGCAAAAGGCTGCTCTGCCTCTAGGTGCAGACCCAGAGAGCCAAAAACAGAGATTCTAAGAAGTAACTGCACAGGTGGCTCTTGGAAGCTGGTCATTATACCAAAGAGGGAAGTGACATAAATGTCCATCAGCCTGAATGGACAGACAAAATGTGGTCTCTTCATACAATGGAGTACTACTCTGCCATAAAAAGGACTGAGGGACTGGGCTGAAACTCAGCAGCAGAGTGCCTACCCAGTTTGTGCAAGGCCCTGGGTTCCATCCCCAGCACCTCAAAAAAAAAAGGACATAAAAATTAATATGTTTGCCAGCTGGCACTGTGGCTCAGTGGCAGAGCACTTGCCTAGCATGTGTGAGGCAATAGGTTCGATCCTCAGCACACATTAAAAATAAACAAAATAATGGTATTCTGTCTATCTACAACTACAAAAAAATTTTAATTAATGCTTGCCAATGTCAGTATTAAAGAATAGCAAGACAGTATTAAAGAAGGACAGGACTACATTGAGAAAAATTAGGAATCTCAGAAATTAAAAATACATTCATCACAAATTAAAACTCAGATAAACTCCTCCTTGGAGAAGTTGGGAATGCCTAGAAGTGCACTCCTCCCCCAAAGAAATCAAGACCAAAAAAAGGTATAAAAAAGGATCATTCATTTCTAAGCACAAAATATTCTCATATAAAGGTCTTTTCCTGCTATGAACTGGCTTTGCTCCATCTTTTGTCTTTGTGCTCACCTCAATGACTTCCCCTATTAGAGAAAGTGTTTTTTCCCATTTGTGAACAGTTTGCAGAAACGGGCCCACGAATCTGCTTCCCAAGATGCTCTGCAGGTTGACAGTGTTGTCATCAAGACTCTGAATGATTTCGTCCACAGACCCCAAAATGTAGCCTCGCTCCTGAGTGCCTTTGTAATACTTGAGCACGTTGAATTTCATATTTTCCCATGTGTCCAGAATATCCTTCACAGCCTGGTCAGAAAATTTTTTAAAAAGATTCATAAGTTGGAAAAACGGAACCCCAACCCAACAACCACCTCCTCAGCTTCCTTTGATCAGCACCTCAACTGGGGTCCTGGAGCAACCGTGTGAAAAGTCAAATGGTACCATGGAAGCATCGGTCACCACGTATCAAGAATGTGCTATGTACCAGGTAAGCATGTTGCAGGTATGACCTTGCTGGGTCCTCAAAGCAACCTCCTGGCAGGGGTGATCATCAGAGGGACTCGGGCTCAGACAGGCAAGGCAGCTTGCCAAGATTGTGCCCAGTTCTCCCAGAACCAGGCTTGACTTCCACAGTCCGCCTCAGGAGCCTGCAAGGTTATGGGGTCCTGCCCCTGGGCTGACTCTACTGCCCAGCCAAAAATCAAATTACTCAACAGTGTGCCCATGAGCATTCCATTTGCCAAAAACTCTGGTGTGTATGTACATGTATGCATATGTATTTATCATATGTGTAAATGTATGTGGATATGTTACGGTAGGTGTGCATATCTTTATGTGTGCACATGCAGTGTGTGTGTGAACACATGTGTACATGCAGTTTAGAGGCAGGAAGAGCATTCACCCAAAGGGTAGTGATAGCTGCATGGGCGGCAAGATCGTGAGGGATTTGGTTTCTTTCTGAACGTGCCACTGCGAACATCCATTGCTTCTATCATGAGTGGGAAGAGGAACAACAGAGGGGACAAGGGAGCGCTCACCGAGGCAGAGAGTCTATTTCTAGAACAAATAATTCCTTGTGACTCAGACGCAGCGGACACTGGAAGGAACGCACTCTCTGCTGGAGAACAGGCAGCCTCCCCGCTGCCCTCGCTGCTCGGGCTGCAGTCCTACCTTCTCGATGGCCACCTCCTTGACGGCCGCTGTGACGATCTCATTGAGGATATCCGTGTGCTTGTCCAGCTCCATAGCAAACATGTTTTCCAAGGTGAATGTTTCGGTCATTTCGAAAAAGACGCCTGTTTTTTCCATGAGCTCCTTCCAGTGCCTGCAAGTGCATCGACACTGAGACCTCATGCTTGCCGACGTCAGTGACGGATCCACGCGTCCCCACTAAAGCCACAGGACATGTCCCTCCAAGAAAACTTCTCGTGATGAAATTCCGCAACATGAGGACTTCACTGGAACTATATCCCCACCCGTTTTCCCAAACCCCGCCATCTGTAAGCCCGGGGACCGCACTGACTTTTGTTGTAAAAAAATAAAATAAAACAGAGCAGGCCAGAAAGAAGGTCACGGTCTGCGTCCCTATATCCCCAGCTTTGCCAAGGAACTGACAGGACGTGGGGCGCCGTGACCAGGTGGCAGGTTAGCGGGTCCGAAGACTCAACATCACATGACACCAAGTCACCCAGGTACAAGGTGACCCTGTCAGTCCCCGTCCTTCTAATTATGTCAAAGGGCAAGTCTCAGCTGGCATGGCTGAGTCTGTAATGCCTCGTCACTGTCACCCACCATCCTTGTTGCCCTAAGCAGGACGGGCAACAGGTCTGAGCTAAATTTTTTTTTTGTACCAGGGATTGAACTCAGGGGGACTGGACCCCTGAGCCACGTCCCCAGCCCTATTAGCGCCTCGCCTTTGCTGAGGCTGGCTTTGAACTCTTGATCCTCCTGCCTCAGCCTCCTGAGCCGCTGGGATTCGAGGTGTGCGCTGCTGCACCCGGCTGAGCTAAATTTTTAAAAATCATTTTAATTAAAAAAACTCCTTTCTGTTTCTGGTAGGTGCTGTTAGCTGTCCACTCACAGTGGTGACCTAAGTTTCTTTTTAGGATATGTTCATTTAAGTAAATAAGAAAGAAAATGATGGGGGAAAAAAAAACCAAAAAACCCAGAGCAGGTCAGTGATGCTCAGTGACACAGGGTGGGGAGCCAAGGGCTGCGGCCGTGAGCTAGAAAACGCTGGCGCCAGTCTCACGTGGGAGAATGTCCCCGTGTGCAAAGGTGGGCAGAGAGCCCGCGTCACTGGGCCTCGGTGACTACCTGCAAGGGATAAGCGGTGAAGCGGGTGTTGGGGGCTTGCAAGCATCTGAGGGAGAGGTACAGATGTAAGCAGGGGCACTGGGAGGATGTGGAGACAGGAGTGACTTTCCCAGTACACAAAGGAAGTCACCCACTGTTACCCCACGACCACGTGACCACATGTTAGGTGCTGTGGTGGGAAGAACACAATCCATAAGGCTGCTCCTGATCCCCGGCTGTTGGAGACACCGAGGTCAGCCTCCTCCCCCGCGGGACTGGCTACTCCATCAAGCCCAACAGACCTGCGCTGTCCGATGTGGTGGCTACTGAGCCCTGGGATTGTGCAAGTTCAAGCACAAATGCTGCGAGTATGGAATGGATGCCAGGTTTCAATGATTTGGTGTTGTTGATGTTGTTTGAACTGGGGATTGAACGCAGGGTGCTTGACCACTGAGACACTTTTTTTTTTCTTTTTTTTTTTTGAGACAGGGTCTCACTAAGTTGCTGAGGCTGGCCTTGACCTCACCGTCTTCCTGCCTCAGCCTCCCGAGTTGCTTCAATGTATTTTTTTCTTTTAAGATGAAATATCTCAGGAATAAATGTTTTATGCGGGTTAAATGTTGAAATGATGTTTTGGATATCTTAATTAAAATGTATAATTAAAATTAATTTCCTTTATTTCCTTTCATTCATTCATTTAAGGTAGCTGCCTAGAACACTGGAAATTACATACGTGAGTCCTGTTGAGTTTAGGCGGAATGGAGCTGACCAAGTCTTCTTGTTTTTTTTTTCTTTTAAACGTTTGAATAAAGCCATCACAAGCCACTTTACACTGGATGTTGATGATTTTATCGAAGCCGTGTCACAGACCTACCGCTTGCGCATTTACAGCCTGTGTCACCGCTGAAACCTTTCTCCGCCATCAGATTTAAGCAGGGACCCATTTTGCACTAAAAGCCCCTTCCATGCATCCACTTGGGCAAACAGAAGACAGAACAAACCTGTCCCTTAGTGCCTCGTGTTTCAGGTCCAGAAGTAAAGGAACCGACTCTTTGAAGGCCTTCATCTTTGCTTCCAAGTGGAAGGCCACCGTCAGGGTGCGGATGTGCCGTGGCAGCTTTCTGAGGCCCCTGAAGAACCCGTCAATGCCTTCCTGGAGGACCTGCACGTTCAGGTTCACCCACAGAGTCTGGGACCATTCTTCTTTGGCGACCTGGAAATGCACAGCAATCAGCCTTCAGGGAGACCCTTCAGAAAAGCAAAGGTAACCTGCTGGGGAGAGGGTGGCCCCAGCTCGGAGACCCTGTCTAAAGCAGGGACATCCACAGCCCAGACCAACCTCATGCACCAAGGACCTGCAACAAACACAGAAGGGTTCCACTTGTTCTAAGCCCTCCCCCAAATACGGCTGTGTCTGAAGACATGGGCCATCCAGGGACATGCCTCCCCGTCTCGAGGACAGGCGGGAAGACATGGGTCAGGGGTGGCCTGGGGGTAGAGCACAGCCCGGCACACTAGCACCAGAAAAAAAGGACAAAAGAGAGAACAGAGCCCAGTCCACGTGTCTGTCCAAGAGCCACCCGACTGAGGCCAAGGCATAGACTAGAACGTGTTGTCCCTGGTTGTCACAAAGAGGAGACTCTCTGTGCTGTTTTCCTGAGATTTAATGGAAGAAGCACTTTCTCATATCAAATCCACCACCGTGGGCTGTGTGCATCTGCAGCCCCCCATCGAGGCCTGGGGGGTCATGAAACGCGTTCGACAGGAAACTGAGTTCATGGGTGATGTGGATGTATGGGGCTCTGCCATCTCAGCAGGTCACCTTGCTGCGCATGTCACTGGGGAAACTGAAGCCACTGAACTTCCCTCCAGAAGGACCTCTGCCTTCCCAGCATGACCACAGGTGGATCTGTCTGTCTCCAGTTTGAGGCTACCTCTTGGGCAGACGCCAAGTACCACTCAAGCCATCCTCCTCCCGCCCCTCTCCTCCCACCAGCCTTTTCCTATCTCCTACAAACTCATGCCATAATTTCTCCCACCTGAAGCAAAAAAAAAAAAGATCATCCCGACCCCACAACCCCTGCACCCTGCTCCTCAGCCTCCTCTGCCACACCCATCTGTGCTGGGCTCCTAACTCCTGCCTTCCTGTTCTCTCTGTTTTTTCTTTCAACAGCTTTATTCAGAATTAATGGCTTCATGAGCTGTTTGTGCCTGGTCCAGAGATACCCAGTCCTGGTGACTGAGAGCCAGCCTCGGGGTGCAGAGAGCCCAGGAAAGAGGCAGGCGTATTCAGGTTGCACAGAGAGCGGTTCACTGGGGACTTAGTGACGGAAACACCCTTCTGGAAAGCAGCAAGACCGTTCCTCTCGCCCAGTGATGGCCAGGACAAAAGTGACATCATCCCAGCCCAAATGCACCTGGCTCACCCCAAGCTCTACCCGAGACATCAGGCACGTTCCAGCACCGAGGTCCGCAGGGCCTCGTGAACTCTGCCCTCCCTCCAGCGAGGCCGAGCCCCTGGTGGACCCTACCTTCAGGCCCTCGTAGAGGTCATAGATCATCCTAAGGCCGTTCATCTCCTTCTGCACCTTGAGTAGCTCCGGGTACATCGTGATGGGAAGGTCGAAGAGCTTCTCGGCGTTGGCCAGCTCCTGGCGGTTCTTCTCGTGCTTTGCGAGCTCCTTTTCAAAAACGCCTAGGAGTTCTACACCTAGGAAATGAACACGTGGGTCAGCGAGTGGGCGACGTGCAGACGAAACAGAATGAGAAGTCCCGGATAAGGCACATCGACTGTCGCTGTATCCACACGGGCCACAGGGGAAGCCGAACCCAGAACGATGAGACTGTCATCACAGCACCCTCCTCCCTGAAGCCACAAGGCCCTTCCATCTGCAAGCCCCTCGCTGAGAAGACTCTGGTCCTGGCACCCGGAGCAGGCAAGGGACGAGGCGGCCACAGGCAAGTCTGAGCTGTCCCCACCACGGTCCTTTGCTGCCCTCCTCAGAACTTCCTCGTCTCCCCGCGAACGTCATGACCCTACGCTTGTCCCCCATCCCCATGGCCTTCAGCCCTGCACATCACTAACCCCCGCCCAGACACTACCTGTCCAGAGGCCTTTCCAAGCACCCCAGGAGAACTGTCTCCTTTGAATCCCTGGTGGTCTGTGGCCTGTGCCGGTCTCATGGGATTCATCAAATTCCACCTAGACTAAGAACACTATCTCCATCTTGTTGCCCTTTGGGTCAATGTACTTGAAGGGCGGGATCAAGCACAGCGTGGTCAAGGGTCTCAGGCCAAACAATGAATGCCAGGGGAGGAGAGCAGCAAGGTCCCTGGAAGGAAGTGAGGTGACATCCCCAAAGGCAGAGGCTGGTGCTTACCATGCAGGTACTACACCAAGAATCTCTGCACCCCTCCGGGAGCAGGCCCTGCTCCCCAGCTCTCTTCTCAAAGCCTCACATGGTGGGCTCTTGACAGTCAATGCATTGAATTAGCCCAGCTTTTCACACATGAAAAGCCATCAAGGAGAAAAGCATCTGAAGGACAACTAGATATTTAAATGGTGACACAAGTACCACCCACCACAAACTTCCTAAGCAAAACAGACCCAGCTAGCTCAGCACACCCAAGGAAGAGGGTGACTTACCTCTGTCAAGGTCTTCACCAACAGAACCAGGGCCTTCGCTGTAAAAGCGCTTTGCAAAGTTCTCTATCTGTAATTTGTAGTTCATTATTTCACCCCGAGTGATCTGAGAAAGGCAAGGTCACATTAACTCAGTGCAGTGCAAACCCATTTCCCCCAGTGTCTTGACGTGGAGTGAGACGTGGAGGGTACCTCCGTGAACGTTCTCTTTATGCCTCCGAGAGCGTGATCCACGTTCAGCGCGTCGTTGAAGAGACCGACCCACATGCTCTCAATGTCGTTAACCTGTTCTTGCTCTGCTTCAGGAGGCTGATCAACAAACAGACAGTGAATTACCCGCTATTTGGGACTGAAGTGTCCCAAGCACTTCCCAGGATTTCTGGGTCTCCCAACAGCAGCCTGAGTCATTTGAACCAACTGAAAAAGCTGCTTGGTATATAAAAGTTATGCTTTTATAAGTAAAATGAAACCAGGACAAAATCATTTCAAAATATAGATAGCTGGGCGCAGTGCATAATCCCAGCTACTCTGGAGGCTGAGGCAGGAGGATCGGAAGTTTGAGGCCAGCTGGGGAAATTCAGCAAGACCCTGTCTCAAAATAAAAATAAAAGAAAAAGAAAAATGACTTGGGAGCTCCCTATATAGCCCAGTTGGTAGAGTGTTTGCCTCCCATGCCCAAGGTCCTGGATTCAATCCCCAGCACACCAAAATAAATGGCTGGGGATGTAGCTCTGTGGTAGAGTGTCCCTTGGCTTAGTCCCTAGTACCAAAAAAGATAAATAGAGAGATGGAGGTAACCCAGAGAGTTAATCCTTCGTAAAATAAAGTCCAGTTTCAAAGAAACCTAGTCTCTTATTAGAATAGGTTATCTCGGGTTGCAATGCACGTAGCTATCCTGTCCTTCAGAAGTAAAAACAAATCTCCTCTGATGAAATACAACTTTGTCTAGAGCCTCCAATTCTTTCCACACAAGGGGGCTTAAATGAAACAAAGAGACTCACAGACCACATAAACTGACCCTGATCAGACATAAAATTGAAAATGATTTTGCTTAAAAGAGAAAAGGAAACAGAAGGCAAAGTTGAGAATTTGGGCATAGAAGAGGAATTTTTTTTTAATGGAAATTCTAGAACTGATCATGATGATGCCTGAAGTGGAGAGCTCGAGGGAAGGGCTAATGAACCGTCACCAGTCTCAACCAAGTAGAAAGTGCTTGAACCCAAGGGTGAGGTCGAAATATTCAGAATGAGCCACAGGAAGAAAAGGGAGTGGTGAGGGCCCTGGTGAGCCAGCCTAATGCCTGTGGCCTGGAGAAAAGAGCACAGAAGAAAAGCCCCCAGAGAAAGGTGTGCATTTTCCAAAACTAGACAAAGGCATCAACCTGCAAAGTTTAAAGGTTCTACAAACCCCAATTGGGATTTTAAAAACAAAGAACCTAGTTACATCATGTTACAATTTCTGGAAACCAAACACAGAAAAAGATCTTTAAAGCAGACAAGAAGATGAGTTGGAGTAGACGACCTTCAAATGCAGCACCAAGGTGGACCATTGGCTTCTCAGGCGGAACCCTGGAAGCCAGAGGAGGATGGAATGATCTCCACCCAGAGAGAGGATAAAGGAAACCAAACATTGTTTTAAAAACGACTTATCAACTGTTTGCAAGGGTGTGGAGCAACTGATATCTGTGGTGTGAATGTAAATCAGTACCACCCCTTTGGAAAGCTAGCAGAAAACAGTAAAACTGAACATATACATTCCCTATAACTGTCCAGGCTCACAGCCAACAGAATTCATGCATGCAGACATGCAGCAAAAGTGTATGCAAACATGGTCATATCGGCAATGCTCATAATATCCCAGCACCCTCTAGTGGCACAGTTGTGCAGCAGAATATTACACAACAAAGACGGGGAATCTCAGAAATGTAAAAGTGAGTGAAAAAACACACCAAAGAGTATATACTTTATCATTCAATCTATATAAACTTCAAAAACAGGCAAATATAATCTCTAGTGTTAAAGATCTGGTAGAAGCTTCCTTTGCCAGGGAGTACTGCCTAAAAGGAAGGCTGGGAGGGGCTCGTGGGGTGTTGACAACATTGCATTCTTTAATCTCGGTTCTGACTACAGGGATGCTCACTGTGAAGATTCATCAAGTTGTACACCTGTGGTTTCTACAATTCTCCACAGGTGTGTTACGTGTCGATAAAAAAAATAAAAAACTCAAACTGATAAGCATCTGGTGTACCTGATGATCAAGACAAGTTGGAAGAAAATAAAAACAGCCAATACCAGAACGGACATGAAGCATCACTACAGCCTGCTGCCACTGAAGAGGGAATGAGACAGTATGAACATGTTCATGAAATAAATTTGAAAATTTAGATGAAACAGTACAATTCTTTAAAAATATAAACTTCCAGCAAAAGAACAAGAAGGAAAACAAAACAGAATCAGTAATCAGGCATCTTCATGGACACAGACGCGCAAGCACATGCACGGCCTCAGGTCCGGGAGTCAGAGCTCCAGCCTGATGCTTCTGCAGCAGATGGGCTGAAAGCCTGCAGCCCTCACCAGAAGACTGCTTAGAGCACCAATGTCCTGCAAAATTTCAGGAAGAGCCCAGAACCCCCTGAACTCATCCATGGGCTTCAAAAGCTACCCACACTGGACCACCCTAACAAAGACTAATTGAATGATCATGTACCAGTTTCATCTCCCTCACCTATCATTTTTACAAGGTCCTTTTATTAAAGAAAGTGAACACCCAGAAAGAAAAAAAAAGAAAGAAAGAAAAGAAAATGAAAGAAAGGATACAGGAGAAATGGTGTGCAGTTACAGACTGGTATACAAAACTACCACATAAGCTGTGCAAGGCCAAGATACAACCTCTAGCCCGGCACAGTGGCACATACCTGTAATTACAGCAGCTTAGGAGGCTGAGGCAGGATCATGAGTTCAAAGCCAACCTCAGCAACTTAGTGGGGCCCTAAGCAACTCAGTGAGACCCTGTCTTAAATAAAATATAACAAGAATAGGGACGTGACTTAGTGGTTAAGCATCTCTGGATTCAATCCCTGGTACCAAAAAGAAAATAAATAACCTCTAAGTTTAAGTTGTTCTAAATATCTACAGGTTGCCTTGCATTGGCGATGTATTACTTAAAGTCGCCTACTTGACGCAAACCAATGGCAGTATACCTGAGAAGGATTTCCGAAAAGGGTCCCAGGAGCCAACCCCAAAATGCAAAATATGTAAGAAAATAGCGGTTGACTCACAAAGATTTTATACATGGCCAGGGTCCGGTAGCGCTCCTGGACGTCCTTGTATCTTAGTTCCATGACCAAAGATTTACTTTTAATTTCTGCAATTGTTGCAAGAACAAACTTGAGCTCTTCAAGGGTGCTGGGACTCTTCTTAAGATTTTTGGACAGGGACTACGAGAGAAAGAAAGTTCCAAGGACAGTGAACAACTGGAAGAGCAGAGCAGTGCCAGGACAAGACCCACCTCCACCAAGTGGGGTTTCAGAGGAAGGCAGCAGCGGGGAGGGCACCTCAATCTCTTCTTGGAGACTTTCCAGCTCCTCCTTAGCCGACTCATTGAGGAGCCTCCCCAGTGACAGCACCCAGGACTTGGCATTTTCCTGTACAGTACTGGCCAGTGGCCCCAGCTGCAGTCTGATGCAGTGCTCATCCTTGACCAGCGGGTGGCGCATCACATCACCAGCGATCTTAGAATAGAACTGCAGCTTTTCATCGTAGGCCACACAAGGAGGTCTCCTGGCAGCAAATTTCTCCATCACAATAGCTTTGTCCAGTTTCCAGAGGGGTCGATAGCGCTTCCACCTCTGCAGGTACTTCATGAGATTGACCAGCAGCCTGTGGACATTTTGGGGGATCATGACAGCTTGCTCAATTATCTGAGGGTTCACGCAGATGTCATTGTGGAAGCTTATTATAACAATTTCTTCTTCCTCCCCCTTCTGGGGTGGGCATTGTATGCAGCTGCCATTCATCCATCGCACAAAATGCTGGCAAGATCAGAACCAGGGGAAAGACAGGATTTTAGTATCTGCTCCTTCTCCCATGGATATGTTGGTATTCAGCAAGAAGTCTTGCTGCTAATGGAAAATCACTTTATTATTAATAAGTTTTCCAGATTGCAAAAATTCCCACCATCAAAAAAGGCTGCTTCCCCAGCATGAGTCAGCCCTTGCAACTCCACTTGACCAGCAGCAAGGGGCAGAAGGGGGCCTTATACAAGACCCAGGCAGGGACTCAAGCCCTGCAGCCCATGCTTTTCTGCTCTGCAAACCTTGGGACCAGCAGCAGGCCAAGTTGAGCCAAGCCAGATACAGGAGAACCAAGATGCCCAGTCCATAGCCCACCAGTCATCACAGCTGTGAGTGGCCCCCAACTGGCAGACAAAGCCAAGAGTCTATGAGTGAGCACAACCAAGGCCCCAAGGTGCACTCAGCAGAACCCAGCCCAGGAACCTCGAGCTACTTACATAGTTAACATTTTTTACCTCTAAGGGCTGGAGTGGCTCGTAGGCAATAAAAGCTAACTGTGGCTTGTAGGCGATAAAAACTAAGTGGAGTATAGATAAACAAGACAACCTTTGCTTCCATATTTACAGATGAAGAAACACAAATCAGTCACACAAATGGACCGCCCAGCATCCCAGAACAGATCTGCAGATGCAACATCTCCCTGCTGTCGTTATTTCAAGACAAGGAAGGTCTTTCTATGTGTTGCCCAGGCTGGCCTCAAATTCAGAGAGCCCCCTGCCCCCCCCACACACTGGGACTGTAAGTAGGTAAGATTTCCCTTTTCTTTTAATCAAGTGTGATTCATGACAACAAGCAAGGAGTGCTTTTCACCTAACACAGTCATATCATCAGCAAAATAGGATCCCGGCAGCCACCACTTCTACTGCCATCATGACTAGCAGCAACACCAGCTCCAGTGGCAGCAGCTGATGTGCTCCTGCATGCCAAAGTCAGGCCATACTTTCTGAGTGTGATCCCCGGACCCTCCCAACAGCCCTTCAGGTTGAATTCCAGGTAACACATGGGGCTAGTGAGGAGAAAAGGTGAGCTGGCAGGAAACACAGTGATTAAGAGCTGTAATGTTTCAGAGAACATCACTGGGATTTACTTACACCTTGGAAATGGATCTCTTCCCCTAAAGGCTCAGTGATGTAACACCAAAAAACTAGAAGAATTTACTCAACAGAGTCTTTCTAATCTGACCCGCATGGGGTCAGATTATAAAATATGTGCAATTTATTCATTCATTTCCAAGCACAGTAAAATGAAATGATCCGTTTATTGTATGTAGAGTTATCTTCATTCTTAAAAATGCCTAAAACACACTTCATGGGAGAAATATGATCAGTCTGTTAATATATAAAAAAAAGTTCAACATCTCCAGCAATTAGAGAAATGCAAATTAAAACTGCATTGAGATTCCATGTCACTCCAGTCAGAATGGCAGTTATCAAGAATAAAAGTAACAACAAATATTGGTGAGGATGTGGGAGGAAAAGGTACACTCATACATTGCTGGTGGGACTGCAAAGTAGTGCAGCCACTCTGGAAAGTAGTATAAAGATTTTTCAGAAAACCTGGAATGGAATCAACATTTGACCCAGTTATCCCACTCCTCTGCATATGCCCAAAGGACTTAAAATCAACATACTACAGTGATGCAGCCACATCAATGTTTATAGCAGCTCAATTCACAATAGCCAAGCTATGGAACCAACCTAGGTGCCATTTCAATAGATAAATGAATAAAGAAATTGTGGTATATGTACACAATAGAATATTACTCAGCCATACAGAAAAATGAGGGAAGGTAAGGGAGGGTGTAGGAAAGACAGTGGAATGAGATGGACATCATTACCCCAAGTACGTTATGGCATTTTCCAGTAAATGGATGGAAGTGGAGACTACCATGCTAAGTGAAATAAGTCAATCCCCAAAAACCAAAAGCTGAATGTTCTCTCTGATGAGCAGATGCTAATCTACAATAAGTGTGGGGGAATAGAAATTCACTGGATTAGGCAAAGGGGAATGAAGGAAAGGGAGGGGGATGGGAATAGGAAAGACAGTAGAATGAACTGGACATAACATTCCTATGTTCACATATGAATACACAACCAGTGTAACTCCACATCATGTATGACCACAAGAATGGGAAGTACATATGTATAATAATAGTTCAAAATACACCTAACTGTAATGCATATCCAAAAAGAATTTAAATAATAGTTACCTAAAAAATAAACAAACAAAAAAACCACCTGATGGGAGCAAATTTTTACCACACGCACATCAGATAGAGCATTAATCTCCAGGATATATAAAGAACTCAAAAATATTAACACCAAAAAAAAAATAAAGTAACCCAATCAATAAACAGGTCAAGGAACTGAACAGACAGACACTTCTCAGAAGATGATATACAATTAATCAATAAATACATTAAAAAAATGTTTGACATCTCTAGCAATTAGAGAAATGCAAATCAAAACTACTCTAAGATCTCATCTCATCTCACTGTAGTCAGAATGGCAGCTATTAAGAATACAAACAACATTAAGTGTTGGTAAGGATGTGGGGAAAAGGCACATTCATACATTGCTGGTGGGACTGCAAATTGGCGCAGCTAATCTGGAAAGCAGTATGGAGATTCCTTGAAAAACTGGGAATGGAACCACCATTTGACCCAGCTATCCCACACCTTGGTCTATACCCAAAGGACTTAAAAACAGCACACTACAGGGACACAGCCACATCAATGTTTACAGCAGCTCAATTCACAATAGCTAAACTGTGAAGCCAACCTAGATGCCCTTCAGTGGATGAATGGATAAAGAAAATGTGGTATATATACACAATGGAATATTACTCAGCATTAAAAGAGAATAAAATCACGGCATTTGCAAGTAAATGGATGGAGCTAGAGAATATAATGCTAAATGAGGTAAGTCAGTCCCCAAAAAAACAAATGCTGAATGTTTTCTCTGATATGAGGATGCAGATCCATAATGGGGATGGTGGGGGAAGCATGAGAGGAATGGAGGAACTTCAGACAGGGCAAAGGGGAGGGAGGGGAAGGGAGCAGGTAGAAAAGATGGTGGAATGAGATGGACATCATTACCCCAAGTACATGCATGAAGACATGAATGGTGTGACTCTACTTGTGTACAACCAGAGACGTGAAAAATTGTGCTCTATATGTGTACTGTGAATTGAAATGCATTCTGCAGTCATATATAACAAATTAGAATAAATAAAACTAAATTTAAAAATAAAGGAAACATTAGAAGAAGAAAAAAAGAAAAAACGCCTGAAACACCCCTGTCCAGCTGAGCAAACCAGGTGAAGAGTCAGCCCCGGCCCCCAGCCCACAGAGACAGCCCCTCCTCTGGCTGTTGGAAACACAGCCCCTGGGCTGTTCACAACAGTCGCTCATTCAACAGGCCTTCACCAAGAGCCAACTGCGACCCAGATGCTCTTCTCAGTGTAGGGGATCCAAGGTGAAGGAGACCCTTGGTCCGTGTTCGCTGGGCCTTCTCCAGGCCGGTGGTCTATAGATTAATCAGCTGAGAACGAGGGAGGCAAGGGGGTGTCAAGTGGGAGGAAGAAGAGCAAAGGGCAGCAAGGCAGAGGCGCGAAGGAGCCGCGTGGGGTCAGGCAGGAGGGAGGGAGACAGCTCAGCGGCGCCACTGTTGGACGAGGTGGAGGACAACCCAGACAGGACCTGAGATCAGAAGGGCGGCAGGTGCCAATAGCGAGGGCCACCTCACGGAGGCATGAGGAGTGTGTTCTAAGTGAAATCAAAAGCCACTGGGAGGCGTCTCCACCAGGGATGAGGGGAAATGGTGTGCGTCTTACAGGGCAGATGGGATAGAGTTCATCCAGGGCCTGCAAAGGAGGAGCTGGGAAGACACGGGGGAGAGGCAGAGCCTGCGTCCTCCGCCTCCCAGGGGACCTGCCTTCCACAGCGGAGCCTCCTGCAGGGCAACACGGCCTCCGGCCCTTACCTTGGTGATCTCCACGCAGTTTCGGACACAGTTGACACACAGCTTGTCGATCTCGTTTATATTGGGGTGAAGGATGATCTCAGGAGCTGTCAGAATGGTCTCCGCTTGGAACAGAGGGACGTTCCCCAGGACTAGAGAATTAAAAGACTGTAGATTCCTAAGAGGACGAGGGGAGAAAACTCAGGGACCATTGGGTGAAACGCCCGACAACTGAGCCAACAGAAGCACCACCGCCCAGCAGGAACACACAGACTGGGGCCTGTGACCCTGTGCGTCCCTTTTATCCTGAATTTATGTGAATTGTGCATTTCTAATGTTGGAAAGTCGGCTACCTCTTGATGGGAAACGACAGTGATGACCTCTAAACACTGCCCGGCTCAGGTACAGGTAAAAGGAACACTCCCTCCCTCGCCCCATCTGCCATCCTGTGTTGTCCTTTCTGGGGTCACACAACCAGGGACATGCTAGGATGGGACACTTCTTCAGCCTTCAAATCTGCTTCCCCTCTTCCCCCCACACAACCCAGTAACCTCATGGCAGCTGCAGAGATTTTTAAAAACACCTTCTCTCTCTGTCTCTCCCCAGATTAAAACACTCCAGAACCCCCGCTGCTTTCAGAACCCCAAAGCCCCTGGTTAGGGTTTCTAGATTGTGACTGATCCAGCCCCACCTGACTCTCAGCTTTGCCCTCCCTCTTGACCCTTCAGCTGGTCTCTGGGTGTCTACACAGACAGCTCCTCTCCTTCCAGCCTGCTCCCTGACCTCAGGCCTGGGCTGACATGTGGCTTCCCATGGCCATTCTGGACCACCACAGTACAGCAGCCCTCAGACATAAGTTATTCGGCTGTGTGTCTTCCTCAGAAAGCACCTCACACACGTTCCCTGGGTCTTGCCTTGCTCCCCTGAGGGGATGGAGAAGCTCCCCGAGGACAGGGCCTCATCTGTGACCAAGACACAGTCCAGAGCCTGGCACACATCAGGCTCTAAGAAGCCTTCAACAAATGAATGAGTGAATGGTAGACCAATGATGGATAGATGGGTGGATGGATGGATGGATGGTGAATGGGTGAATGGATGGATGGATGGGTGGATAGATGGGAGGATGGATGGATAGATGGTGAATGGGTGAATAGATGGATGGATAGGTGGATAGATGAGTGGATGAATGGATAGATGAATGGATGGATAGATGGGTGAATGGATAGATAGATGGGTGGATATGTGGATGGATGGATGGATAGATAGATGGATATATGGATGGGTGGAGGGATGGATAGATGGGTGGATGGATAAATGGGTGGATGGGTGGATGGATAGATAGATGGATGAATGGATGGGTGCATGGATAGATGGGTGGATGAGTGCATGGATTGATGGATGGATAGATGGATGGATGGATGGATGATGGGTGTATGGGTGGATGGATGGATAGATGGGTAGATGGACGGATAGATGAGTGGATGGGTGGATAGATGGACAGATAAATATATGTATGTATGTATGCATGCATGTATGAATGGATGGGTGGATGGATAGATGATAGATGGATGGATAAATAGATAAATGAAAGGATGGATACAAGGATAGATAAATGTATTTATATATGTATGTATGGATAAACAAAAGGATGGAAGAATGGATAGACATGATAAATTGATGGATAGATGGATGGATAAATAGGTGGATGCAGAGATGAATGAAAGGATGGATAGATGGATGGATGAATGGATGGATGTATGGATGGAAAATAGCATAGTAGAAATGCAAACACTGCAGAAGGCAGCTCTATATACAGGGCTATTTTAGGAGTCTAAAAAGCAACAATAAAACATAAATGAAATATATAAAAAACAGATTTACTTAAAGAATCAACTTGTTTGTCAAATGGGGTCCAGAACACAAGGTCAAAGGTCTTTATTGTATTTATTAATGTGTTATCTCAAAGTGGATTTAGCAGCTCACAGAGACACTTAACTACAGGAGGAGACCCTAAAATCAGTGGAGTAGACCAAAAAAGGAAGAAGATGTTAATTCAGAGACTCTTGTGGTGTGGCACTATACTGTCCAGGTTCAAATCCCTGCCCTCTCTCTCCCTCACTGCATGGCCCCAGATGAGTCCCTTAACCTTCCAATACTTTGTGTCCTCTTCTATAAAATGGGGATGAGAACTATAAAGAGCATGGCACAGAGAAAAGTACAGGTAAGCGCTACTGTCTGTGAACTTTAAAAGTAAATATAACCAGAGTCAAGAATGAGACTAAGGGGCTGGGGTTATAGCATAGTAGTAGAGCACTTGCCTAGCACGCGTAAGGCACTGGGTTCGATCCTCAGCACCATGGAAAAATAAATAACATAAAGTAAAGGTATTGTGTCCAACTACAAAAAAATTTTAAAAAAAACAATGAGACTAAGAATGCAAATCATAAATACCTGTACACTAGCTACATTAGGCTACAAATGTGGTCCTAAGCTTCCCACCAGCCAAGGAGGAAAAGGAAAGTGATGCAGTCAACAATTCATCATGACCATGCCATTTAAAAACAAAACAAAAATGAAAGAGAAAAAAAGAAAAACACCTTTTCAGGAAGCAAAGGTCAAACAGCAAACTAGGGTTCTTCCCAAAGAACACTGTGTGAAGGGAACAACATCCTGCCATGTGGCTGTGACAGGCACTGCTGAAGGTCATAGGCCAGTTTCTAGAGTAGCCCTAGGTGGCCAGCATGCACACCAGGGCAGTGTGAGGGCCGCTACTGCGATGATGTCCAGGCACTCAGCACTGGCTGGCCGTAGCCAACCTGCAGGGCATGAGGAAGAGAAGGGAGAGCGGCTTCCAGGGGCAGCAGCAGGTGCAGGAGGCAACCCACACCCCTGACGACAGTTCCAGAGGCCAGTTACTAGGCCAGCAGGAAGGGGAGTGGGCCAGGGGTCTTTCCGATCGGTTTCTCTTGGAGACCCTCTGCTGCCAGCTGTGCCACACTCGGACCTCGGAGAGTCAGGGCAGACAGATGGATAATCCCGCACATTGTGAATGTCAAGGGACCTAACAAGAACATGAGCCCAAACGAAGGTCGCCCTCCTTCCTCGGGGCCCTTTTGGCCAGAAGGCAGCCTCCCGGTCCAACTAAAGCCCATCCTGCCCCTGCCAGGCCCTTCAACAGTCAGACAAACAGACATTTAACCCGGGAGTGCTGTCTGCAACACACACACACACACGGAGACAGGACTTACTTCAGGATGAGCCTCACCAGCACCTCGTAGATCCTGTTCTCCCAGTACTTGTAGTAGGCGGACAGCTTAGGGGCCCTGCCGGTGTTTGTGTGGATGACCAGGCCCTCGACCTTGGTCAGCAGTGGCCCGATGGCCAGGTACCACCGGACCATGTGATCGATGTCTCTGGCCCTCTCTCGCTCAATGTACTCAAAGAATTCCTTCACTCCTGCAGAGGAAGACCCCGTCACAGCCGTCCGTGACACAGGGAAGGACTTCCAAATCCCAAGCTGTGTGTCCAGCTCACACAGCCTCCAACCTTGACCCCAAAGTAGAAATTGAGTCAACACCCAAGTCAAGATACACCCCGAGCCAAAGATCAGCGACGACCCCCGAATGCGAGTCATGTGTGCACAGGTGTGCCCGGGACAGCAGGTGGCTTTGGGTGTCCTCAGGTGACCTTCCTTTTCTTGAATTCCTTGTTAACTAGTCCAGGACCACTCAAAACAACCCATAAACAAGCAAACGTGAGTCCACAAAGAGCACGGGCCACCTCACTGTCACCAAGTTACTGACAAGAGCACTACTGATTTCCAGACCTGAGATTCTGCAGAACTATTTGTCTATACAGTGGGACATGACTGGGATCCTTCCAGGTAAGTGTGTGGGACCTCTAGGCATGCTTTTTTATCCCAGTGGCAGAACAGACATTCATGTTACATACAAAACCCTGGCCAACAGGACTGCCCATCCCTCCTACGGCTGGAAAAACCAAGAAGCCAGTCCCACCTGGGAGCTCCTCCTCACTTTTAGGCGCTGGATATTTAAAGAGGTTTACGGACTCTATGAACGTGAGCCTGGAGGAAATGTCGTCAGAATTCTTGTGAATCTGGTGGACAAGAGACTCGAACTTCCCAATGGCCTGTTTGCACCGACTTATATAGTCAGCAATACCTTTGGAGAAAAAAAGAAAGATGTGTGGCTTCCAGCCCTGCCGTTCACATCCCTCCCACCAAAGACATTAACATGACACCCGTCACAAGAAAGTGCTTGTGCCAGCTGCTCGGGCCTGGGAGGGGCAGAGAGCCACTCAGACCCCTGAGGGACCGGGAGAAGGCCTGTGCCCAAAATCAACTGAGATCATCAGAAATGGCTTTACTCTGTTTATTTTATATTTAGACATAAATTAATTTCACTTCTATTTATATATGAATACATTTAACATTTATATGTATATCACCACCACGTTTCTTTTGCTCTTAGCATACTCATGTTTGAGAGCCGTGGAGAGAAAGCCCCATGGGGCCTGGTATCTTCTCACTGCCCCCTTCCTGGGCCCTCCACTGCCTGCTGCCTGCCCGCAACACCCCAGCCTGAGCTCACGAAGTTCAGCAGGACAGTGAGCAGTAAAATCTGAGGCAAGTACTTAGGATCAGTCCCATGCTTCATAACAACAACAAAAAAAAAAAAAAAAAAAAAAACCTCAAAAATGGTTGCAGACTGCTCGGTTACCCATGAAACTGGTTACGCATGAAACTGTAACAACTTTAGGGGGAAAAAATGAGAGAAAAATTTTAAGATCTAAGGCGAGTCGACATTTTACCAAAAACAACATCTTGGACTTCATCAAAATTTTAAACTTTGGCTCAACAAAACACCCCACTGAGAGGATGAAAAGACAGGCCAGAGTGGGGGGAAATACATGTGAAGCACACGTGCAGCTGGGAGCAGGAGCAGCAGCGGGAATGTGCACTCGGCTCTCGGGGCTCAACAGCACGTGCTGCGGCGAGCTGGGCGCCCGGCTTGCACTCAGAACAGTGTAATGAACAGGAGGACAAGCAGAGACCAAGAGACACAAGAAGACAGCAGACAGGCATGTGGCCAGCTGCTCAACCCCACAGCCATTGCAGAAATGCAAACTCCAACCACAGGAGACCCTGTGACCCAGGGGCCCAGTGGCCAGGGTGGGAGCATGAGGGAAGGGGCCCCTCCTGCGCTGGTGCTTCAAGCATAGAGCCCCCTGGGAGAACAAAGAGCGGCGTTAGGAAAACCAAGCCAACCACCCAGCTGCGCAGGACTCAGCCATCAACGCCGAGCATTCACCCTGGAAAACCACCCAGAAAAGGCTCAAAACATCCCATAAACAAGCATACGTGAGTCCACAAGAGCACGGGCCACCTCACTATCACCAAGTTACTGACAAGAGCACTACTGTATTGCTGCATTTTTATCACACTCTTGAAAAAAACCAAATGACAGCTGTGTGGAAGGGATAACTGGTCAGCAGGGATCGCTGGTCAGCAGGGTGTAAGGAGAGGGCGGGGACAGAAGGACGCAGGTTCCACTCCAGCCACTGGGCGTGGAAATGTCCAGGATCTCCAACGTGTCCAAGTCCACGTCTTGGGTGTGATATTTTGATTCTGCAAGAAGCTACCTCTTGGGGGGCACCAGGTAAAGGATCCGTGGGACCTCCCTATATTTAATTCTTACAATGCAAGAAAGCCAAGTATTCTCTCCCAGTTCCATTTTTAATTTTAAAAAGTAAAGGTCACTTTATGTTCAGAGGTGAGAGGTCAGTGGAGTGTCAAAGTAGCACACTTTTTAAATTTTGTTCCCAGAGAAAGCCTGGGGATTCATTCCAAGTTCCACAAAGAATTTTTTTTTTTTTATTAACCCTCAAAAGCTATTTAACTCGGGCTGGGGCTGAGGCTCAGTGATAGAGCACTTGCCTAGCAAGTGTAAGGCACTGGGGCTCAATTCTCAGCATTGAATAAATGAATAAAATAAAGGTCCATCAACAACTTAAAAACTTTTTAAAGCTATTTAACTACAACTATGAACGTGAAAAAATTGCAATTCAACTCAAACAATCTAAAAGAATTATTTTTGGCGTCCCAAAGTCAAAAGGGCAGTCAACAGCAGGGCCCTGTTACCTAGCGAGTTCCAGTTCAGCCTCTTGTAGCCAGATCTGAACACGCGGACCAGTTCCTGTGAGTGATCATCAAGGAGGAGAGTCTCCGCCTCATTCAGGGTTCCAATGAGCATGTGGTAGTGGTCCAGCATGCGCTGCATCCCGTCTGTGTACCTGCGTGTTCCAGGACAGAAACAGTGACGCCCGGGAGAAGCTTAATAGCCCAACTACAAACCACCAAAGATCAGGAACCAGCACGTTTAATCAAGAGGCCTGCAGAGGGGAAGGGCTGTAGCTCAGCATCGGAGCTCTGGCCTAGCAAGGACAAGGCCCTGGGTACATCCTAGCACTGGGGCAGGGGGTGGGGGAAAGATTCACAGAAACTTCCAACAATTCCACTATTCTGACTAATTTTGTTTTAATATTGGTTGTTATTTGCATTAACATGTAATAGTTTATTCTTGTTCTTTTTAGACTGGTGAGTAAACTCATACTTTAAACACTTCCTAGTTTTTTTTTTATTACAATTCTTAATACACATAAATACCACATTTTTTGTATTTCTGTTTGTATATAAATATGTTGACACCCAATTCAAGTCTTCATACATGTACTTCGTATAACGATGTCCATCACATTCCACCATCCTTGTTACTCCCCTGCCCCCTCCTTCTCCCTCCCACCCCTCTTCCCTATCTAGAATTCAGCCAATTCCCAAAAAACAAATCCCCAGTGTTTTCTCTGATATAGGGAGGTTGACTCATAGTGGGATTGGGAGGGAGAACATGGGAGGAATAGATGAATTCAAGTTCTTGATGAAACAAAGATGTGGAAAAACGCTTTTTCATGGGACACAGAAGACTTTGTAAGCTTTAGTGTGATCTTAGATAAGAGATACTTTTCACAATAGCTGTGTCTCCTTCTGCACATAGATCATCTCAGAAGCTCAGGCCCTACGTATATATATGTTTTATTTTTGTTCCAACTTAGCTGATAGTTTAACATTGCTCATGGTTCAGTCATTAGAGATAACAAGCTTCAAGAAAAAAATCACTTCTTCTGTCTTTTCCAGGTCACCAGTGAAGCTGGCTCCTGAATTCATTCTGCTTGCTTTACCCCACAGGCTATGAGCTTACATTTCTGTTGAGTAGCCAGAAGGGTGCCTGTATTTGGTCAAAATACTTTTGTGTATTTGTATATTTTTCAATACAGTGACCAAAATGGAGGGAGGAGCAAGAGATCCATCCTGTTCAGAGAATGATACTTCATGATTCAAATTTAAGCAATTTTTCTCCAAGATGAGGCCATACAAGTTCACTCAATTACTTTGTAATAAACACCTACAGGTTAATGTAGTCCCACACTCAATACTATTAACCACCCAAAGTCTAGGGACTATCACTGTCTTCTTCCACTTGTGCTACTAAAACAAAATACCAGAGATTAGATAATTTATAAATAAAAAATGGGAGTTCATAACCCACTTGAATCTAATGTATGAAATATGATATATCAAGAGCTTTGTAATTTTTTTTTATTGGTTGTTCAAAACATTACAAAGCTCTTGACATATCATATTTCATACATTAGATTCAAGTTGATTATGAACTCCCAATTTTACCCCTAAACACTTCCTAGTTTTGAGTGTGGTTGCTATGGTCTGGATCTAAGAATGCCACCCACCCCTGCAAGCTCATGTGTGAGGCAATGCAGGAATGTTCAGAGGCGAAATGATGAGTTTATCAGAGCTGGAACCCCATCACTGAGTGGACTACTGGGTGGTAACTGTAGGCAGGCAGGGCATCACAGGAGGAAGTAGGTCACTGGAGGTGTCCTTGGGGACTATATCCTGTCCCTGGCTCCTAAGCTCTCGCTCTGCTTCCTGGCTGCCTGGAGTTGAGCAGCTCTCCTCCACCACACCCTCCCACCATGATATTCTGCCTCACTCAGGCCCAGAGCAATGGAGCCAGAGACCAGGGGCTGAGCCTCTGAAACCAGGAGCCCCAAAGAAAATTTCTCTCCTCTAAATTGTTCTTGTCATGTATTTTGGTCACAGCAAGAAAAAACTAACACACACCGTGGTCGATGTTGATAGTTATAAGACCCAAATGAAAGCTCTGAGGGGCTGGGGTTCGATCCTCAGCACCACATAAAAATAAAATAAAGGTATCATGTCCACCTAGGACTAAAAAATATTTTTTAAAAAATTAAGGCTTTGGGCTGGGATTGTGGCTCAGCGGTAGAGTGCTCGCCTATCATGGGCAGGACCTGGGTTTGATTCTCAGCACCACATAAAATAAAGGCATTGTGTTGCGTCCATCTACACCTAGAAAATAAATATTTTTTTTTAAATGAAGGCTTTGAAGGGAGAGGGTCCTAAGTAACTTTTAAGAGTATAAGGGGCTGAGACCAAAGAGTTTACTGATGGTTTAAGAGAAGATCTGTTTACCTAAGAAATTTGTCCTCTTGGAGAGCAATGTTTCTTGCGAGTTCAGGGACAGAGAATCCCAGCTGTTCCAAGTACTTGGTTTCATGAATAATCTCCTTGAGAGCTGGAGAAAAATTGATTACAAAAATAGCCCCCTTTTCCAGAGTCGACGCCTCCTCATTGTTGGCAGATGTCTGTGGAAGAGAAGTCTCATCAGCCTGGGAAAGACGGGTGGTCCGAGGAGTAGTAGGAGTCAGCACACTCCAAGTTAAACGTGAATTTGAAAAAAAAGATCAATGTGGGCCCCTTCTCCCTGGAACTAGATGAAGTGAGCATTTTCTTTGGTGAACAGAGTTTTTAAAAGAATCTAATTTCATCACCAACATTTAAAAATTAGGAAATCCCATAAAAATCCAGAATTCTGGCTTCCTTTGAAAGCTAGGGAAATCCAATCACATCGGCAGGGATAGGCTGGCAGTGGGCTGGCTGCAGCTGCCCCTTTGGATAGGACGTAAGCAATCCAAGCTCCTGGGGGGTCCCACCCAGCCCTCTTCCTTCATGTCGGTAGAACTTGACAATTTGGTGGAATCAGGAACCAACAACCTCCAGCTGCCGGGTTCCTCCTAACGGCTGCATTTTTTCCCACTGAGCACTCAACACACCAGGCCCAGTGGTTAAGATAAGGATGAATGGCATGAGAAGGCATTTTTCTGAAGTTTAAAAAACGGTCCACTGTCAGCTGTTCCATGCATGGTTCAAGTGACACTTTGCATGTCTCTGTCATCTTGTCCCATTTTCCATGCGGAGACCAAGGTTAAACCTCGTGACCAGAATCACCAGGACTGCCGACCAGCCCATTCATTCCCTATCCGTCTCCCTTCTCCTTTCCACCCACCTCATGGGGCTCAGCAAATCACACTTCGGGAAAAGGTGTAATGTGCCCCATCTCGGCCCAGCCAGGGCAGGAGTCCACCGCACACCTTAGTGAGCAGGCTCTTCTTCATGAGGTTGGGCAGGACCTGCTCCGTGGTCTCCTTCCACTGCTCGTACTTGTGGTCCTCGTAGTCCTTCATCGTCCGACCCACCTCCAGATATTTTTGTTTGACCTATTGAAGAATTCAAGCAATTTTGTCCTCGGAAATAACATTTTCTCATCTCTCTCTCTCTGCCTACCTCTATTCATTACTTATAACACCTTGGTTCGAGTAGGTGTGACTTGAAGTCCAGGCTTGCTCTAGCATAGATCATTAAACTGCACCCCCAGCAGCATGTGGTATGGCCCATGCACTAAGAATTGTTCCTTATGTTTTTAAATGATAAGAAGAAAAGCCATGCTCTGTGATACAGGAATTATCTGAAATTCACACAGCAGCGTCCATAAAGTGCAGTGGGTTTGGGGGTTTTCTTTTTTTTTTTTTCGATATTGAGGATGGAACCCAGGGGTGCTCCTACCCCTGAGCTACATCCCTAGGGATTTTTATTTGATTTTGAGACAGGGTCTCACCAAGTTGCCCAGGCTGGCCTCAAACGTGCAATCCTCCTGCCTCAGCCTCCCAAGTTGCTAGGATCATAGATGTGCACCACCATGCCCCGTCCCATAAGTAAAGCTTTACTGAAACATCTTGTGGGCCTGTCTACTCCTCATCTGAGAATACTCTCACAACAGTATCAGACTGACTGGTTACAACACAAATCGTGTGAGCTTCAAATACCCCAAATATTTACTGCTTGGATCTTTAAGAAAAAGGTGGCCGACCTCTGCTCTGTAATGAACAAAAAGCCATGGCTCGCTGGGAGGACCCGTCCCAAAAGGCAGCGGTCATAGGTCAATAGAAACCCTCAGGACCCTGGAACGTGTCCTGTGTTTAAAGATGCCATAGAGAAAGGACACATAAGGCCGTTTTAAATATAAGCCCTAAACTCAGGACCACAGGAAAGACCCCCTCATCTGCAGATGTGAGTTTGAGATCAATGCGTTTCTCACATGGCCCGATGCCGGTGGTGGCCACCCAGGCAATGATCCCCCTGTACCCGGGAGACCTGCCGCTAGGAGGGAGCAGTGGGCAGATGGCAATGGCTTCAGAAAAGCCACCCACCTCCTGGCCCCGCTCGCTGTCCAGGATCTCCTCCACTTCCTGGAACCTGAGGATGGTATGCTTGATGCGGAAGAACAGAGACCGCTCCCAGTAGACGGAGCCCGCCACCGGAGGGTGGTTCTTGTACAGAGGAGGGTTTTCGAGGTTCTTGACAAAGATCTTATTCACGATGTCGATCTGAAAAGCAACGGAACGTACTGTTGGTGCTGGACGTCACCACGTGAGCCGAGAAAGAGGTGACGCGTGGATGCAAACTAGAAGCTGGAGGGGTGTCCCAGGACACAGAGCTTTCACCGTGTGTGCGCCCCACGGCTTTCCCTCGTGCTCCTGGTCATCCTTCCCTTGGCTCGGCATCTGCACTGCTCCAAGTGGCCTTAGGGACGCAGGCCCTGCTCGCTGCACACGCTGGATTATCAGACATCTGGAAATCTCTTCTAGACATAACCAGGGTCAAGTCGAAATGATAATAAAGCAGCAGCATTTCTGGGCATGGGGCGTAGCACTGCGGCAGAGGACTTGCCAGGCAAGCGCGAGGCCTGGGCTCGACCCCAGCACCGCTGTGTTCCTGAGCATTGCATTTGAATGATTAGGGGTGGTCCGCCTCCAACCCCAGAACCTAAGGGTGTGACACGGGCCAGCAGAGTTGCAGACAGACTTGAGGCTGCAGGTCTGCGGACTTTAGCATGGGAGCTCTCCTAGACAGGCATCACACTCACAAAGCCCCTGAAAACAGGCAGGAGGGACCAGGGAGAGCCCAGAGTGGAAGGGGCAGGAACTGTCAGAACCGGGGCAGAACAAAGCGGTGGACCCTCCCTGAAGGCTCCAGGAGGGAATGCAGCCCCACTGACCCCTGGATGCAACCCAGGGCAATGGTGACAGATTCTGCCCTCCGGTTCTACAAGAGCATAAACTTGTGCTGAGGTCACGGTAGGAAGATCTGCCAGAGCAGCAGCAGGACTAACACCCGAGGGGTCCGCTTGGGCCTTTCCTTCCACGACCCCCGTTGGCCTAACCATTTCCCGTGTTCTCAGCTTATCTTGTGATTATTCACTTGTGTGCGCATGTGTGTTTCTCCCACTAGAAACTGATTTCTTTTTGTTGTTGTTCTTTTTTGTGGGGGTGGGTACCAGGGGTTGAATTCAGAGGCACTCAACCACTGAGCCATATCCCCAGGACTATTTTGCATTTATTTAGAGACAGGGTCTCAATGAATTGCTTAGGGCCTCGCCATTGCTGAGGCTGGCTTTGAACTCACAATCCTAGTGCCTCAGCCTCCCAGGCCACCGGGATTATAGGCATGCACCACCCCGCCCGGCTAGAAACTGATTTCTTTAATGGCAGTTTCTGCGTTTCACTCATCCATCTCTGTGCTAATGTCATCACTTGGAACACTGAGCACTAGATGACTTTTTCTGAATTAACCGTCAGTATGTGGACAGTCCCTGGACGAGGTTAGCCACCACCACTATCATCATTACGATTATTTCTGACTCCTCAGGCCTGCCCTAATGTGAGGGAGACAATATTGTACTTGATAAATGCTTATTTAATTTCTTCACCGAGTAAACAAAACCGAGCTGTTGGGGTCACCCCCATCATGTGACATGCTCCTGGGGAAAACTCTGCGGTTCCCTGGCATTTACATAGGAAAGGGTGATTCAGTCCATTTGGCCACGTGGATTTTTATTGCCACAAGAGCTATGGATTTTCCAGTTACCTCTTTACAATATTGGGCGAGAATGTCATTAAATTTCATCATCATCTGCCGATTCACAGCCTCCCGCGAACGAATATGCTTAAATTTTAAGAGCATGTCAAAGGCCGCTTCGGCGGATCGAAGTGTCTTAAAAGATTCATCAATGAAATTTTTTGCTTCTTTCTCAATAACCTGGAATTAAAAAAAAAAATCATAAAGCAGCCCTCATGCCCCTGTAACTATTCTGCAAAAACAAAGTGGCAAGAAATGAGGGAAAAAAAAAAATCCATGACGGGAGGAAAAGATTAACATTAAACAGAGACATGAGGTGGGAGGGAAAGGTAGAGAAAAGGGAAATTGCATGGAAATGGAAGGAGACCCTCATTGTTATACAAAATTACATATAAGAGATTATGAGGGGAATGGGAAAAAAAAACAAGGAGAGAAATGAATTACAGTAGATGGGGGTAGAGAGAGAAGATGGGAGGGAAGGGGAGGGGGGGATAGTAGAGGATAGGAAAGGTAGTAGAATACAACAGTTTAATATGGCATTATGTAAAAATGTGGATGTGTAACCAATGTGATTCTGCAATCTGTATTTGGGGTAAAAATGGGATTTCATAATCCACTTGAATCTAATGTATGAAATATGATATGTCAAGAGTTTTGTAATGTTTTGAACAACCAATAAAAAAATAAAAAAATAAAAATCCATGACGGGGGACAGATTTCTACTGCACTTCCATGGGAGCTGGCACAGCTAGAAACAGCAGCTGGTTGCAGGGATTTTCTGCTCTCTCTCACCAGCCAGTTCAAAACAAGGGGGGAGAGAAGATTTACAAGAATTAAATCATATTTTTAAAACACATGGGAAAGAGCCAGGTGTGATGGTATACACCTAAAATTCCAGTTGCTTGGGATGCTGAGGCAGGAGGATCGTGAGTTCAAAGCCAGCCTCAGCAACTTAGTGAGGCTCTAAGCAACTCAGGGAGACCCTGTCTCTAAATAAAATATAAAAAGGGCTGGGGGCGTGGCTCAGTGGTTAAACACCCCTGGTACCAAAATCCCCAATACAAAACAAAACAAAACAAAAAAAAACCATGGGAGGGGACAAGAATGGGAGAGAATTGGCGGATTTTTTTGCCGTACAGGAACTTTAGGAAGGCCAAGAATTATAACCTCATGTATCCACGGGGGAGCAGGTGAGCACTGGTTTGCTCCAGAAAGAAAAAGAAACCTCTAGGAGGCTGAGCATTTGGAGGCACCAGGCTGGGGGTTGGGGTGAAGGCCCGGGGCAAACGCAGCTCTCTCTGCCTCTGCACAGCCAGGCACCCCCCATCCGCACCCCCTTCGATAAGAGTGGAGGTTAGTTCTAAAAAATTTCAAGCAGAATGATGCCGGAAGCGAGAAATTAGTGACAGACGTCTTCAAATTTCCGAAGTGATTTTCCACTTTGAATTCCGTACCTCTCACCTCGGAGTTCACTCGTACCAGACTCAAAAATATATACGTCCCGTGAGACCTGTCTGAAGAAGCTACTCAGAAATGGGCTCCAGCAAAACAAAGGAGTCAACAAGGGGAGACATGAGATCCAGGAACCTGAGGACCCTGAGGAGAGTCCCCGTGTGGGGGGCGGTGACACCTGTCCCACCTTGATTCCCAGGCAGGGGGGTCTGTGCTGTATGGAGCAAGCCCTGATCACGTCCAGCTGCATGTGAACTTGGTCTGCCTGGGGAGTGGTGCGGGGACAGCTGAGGAACGTCCATGTCGCCTCACACCTTACTCTGTATTGTTTCTGGGTTTTACTAATAAGCAGGTATTATTTTTTGTGGTTTAAAAACAAAGCAAAGGGCTGGGGATGTGGCTCAAGTGGTAGTGCGCTCGCCTGGCATGCGTGCGGCCCGGGTTCGATCCTCAGCACCACATACAAACAAAGATGTTGTGTCCGCCGAAAACTAAAAAATAAATATTAAAAAAAATTCTCTCTCTCTCTCCCTTTAAAAAAAATAAAGGTATTGTGTCCACCTACAACTGAAAAATAAATATTAAAAAAAAAAAAAGCAAAGAGGGGTTGGGGCCCTGGGTTTGATCCCCGGCACCACATAAAAATAAACAACATAAAGGTATCGTGTCCACCTACAACTAAAAATATCTAAAGAAAAAAAAAAAAACTAAGTGTCACTAAACAACCCAACAAATTTAACATGGGGACAGCATGGTGACTGCTTCCCAGGTCACATAGACAGGTGTGTGACTTGCCAGGACTTCGATCTTGAAGTCGTCCATCACAAATTTCCAGTACTGGGCGGACTTGTTGCTGAAGGGGTCGAAGGTGAGGTTTTCCATGGGGGTGACCAGGCTGTCCACTCTGCACAGGACATCGTCGATGCGCTTGGGATCTCCTGTCACAGCCTTCAGTTCTGGACCAAATATATTGTAGAATTCCTCCATAACCTGCCAGACAACAGAAAAGGAGGCTCTGCGTTTTTGTTTTCTCGTGAATATTCCAACTACAAACGGAGAGCACATATACATTTACCTGAGCACAAGAATCCCGTCACACAGGCGACCACCACCCACTGAGACCTTTGGAACTATGCCACTGCACTAGGACCACACCTGGACACCGACCCCTGCTCACATGTCTGCACATTCTCCCCTGCCACCCCCCACCCTTCCCGGGCTGCTCCTGCTTGCAGCCAGATGCCCATTGTCATTTTCCCTTCCTTCCTGCCTCAGGGACTTTGCACTCACCACTCAAAGAGCCTCATGGTTCCTGCTTAGCCCTGAATGTCTCTTTCTTGTGTCCAGCACTCACAGACCCGCTCAGATCCTAGCCATGCTTCCAGAGCACCCTCCACTGCTTCTTGTGGCCTTTCAGCTGTAGCTGTGTGTATGTGATTGTCCTTTTCTTCCACTAGTTGGACTCTCCATGAAGCTAAGGACTAGGGAAGTGTTCTAGGGCTGGCGACCCAGGCCCTCGCCCTGGATAGGTGCACAGGCCCTCCCTCAGGTGTGGCCTGTCACCATCACAAAATTAATGACTTTTCCTGTGAACTTGTTTATGTCAACACAATCCGTGGAACTGTGGTGCACAGGTGAGCAGAACCTGCCTGTCTGTTGTCCTTGCCACCACCTGCCCCCGCCCCGTGCACCACACAGAGCACTTCGATGCCCCCATGAGCAGGGGCTTCCAGTGGACTCCCGAGACTCAACGCCAGCCGAGGCAAGTGCGTGGCATCTACAGTGAGTAAGCAGGGGCAGAGTAAGCAAGGGCACCTGCCGTCCAAACCAGGGCTTGCAGCCAGGCACCATGGTGCACACCTGTAATCCCAGAGACTCGGAGGCTGAGGCAGGAGGATCAGGAGTTCAAAGCCAGCCTCAGCAATGGTGAGGCGCTAAGCAACTCAGTGAGACCCTGTCTCTAAGAAAATATAAAATAGGGCTGGGGATATGGTTAAGTGTCCCTGAATTCAATCCCTGGTAGCCACCCCGCCCCCCCCCAAAAAAAAAAAAAAAAAAACAGAGCTTGCTTCAGATGCAGGAAGGAGGCAAAGAAATGCTCGAGGCCAAGGCACCCTGCCACCGCCTTCCCTGCTCCTGCTGCCTCCTGCTCCAGCAAGAGGGACAATGATATCCATAAGGCAAAGGCAGGATGATCCTGAGTTCCTGTTACCTCCCAGCTCCTCAGTGAGCCCGAGGGACAGGGTCTTGGGAAGAGGTGTGACTCTCCCCTAATGAGACCAAAGCTGCGAGCTGGCTACATGGAGAGCTGCCACTGTCCCAGAGCAACAGAACAGGTCTGCAACACACCAATAGGAGCTGCCGGGGGCTGCCTTTGAAGCTGCTCTTGAACCACTGAGATGCCAGCAGCATCAAAGCCTGGTCTGTCTTCACTTTTTTTTTTTTTTTGTACCAGGGATTGAACTCAGGGGCACTCCACCACTGAGCCCCATCCCCAGCCCTATTCTGTAGTTTATTTAGAGACAGGGTCTCACTGAGTTGCTTAGCCCCTCGCTGTTGCTGAGGCTGGCTTTGTACTTGAGATCCTCCTGTCTGAGCCTCCCTAGCCGCTGGGATTACAGGTGTGCACCACTGCACCGGCCCTTCACTCTGTTTTTTTATTTTTATTTATTTATTTTTTTGACCCTCCTACTATCTTGGCAAACTTCAAATCCATGGCCAGGATAGAGGCACGGGAAGAAAAAAAGCTTCCTGACATCTTCATTCTTTTTAAGGCCTTATTTTCTGCTTTTTTAAAAGTTCACCTGTTTACATGCAGTGCTGAGAATCCAACCCAGGGCCTTGCACATGCTAGGCGAGCGCTCTGCCCCTGAGCCCAGCCCCGGCCCCTTATTTCCTGCTTTTTGAACAAGAGGCCTCGCGCTTCCATTCTGCCCTGGCCACTGCCATGGTGGGGCCCACCCTGGTGTTTTCTCACTCCTGCACCATGCCTGCCTGCGGGGCGCTCTCCCTACATGTTTACGATGAGGGTCGGCAGGCCTTCCCTGTGCCCACTCACCCATCAGACACTAAGCACTCCCTCCATCCCCCCAACAGCTCCCACGGACAGGTAGACCCCATCCCCGGCAGGCAGAGGCAGTCGCAGCAGCAGGCCGGAGGATGAGGCATCAAGACAGAGAAGAGGGCAGCCCAGGAGCTCCAGCATTAAGAGAGGAGAGGGGAGGACCCTGCAGAAAACGAGCAGCCGAGGGGACTGAGGGAGAACAAAGTGCAAGGACAGAGGGACGTCACCGAAGACCACCAGCATGCAATGGCACCTTGTGGCACCTTCTAGAACTTTCTATGTGTTCTCCTCTCAGGCCTTTCAGACCCCCAGCTTCTACACACTGCTGGAAGAATAAACTGCTTTCCCTCCAGCGGGTTCTCTGGTCACGTTTGGTTCTCACATCACCCCCACACACCTGCAAAACGTCATAGAGGTCCTGGCAGATGGAGGCCATGTAATCCGTCCTCTCAAATAGCCGCTTCCGGTCAAACTCCCACCGGGCCTCTCTGCCAGAGGCCTCAATCTTGGCGCGGGTGTCAAAGTAGGCCTTCTTCCACATCTTGAGGGTGTTCTTGGCATCCAGGGTTTTGTGTTGGGCGCTCGTTCGGTTCTCCCTGTAGAGCGAGGGAACAAGGGGGCCCGTAAGGGGTCTAGGCCAGCTCTGAGGCCCCTGACCCGCTGCCGCAGCCTCTCCAAGTACCACAGGGAAGAAGTCCAGGCAAAGAAACAGGCACCGCCTGCATCCCGGGGCCAGGCGTCTCCCACAGAGAGCCCAGGACTCCCAGAGTCCCCGCTGTGACCTGAAGTGCTGCCCTCTACCCCCGCCCCCCTCCCTCCAGCCGCGCTGAAGTTCCCCAGGGTGGGGAGGGAACCCCCGTCAGGGCCCAGCCGGCCTCACAGCCACAGCCACTGTGCCACACTGCCCGGCGGGTCTGCCTGGGATAGCAGAGGAATAGGGAGCCTCCGTTGCCAGGACAGCGGTCAGTAGTGGGGTCTGCAATGCCAGACTAAGATGGCACTGCCACAATTTGGGGACCTATTTTATCCACACAGATCTTTCTTTAAGAAAGCAAAATAAGGGCTAGATGTGGTGGCACACGCCTATAATCCCAGGAGCTCAGGAGGCTGAAGCAGGAGGATCACAAGTTCAAAGCCAGACTCAGCAACTTGGGCCCCAAGTAACTCAGCAAGACCCTGTCTCAAAGTAAAAAATAGATATTAGGGCTGGGATTGTGGCTTAGCGGTAGAGCGCTCGCCTAGCATGCGTGCAGCCCTGGGTTCGATCCTCAGCACCACGTAAAAATAAATGAATGGAATAAAGGTATTGTGTCCAACTACAACTAAAAAAATAAATATTAAAAAAAAATAGATATTAAAAGCTGGTGGGGGGGGGGGACTTTGGATGTGGCCCAATGCTTAAGTGCCCCTGGGTCAATCCCTGGTACAAAAAAAAAGGAAAGAAAGTAAAACAAGGGGGCCTGGCAGTGTGGTCAGTGCCAGAGCGTGGGCTTGGCACACACGAGCCCCTGGGCTCCATCCCCAGCACCAAAAATAATGAAAGAAAAGGAAAAATCGTCTCCATTTCCTTCAACATCCTCCGTCATCCCTCAACATCCTAAAGGCTGCCCACCTGAGGGGGCTGGGGTCCAGGACCCTCTGCCTCAGTCTCTCCAGGTAGAACCAGGGAAGAAAGCCCCAGCAAGACAAAAAGTTTATGTATAGATAAGATTATATAATTAAATATCAAAATATAATTATATGACATGTGCAGTCATATAGAATATTTCATCAAGTGAATGATATGTGTGTATGTATGTATGTATGTATGTATTTATTTTTATGATCCATAAAAAGGCGTGAAGCACTGACATATCTGCAGCCCAGATGAGCCTTTAGAGCGTACTGCTAAGTGAAAGAAGTCTGACCCAAAAGGCCACGTACTGCCCCAGGCCAAGGGCATCTGGGTCAGCTGTGACTGCTCCAAGTTCCCAGATTTCTCTGGGGAATAGAAATGCAAATATTCCGACATGACCTTGACCACCGTCACGCAGTCCAGTGGATACACCAGGAGCTGCAGCCCCAAGAGGCCCTCTAAGTTCCCAGCACAATGCCGCAGGGCCACCTCTTACTTGAACAGGGTGCGAAGGTTGACCACCCGGCACACCCTGTCGGCGATTTCCCAGGCCACACGCTCCATGAGCGGGATCATCCTCTCGTCCTTGTTGTAGTGCCGGGAGATGATCCACACCATACGCAGGGCGCTCATCATGGAGGGGATGGTGTCCAGCACCACCTGGAAGCTGGCCCCATGTGTGATGTTCTGTCAAGGGGACGTGCGGGAGAGAGAGAAGGGTGCGAGATGAGCCTGGTGGCTCCAGAGGCTGTGTGTGCAAGAAGCGTCCCTCTCCTAATGCAAACTGGACGCGCTCTGATGCAGAAAGCTCAATGAGGGTCGTGAATGAAGTAAATAAAGCAGATTTCAGAAGTGTAAGGAAGCGTGCACGTAATCATCCTTCCCCTAAACCTGTGGCTGCTCAAGTCCCTTCACACACGGCTTGGCGTATGCACATCCCTGCTCACCTCCTCCCGAGGGCTGAAGTCTCCTCCAGATCCCAGGCAATGCCTAACACGTGGAAATGCTGTGAACAGTTGCTCTGTGTGTGTGTGTGTGTGTGTGTGTGTTGTTCCAGGAATAATGACAAGGAAAAAGCCTGCCCACGTTCAGAACAGATGCAGCTTTTCCCCAGACACCTTCCACCCACAGTCAGCTGACTCTGCAGGCGCAGAATCCCGGACGGGTAGACACACGCACGGTAAGCATGGGGCACGTCCATCTCGCGCCACGTGCTGTTTTTTCCAGAGACAGCAGGGTGGCCCCTCAGTCCTGCCCCGCCTGCCCTCGGCCTGCTCCATCCAGGGGGCATGCACTCCTCTCTACCCCTGGACCTGGGCAGGCTCTGCATGTGGAATACGGGCTGCAGAATGCTCAGGGGGCCTGCTCCCTGCCCCTTGGAAGCTGGGCATCACGGAGAGGCGTGGACACTCTATTCCCCTGAAGCATAAGCGTAAGCAAAGAGAGAGAAGCCAAGGGGCACCCAGACCCAGACAAGGAGGCAGAGAGGCAGAGAGGAGGCAGAGAGGCCATCCTGCCTGCCACAGGGGCCAAGATGAACCCCCAGCAGAGGTCTCCCAGGACTGCCAGGCCACAGCACAGGGAGACAGCCCAGTGGCTGTTAAGAAAGTTAGCAGGGGTTGTGGCTCAAGCGGTAGCGCGCTCGCCTGGAATGCGTGCGGCCCGGGTTCGATCCTCAGCACCACATATAAACAAAGATGTTGTGTCTGCTGGGGGAAAAAAAAAAAAAACCTAAAAAATAAATATTAAAATTCTCTCTCTCTTTAAAAAGAAAGAAAGAAAGAAAGTCGGAGTTAGTGATTGACAGACACGGGTTTCAGTTCACAGACCACAGCTGGACACCCAGCGCCATTTGGATTTAACGCCTATGGACATCCCCTTGGAAGTTCATGTTCCATAAGGAATTTTACATGTGACAACCTCCTCCCAGAGCCGACTGGGTGAGGCACAGCACAGGTCGGACCTTGAAGTGACGCTCCACAGTGGAGAGAAAGCGCACGTTGTCTGAGGCCTCGATGTGGTACTTGAACAGCTCCGCCAAGACTGGCTGCAGGTTGGCCACCAGCAGGGAGTCCGACTCCCTGATCACATCCAAGACTTTTCTGACTGTCGGAAGCTTTGTCTGCTCATAGAGGGCACTTAAGGTGGCGTTTCTTTCCCGCCAGAACTCAATTTCGGCCAGAGGGCCATTACCCTGCGAGGAGACAGGGACATCAACACACACTCTCATTGTTAACCCAGGGTGTTTATCAGCTTCTCCAGTGTCCATCCTCTCATCCCAACTGCTCAGCACAGGCAGACCCCATGCAGGGTCTCAGGGGCGGGCTCAGGAGCTAGGATGGTCCAATCAGAATCTCAGGACTCCAGGTGGGAATGCCAGGCAGAGGCTTCCTCTGGGCAAGGCCATCTGCCAGACACGGCTGAAAGCTGCACTATGGAGAAGCCTCACCCCCAGGATGGAGGTTGGAACCAAGAGATTCTCAGTTGAGTTGGGGTTCCTGTTTTGGGCAGCACAAATAATACTGGCTGCTACACAGAATTATCTTTCCAGTCTAGGAATTACGAGGTAGCTCACTAACAACAAAAAGTCCAGGAATGATATCTTGGGTGTGTTTGCTTTGATCTTTTATTTATTATTAGTGTGTGTGTGTGTGTGTGTATATTTTTTGTTTTGTTTTGGACAGTGTTAGGGATGGAGCCCAGGGTCTTCTCACACATTCTAGGCATACTTGACCTTTTAAGGAAGTTACAAAACAGTAAAAAAAAAAAATAGGCAAACTCACGCAGATCCCAGACTTCCGGCTCCTTCTTGGGGCAGAAAGCCTCACTTGTTATCAATGATCTTTGAAAGCCCTGCCAATCACCTGGGGTGTCTTCTTCAGCTGGCCCTCGACAGCTGCAGATATCTGATTCAACCAGTTTATCACACACTGCTCCAAGGTTTCCACGGTGTCTGGATCAGCCGCCAGGTTAGACACCTCGCCCTCTAAACTGATGCTTGGCATTTCCAACTTGATCTCACCTAGAAAAATGAAAGTGTTTAGTCTAGTTTAGGAAAATTGGTTCCAAACAATAACATTGAGTTAGTCAGCTGGTTCTTCTCTCCATATAGCAGTACATGGTCTAACATCTTAGCTCTGTTCCAAATCTGTCTCTATCTCATTTTCCTTTATTAGAATGTTAATTAAAACACTTTAGATGCCTGTTCCAGGGGTTAAGTTCAAGCAGAATGACTTAGCTATCAAAGATATTTCTGAATTTACAATTTAATGAATTCAGTTTTTAAAAATGGGTCATAAAATAAGAGTGCAGTAGATATTTAAGAAAACCCCTACAATAGTACAAAGATAAACCAGAAAAAATGACCTCACAGGAAATTGAGATGGAGCACATGCCTGTAATCCCAGAAACTTGGGAGGCTGAAGCAAGAGGATTAAAAGTTGGAGGCCAGCCTGGGCAACTTAGTGAGACCCAGTCTCAAAGTAAAATGAAAAGGGCTAGAGATGGTTCATGGTAAAAATGCCCTGGGTTCAATCCCAAGTACTCAAAAGAAAAAAGAAGAAAAGAGAAACAAAAAGAAAATGGAGATAAGGTGAAGAAAAGAAGAAAAAAATTAATCCCAACTATTTGTCTCAGATATTTAAGATAATATGGCATCCTTCAAACAAGAAGAGAATGCTATGAAAAAGGTACAATCACTACTTAAGGATGTACTCCTGTACACTGAGACAGCAAAACCCAACTAAGAAAAAAGGCCTAGGATTCTAGAAGCAATATCAAAAAGATAGCTATGAAACATGCTGAGATAGCAAGGAACCCACATTACATCAAGACCCTGGAAAGGAATACATTCAGTGAAAAGAGGGCCCTCTCACATGCAGGGAATTTTGTAAAAACAAAGAGGCCTTTGTACAACATTTTAAGAAAAGCAAGGTAAATGGGAATAGAAAAGGTGTACAACAGAAGTAAAACTATCAAAATATGCTACTCTGTTCTACAGTATACAACATTCCTATAGCTGTAATAATGTACATGCTGTTTACCAATCAATAATAAAAAGGAATGCAACTATAACAGAAGGAAGACAGTAAACTAGCAGTATGGAATGAGGGAACAAATGGCAAGAAATTATACATAATGTCTACAATTAAAAAGAAACAGCAGAGCCAGGAGTGGTGGCACACTCCTGGAATCCCAGAGAGGCAGGAGGCTGAGGCAGGAGGATCATAAACTAAGGCCAGCCTCAACAACTTAGTGAGACCCTGACTCAAAATAAAAACTAAAAAGGGCTAGGGATGTGGCTCAGTGGTAAAGTGTCCCTGGGTGTCCTGGAGCGGTGACTTGAATCACAGTCTTTGACTCCTCCAGCAGGAGCTGCACCTGCGCTGGGGGACTTCCTGTGCAAAGGTGCAGGTCAAGACTGCCCAGTTGCCATGGTGACACCCTGCTTAAAGGAGGTTCTGTGCATGGCACAAGACTATCAATCTTAACCCTGAGTTCAGACACCACTGCCAGGGGTAGAGAATCGGGAGCGTAAGTTGATAATTATAACTGTCTGCATGCTCTGAAGAAACTTTCCCATGGAAAACCCTTTTTATCATCACACCTACGTGATACACGTCTGAGCTGGCTCTGGGCCACCAGTCTCTGTCGGGGAATGGCGTCCCACCTGCTCTCAGTTTTTCCTCTGCGTGCATCTGTTTGCCTTTTCTAATCCCCCCTTGCCCCTCACCAGCTTCTAACGGCCGTGCAGGTGGTGGCACCTGGGGTTCAATCCCCGCCACTATAGAAATTTTTAAAAGTCTGGATCTCTCCACAAGGGTCTCTCCTTTTTCCGTTTCCAGCAGGAGAAATTCCCATGGGGTGGGGATGTTAAATTTTACTTTAAAGGAAGAAAAGAGTTTATTTCCTGAGAATAACCACCCCCTTTACAGGCCTTCCCAACCTGCGAACTCCCACGTGCTGTGTGCATTATGTCTAACTTCATTGCCCACTGCCAGATCGCTCGCCTCCTTCCTAGCCCTGCTGGTAAACGTTCTGTTATCTATTCATGGTTGGACCCTAAAACTACAGCCACGGAGAGAGACCTCACTAAGGCAGCCTCCCAACTCTGTCCTCCCCACACACGTCACCACCTCCCCTGCCCTGGCTGACCCAGGCCGAGGCACTCTTGGGGACCACCTGCCCCCTCCAATGGAGTGCAGAGCCACTCAGTGCAGCAGTGGTCGCCAAGTGCCACCTTCAGATGAGGTGAAGCACCACTTCCTCAGGTGGCCCCTGCTGCTCCCCTTGCTAAACCCAAAAGTTCTTAATATTTTTCTGAAGCTCCTTGTTCTGGACTCAAAGATCCCTAAGGACAAGGATCGGGTCCTTCCTTTCTGCATCTCATGGCGACGGGCTTGGTGTCTGCACAGCGTGTGCGTGTAAGCCACAGTCATCATCAATGAGAACAGAACAGCTCCATCCTTCTCCGCAAAAGAGCAGGAAACTCAACCTACCTTCCAGCTGCTGCATTGTTCTCTGAATGCTGTTTGCAAATTTCTGAAGGTTCATTAAGAATTCATCCCGTATGAGCTGGACGCTGTGGTACTCTACCGGCTCCCCGGACAGGTCTCTGTCGTATAAGAAAGAATCAGACGGCTTCGCAGATGGGACTCCCAGGGTCATGTCCGTCTTGTGCTGGTTGAAGGACAATGCTGGCAAAAACACCTGAGAAGCCAAGTTTGTGAACAGGTCACTGGGCGCCATTTCCAAAAACTCAGGCCTCGTGTGGACCCTGGCCTCAAAGGCTCCGCTCTATTTCAGTACAAATAGGCCAAGAGGAAAGGATCCAAACCCAGAGCGCAGCCCCAAGGAGGGAGAAACTGCCCCACACTTAAGATGATCCAAGGGTAAGAACTGTCACCAGCCTGATATGGCCACCCAGAAAACAGTCCTGTTTGTTCAGCAGCCACCAGGAAGCAGAAGTCAGAGACGGAGCCCAGGGGACACTGCCAATGCACCCCCTCAGCACCATGCCAGTGTGGGCCAAGGAAACGGAGTGAGGGGACCCAGAACTGGGTCTTTGCAAAGTTTCATGGGCACTTATGAAGTCCTTGGAATATAGTGACAAAACCATCCACCCACACCGTAAAAAGCAACATGCCAATTGCATGTGGCTTGGTGTGGTTGGCTGGTTGGTTGGGTTTTGGTTTTGGTTTTTAGTTTCCCCTTTTTAAATTTACAAACATTTCTGAGGATATATGGAAGCATCCAGAATGCTTGACCTGAAGCTTCCAGCCCATTAAGCTGACTGCATGCTCAGTGGGGCATGTGAGCAGGCCCCTCTGTGTCATTTCCTGCATGTTGGCAGCTGGGTCTGTGGCCTTGATCAGAAGCTTCATCCCCAAGCACTCAGTGGCTCAGTGTTTGACCAGCATGCGTGAGAACCTCCGTTCCCCCACCCCAGCCCCACAAATGCAAGAACACCTGCACCTAGACTATGGGTGTCTTTTCTGTTAGGAGACAAATAAATGGTCCCCTCCAACCCATTGATGCTCAAAGCCCAGGTCCATTAATCCACTGGAATAGATTTACATTCTAAATATTCTAAAATTTAAAATATTCATATTAGATTACAAACTAGTATTGCAGTATAGTACACAATAATATGTATTAAAATTCATACTCTAATAATCTAAAATTCTCTCTCCTAGCTGAAACACTTACAGAGACCTCCCTCCTCTGCCTGCCATGTAAGGAAGGCCATGTAAATGCTGGGCTTCTCTCTATGTGCCTATTTTAAAATTGTATCCTGGTTCCCTGAGGACCTCCAAAAGTGACCCATCAGGATTTTTAACATCATATGGACTCAAGGGTTTGTGCTTCAACCTGGTGCGATCGTCACCCTGTTGAGGATGATGGTTGTCCTGTCTTTGCCCAGCATGAGGCTCTCGGGAGGCCCCGATGTCCTTTGCACACATCTCTAGAGTCAGAGTGGTGGACGGGACACAAGAGCACTGGACAAACAGACCCCAGGATACCCATGCACAGTATGTGGCCGGCCGGGTGGACTCAGCAGCGGTCATCCCTGGTGGCCAAAGCCCTGGGGACACACTTTATCTCTGTACCTCTGGTTTGCTTGGGCTTTCATAATGAGTGTGTATGTCTTATGTAATTTTTCAAAAAAGAATTGCATACAACAAACTTCAGGGAACGTGACAGAAAGCAGAGGAACCTCGCATTTGGTTGGCCACTCAACCTGCCACCTGTTGGAGTTAATTGTGTCATATGTTGATCTATTAGATAATGAGAAGTTTGATTCAGAAGATGGCCAGGGATCTTGACGTCCCGAAATCCACACTAGGAAAAACGGGAGACAGGCAAGCACCCACCGGTGGAAACACAGCCACGCAGTCGGGCTGGCCCAATCCACAGGGCAAGGTGGACGTGGAGAGGCCATTCTGGCCAGTCCTCTGTGGCCATCCTCTGTGGGACCCATCCATGTGGAAATCACTAGTGACAAGCCCACCAGCCCTCCTCACTTCAGCCGCACACAGCGCGGAGCACTCCTTCTCCAGGCTTCCGGTCACGCCTCTGGGTGTCCCTCCTCCCTCTATCCTTTCACCTATGTTCCCTCCCTTGGTTATTTCTTCTAGTCCCTGGGCTTCATGTGTCTCCATGACAACAATGCCTGTATTTTTTTTTATATTTTTTAGATGTTGATGAACCTTTATTTTATTCATTTATTTATATGCAGTGCTGAGAATTAAACCCGGTGCCTCACACATGCCAGGCAAGCACTCTGCCACTGAGCCCCAGCCCCAGCCCAGTAACACCTATATTTTAAAGGATCATTCTGGTTGGTTTTCGGGGAACGCAGCACACAGGGCAAGGACAGAGCAAGGAGAACTTTCAGGAGGCTACTACAAAGTCCTAGCAAAACAGGATGTTTGTACCAACTATCCTCTTAGTCCAAACCTTCTCAGTGAGGTCTTCCAGGCCACCCTATCCAAAATGGCCAAAACCTCCCTTTACCACCTACAAACTTCCTGTCCCCCCTTGTTCCCTAACCCCTTTTTTTTCTTACTTCATTTTTTCCTCCCTAGCTCTTGTTGCTGTCTAGCACAGCATATATTTCCCATTGATCTTATTTAATGTGAATCTTCCTGCTCAACCATATGCTCGATGAGGCAGAGGTCATGTCTGAGCTGTTCACCGCCACTGAATACAGTAGGTGCTCAGCACATATTGGCCAGATGGCTGCCCTGCGTTCTCCAGGAAACTTCTGACTTGGACACCTGCTCACACCTCGACTCATATGCCTGAGATGCCTCTCGAGTGCAGTGTGTGCAAGAGAGAATTCTGGGGTTCCCCTCCAGATCTGTCACCCTCCCCATCTCCGCAGTGACCCCCCGCCAGGCCCTGGTTGCTCATGCACATCCTCGCAGTCATCCTCAATACCTCTTCCTTCAACTCCAGCTCCCTGTCATCTCCAAGTCGGTTGACTGTGTCCCTAATGTGCCCTCGATGCATCTCCCTCTCTCTCCTGATGGAGCTCTGGAACCCACCCAGCCATCACCTTCCCCTGGACTCTCCCATGGCTTCTGGGGGTGGAGGCAGTCCTCCTGTCCCTTACACTCTTGCCCTGGCCCCTTGATATGTTCCCACAGTGGCCAGGGAAAACTGCAAATCCAACTGTGCCATCCCCCTCCTTCCCCTCTCTGTGGCCACGATGGCCGTCCTTCTGTCCTGACTGTGACCGTGGTGCTGGCTGCTTCCTCTGCCCAGGAGGCTCCCACACCAGACCCTCACGTGCCTGCCTCCTTCACCTGGCCCAGGTCTCAAGTCAGAGCCACCTCATCCCCAGAACTCCCGGACACCTCCCCGGCCTTCCCCAAGAACGCCTCTCCGCTGGAACTGGCCTGTCGGTGAACTTTCTCTTTTTGTGTGTTTGATACCAGGGATTGAACTCAGGGCACTCAACCACTGAGCCATGTCCCCAGCCCTATTTTTACATTTTATTTAGAGACAGGGTCTCGCTGAGGTGCTTTGGGCCTCGACATTGCTGAGGCTGGCTTTGAACTCCTGATCCTCCTGCCTCAGCCTCCCAAGTTTCTGGGACTACAGGCGTGCACCTCCGTGCCCAGCTGCAGTGAGCTTCCTGATGCTTAAAGCAGCTCCCAAGGTTGCCCCCCCACACCACACGGCCTGTTCCATCACAGGTCCAGGACGCCCTACCTCGGTGGCTGTCACCATCCGGTGCTTCCAATTGTGTGTGTTCCACGTCTGTCCCCTGAGAGTGCGGGGACGTGTCCCTCGCCTCCCACAGGGGACCGCCCCTGCCTATCTGTGGGGTAACAGAGGCACAATGGGGCCTTCGTCTTAGAAACGCCAGTGGCTCACCTGGCAAATGATGCCCCTCAGGAGGTGAAGGACGTGGGCGTTGATGATGCCGTACTCCAGCGTTTCAGGCATGATCTCCATCGCCTCCTTCATGTCGCTGGCCTCAGGGATTGACTCTAAACAGAACAGAGCCAGAGGTCAGATGGTGGGAGGGCAGCCGCAGCTACCATCCCCAGGTGTTCAGGAAACTCCTCCTGCTTCCCAAGGGACGCTTTAGTCACCGACTCCGACACACGCTGCTTCTCTCTGTGCTGAAGCAGATTCTGGGGCCCAGGTGGATCTGTCACATGCGCCAACCTGGCTGAGACACTGCTCTGCCCGCCTCCCCTCTGCCCAGCTATGCTTCCTCAGTCCCTGGCCAAAGTGGCTTCGGGGCATATGTGGTCTCTGTCCCCCTTCTGATGAGGCTTTATTAGGCAAATATTTGCTTTGCCCACCAAAGCCTGGTCCCCACAGTGGACAACATGAAGCTAAAGTGGCCTCTCCTCGAGGCTAGCTGAGGATGATGACTCACAGGACATAACCTTCTTTCCCCGGGGCTGCAGTGTCCACCCTTCGCCAGCCACTGTGTGCCCAATGTTCTTCGCCTGGACAGGGCGTTTTTAGGGGGGACATCATGAAGGCCCTGCACATGCTGCTTTTGGGGTGACCAACAGATTTTAGTGTGAAGGCAAACTTGCAAGGAGGAGTCCATGGATCACAAGACTCAACTGTACCAGTAAAGAGTGACATTCTCGTGAAAGGTCAGAAGAGGGCTGGGGAGGCCAGCATGCCTGAGGCCCCAGGTTCCTTCCCCAGCATGGAGGAACAGAGAGAGGAGTAACGTGTAAACAGACCCTCACGCATGTGCATGCACCACCGTGCACACACACACGTGCTCACGTGCACACACGTGCACACAGGCATACACACACACATACATGCGCATACATACACGAAACGTACCTTGTGTGTTTCTGAGAAAAAACAACACAGTCTGGTTCAGAAACTCCTCGGGAACCGGGGTGCAGAGCACCTGGAGATAGGTTTTCTCCACAAAGTGCTTCACCATCCTCTGAAACCGGGGACCAACAGTTGTCATGGCTGAGGTCCACCTGCCCACCACAGAACCCCCTGCCCAGGCCGCCCGAGTGCTGCCCGGCCACACAGTTGGCAGGCGCCTGGCACTTTTGCTAACCAGCCATCGCAGGAACACCTGGGGTTGCTGCCCTAAAAAGGGTCCCGACAGAGCTGGCTGGGCTGTCCACAGCACCAGCCAGACTGGACTTCCCTCTGAAGAAGCGCAGGTCAGGCTGAACACTCAGTCCTAGACTAAGCTCCACCCTTGGGACTTGTGCCGTGCAGGCCTCGCTTACCAGGCCTGTGCTGCCCAGACCCTACCTCTGAGGAAAGACAGTGTCCCTCTGAGGAAGGACAGGCCCTGACTGGCTCCCAGGAGATGAGCTCTGAGCCCCTGGAACATCCTGCCTGGTGGAAGGGTCTCTGTGGATCTGGGCCCAGGGCCAGGCCAGCAAGTCCAGCCATCATGGGGTTTGTGGTGGATGCCTGTGGCTGTCCGCCTAGGCCCTGGGCCACATGTTGCAGTCTGGCCTCTGGAGTGGGGGTGGGGCTGGAGGCTGACCGGGGCTGAGTGACCAAGGCCAGCCATATGGACACCCTGTGGCTATGTGACTGACCCCCAGTGATATCCTGGGCACCAGAGTTCAGGTGGGCCCATTGGCTTCAGGACATCTGGTGTGAGAAATGAGCACTGTCCACAGACTCCACAGGGCAAGGACAGCTGGGAGCAGGTGCCTGGCCTCTCCTGGACCCGCCTGTGCCCTTCTGCTTGGCCGACTCTAGGGCCACCCCTTCTCTGTGATGAGCCATAACTATGAGTAAAACAGCTTTACCAGTCACTGTGAGTCCTTCTAGCCACTGAGTCTAAGCGGGGTCTCGGGGACTCTTTAACCCCAGCCTACAATCTGGGTCCCAGGGCACTCCCACCTCACTGCCCTACCACTAGAACAGGAGCCATGCATACTTTGGTGGGGACATTTTCCAAATCTTCATCCTCTGTGCCGATAGCAGTAGCCAAGGACTCGCCACTCATCAGCAAATTCTTAACTGCAAAATACAATCCAACACATGAGATCAATTAGTCAGAAAACTAGGCTTCCTGCCACAAGACCAGCCGGCGTTTTTGTTCACAGCAGATTTCTTTCAGTGGACATGTTATCAAAAAGCCACACGTGTGTGTGTGTGTGTTTTAAATATTTTTTTAGACGTTGTTGGACCTTTATTTTATTTATTTATCTTTATGTGGTGCTGAGGATGGAACCCAGCGCCTCACACATGCTAGGCAAGTGCTCTACCATTGAGCCACAACCCTATGTGGTTTTTTTTTATATTTTTATTAGTTGTTGATGGATCTTTATTTTATTTACTTATTTATATGCAGTACTGAGAATTGAATCCAGTGCCTCCCACATGCTAGGCAAGAGTGCCACCACTAAGCTACAATCTTAGCCCCAATGTGTGTGTTTTTTTTAACCAATGAATCCTCTTACAAGTTCGACTTACATAACAACTGAGGAGAGGTGTACTTCATTAGAAATCAATATGTGCATGCACATGCGTGTCCCAACTACAGGGTCCAAGGTGTGATTCCCTGAGGCTTATATTTAAGAGAACTTTAGCCAACAGGTCAGTGGGTATGCCTTTTTCTCATAATGAGACTAAAACTCAATGGGGAGGGGAGTGAAAAGAAAGTAGTCTAAATAAAAAGAAGACCACTCTCCTGGGTCCACAGTGACCAAGGTCAGCTCAGAAACCTGGGAGTCTCAGTTCTGAGAGTTTCCAACAAGGCAGGACCTTGCAGAGTAGGAGAGATTCCCTTGAGAACCCTGATCCCTCTGTGAAAGGCCCGGGGCAGGGCCAGTGTGGCTTTGGAGTCAGCTCTCTGAATCCTGGTCCATAAAATGGAACCCTAACCTCTACTGGCCAGATTCTGGAGCCTCAGATGATAGCATAGTCCAGTGCCCAGCATGCACTACACAGGCTGGCAGAGGAAACTGTCTATAAGATAGCAACACCAACCTTATCAGGGCACTAGGAATGACCTACAATCAAAAATACATTGACTCACACCTGTAATCTCAGGGACTCAGGAGGCTGAGGCAGGAGGATCACAAGTTTGAAGCCAGCCTCAGCATTTTAGACTGTATCTCAAAATTAAAAAAAAAAATTCTTTAAGGGCTGGGATTGTGGCTCAATGGTAGAGCGTCCCTGGTTCAATTCCCAGTACTTAAAATAATAATAATTATATATATATATATATATATATATATATATATATATATATATATATATATACACACACACACACACACACACACACACACAGATACTCAATACATTTTAGAAAAAGCTAAAATGATGTTTCAGGTTCTAGATATTTTACCACAATAAAAATAAAGGGGGAGATAAATTTAAATGCTGACTGGGAAATGCTGGTGATTCACAGACTGAAATGGGCTTCGCCTCCTCAGCAGCCCCGGCCCAGGGTCCACTAGGACTGAAGACTCTGCTACGGCCCCTGGCCGCGGGCCCTGATCCTGGGGAAGCCCACCTTGCCCCACGTGTGTTATTAAGGCCCCGGGTTTCTGAGCGAGGCCCCCTCCTTGTCTTTGGAGGAGATCACATTTTAACAATAAATTCTCCTGAAAAAGTCAAGATGACTAAAGGAGACACCACAGAGGGCCAAAGTCCTCTCAGTCCTCTGTCTTCCCACGCCCGGGCGGCAGAGTGGCGGTGAAGTGGCGCTTCAGACCTGGGGTGCCGGCTTTCCTAGGGCAAGCAAACGTGATTGACAGCCCCGCCCCAGCCACGTGGCCTGCATCCGGGTTCTCAGCCTTCCCTCCCCCTCCCCGGGCGCGGGCAGGCTTCGTTGTGCCGCTGTCCCGTGCGTTTTAGGGGGTAAGGTAGCATCTCTGGCCTCTACCCGCCAGAGGCCAGGAGCACCCACTCACTACACCACACTCCTGACATTGCCCCACGTCCCCTAGGGGACAAAAATCCGTCCCAGTCAATAACCACAGCTATAGAGAACTGGGTCAGAGTGTGTTGCTCAAGTCGCAATATCACTGCAGCAGAAACCTCCGGAAGCCTGCCCGGGGTATAGAATGTCCTGCTGCCCCTGCCCCCACCCGGCCACAGCGCAGATTCTCTGAAAGGGCGGGCTGCTGTCGTTTGCACGAGGGAACACCTCCCCTGTGCCCTTCGTGATGCTGACAGAGACACTGCCAGTGTGAGAATGGTGCTTTTAAGTCTGAGCCGTGCTGGGTTGAACACTGTCCTCCAAAACTCCTGTCCACAGAGCCTGATCTTATTTGGAAAGAGGGTCTTGCCGATGGATAAGTTAAGCCGAGGGCCGGGGGGGAGGGCTGAATCCAGCACCTAGTAGTGCCTGTGTAAGAAGGGGGAGCCAGGCACACCAGAGGAGGTCCCAGGAGCAGAGACAGACCTCGCCCAGGGCCCAAGGGGGAGCCCGGCCCTGCCCACACCTTGATTTTTAACTTCGGCCTGCGGAACTGAGCAGGATGCATTTCTACTGTTTTCAACAGCCAAGGCCCCCTCCCTGCCCAGCACCGCACCTGGCCCTCTATCCACGGACCCACTCTGTTCTTCCTCCTCCTCATCTTCGGACAGGGCAGGCATCTGGTTGTCTTTAAAGCCACAGACATGGAAAAGGAAATACAAAACATATTTTTTTACTGCATGAAACTCCTGACACCTTTGCCCTCTGTGGAGTGGAGGGACTGGGATGTGCCCACCAGGAGCCTTGTGCACATTTCAGTGCAGCAAAAAAAAGTCCTGCAACTGGGGCTAGATTGGGGTTCAGGGAGGAAAGTTTGTGCTAACTCTGCCAAGAGATGAGGGATTTTTTTACTTGGTTATTTTTTACTTGAGAATGTCAGAGTTACCACCAGCCCCAAAGAAACACAAAACATAGAAGAGGCTCGTGGTTGTACAATATTATGAACATTTTTAGCAACACTGAACTGTATGCTTAAAAATGGTCACAAGAGCTGGGCACAGTGGTGAACACCTGTAACCCCAGAGGCTTGGGAGGCTGAGGCAGCCCCAGCAACTTAGCAAGACCCTGTCTAATAAAATACAAAAAGGGGCTGGGGATGTGTCTCAGTGGTTAAGTGCCCCTGGGTTCAATTCCCGGTACCAAGAAAGAAAAAAAAAAAAAAAAGTCACTAGAACCCAGGAAATGAATCTGCTTTTCACCTATTGCAGAGAAAAAAGATTAAATTGACACAACCCAGTGTCAATGAGACTGTTAGGAGATGGGAACCATGTCCACGGAAGCTGGGGTGGGACAGGCAAGGCCTCTGTGCAGGGTGGTTTGGCAGGACCCATCCAAATTGCAAATGCAATTCCATTCTTGGAAATCTATGCTGCAAAAATACCCAAGGCATGCAGAGGGGGGTGTTGCTGCTGCATTCTGGGTGGAATGGAACACTCTGTAAAACCCAATGTCCTCTAATCAGGGAATGGGTAATGAAATGTCCTTCAAATCTATAACTCTAATGGCCCCTGCAAGAGCAGATGCAGGGTGGGGCTTAGGGAACAGGAAGCTTGGTTTTGTCACTCTTCACTTTCTACACTTCTGCTGTGTGAATTTTTAAGAGACCAGGATTCTGGTGATACTGGTGTGGCTGTTTTTAAAGGTGAGCAGGTTGCTAACTGGTATGTGCAGTACAGCTGCTGACACTCTCCCCCACCCTCTGCCCTCCCCGAATCCATCTGTTTCCATTCGTGTCATTTTTAACTGGGAGCACAGCAAAGCTCTGACCAGAGAGATGCAGGATGAGAGAGAAAAAGGAAGGGGTTTTGCATACTGGTCCTGCTGCAAAGTCCTCTGGACACACCAGACACCCCCGGAAAGGATCCAATAAAATGGTTCAAGTCTCCTTGTGAATAAAGGCTTAATATGCAGAGGGTAAAGAGCAATATGGCCACTGCGTTGGAGAAGAGGTCCCTCTCCCACCTCTGGCCAGAAACCAACACATGAGGCAACTCTGGAACCTCAGAGGATCAGCAGCCTTGAGAGTCGCCAGGGACAGTATTCTCACATTCTCACCATATCTAGCAGGGAGGACAGCGGGCAGAGGGATCCAGAAACAGGTCACAGCTGTGAGGATTTCTGAGTGCCCTTTGGAGGGGCCAGAAATTAACAAGGGGTACCCTGTGAAGTGAGACTCAAAGCCCCTTCCACAGAGGACGGCACCTCCAGCCAGGAGTCAGCAGGTCTAAACATGCTGTAGAAGACACGGCAGAAAACAGCCGTTCTACCATTAACCCTCTCCGGTTGCAAGAAGCCAATGTCACACTCATTTTTCAAGGTCTTGGTGTATATTTTTTGAAGTATCAAGTTCCCTGACATTGAAGTATATGTTTAATAGTTCCTCCTGTGAAGTGTGTCCTTGTAGCTATGGTTTCACTTGGAGATAATAAGAATCTAAATTGGAAACCAGGTAAAACAAAGTAGTCGGTTGCAAAATTCTGCCTTGGAGGAAAAAAAGACTGGACGTTTTTAGATGCCAAAATATTATCAAGTGGTCATCTCTCCGAGTGCTACAAGCAACTTGTTATTGTTGTTTAGTTGTGGTTTTGGATTTCTCCATAATAAATACATGTATTATTTTGTGCAAACAAAGAATGAATATTTAAAATAAATGAATGGCCGGTGCCTTTATTTTAAAAAAATAATACAAATAAAAAAGTAAGTAGTTCTGCCTGGAACTGCACCTGTAAGAGGACTTGTGTGGGATCAGGAAGTCCTGTGGAGATGACTAGCACAGGAGGCGGATCACTCAGGCTCACAACTGTGTTCTGCGGTCCTGCCGAGTGTCCCCGGCACTCTTCCTGTACCCCATCTAACTCTGCACCAGCCTCCCTGCTCCCTGGTGTCCCTGGACCTATCTCAGAGTGGGCTGGACCAGCAATGGGATGGGTGGTCGACTGCCATGGAGGTTCTGGATCACTGTTTCGACCTGAACACTGAACCATTAGTGTCATTTTTAAATCCCGATTTGGAAGCATTACTTCTTAGCACTTCAGGTTCATGGAGAAGTAGAAAGGCGAGCTCGTCTCACCCTAGTGAGACGGGGTCAGGATGCCCTCAGGCCCTCCCGCCTGTCCACAACCTCCTACTGGACAGCAGCTCTTCGCCAGCTCTGTGCCTGCGGGCGAGGTGCTTAGCCCTCTCAGTGCCAGTCCTCCCATCTGTCGAGCGAGGGGCAGGGATGGCAGGACCCCCACCCGATAGGATTAATGAGTTGATAGGAGCGTTTGGAGCTATGCCGGTACACAGCAAGGGCTAAATAAGGGCTCGTTGCGGCTTTTCACGCCAGCTCCGCCTTTCGCAGCGGGCTGTAAACCCGCGCGGGCGGGGGCGGCGGTGCCCCTCCGGGTTGCCGTGCGCAGGCGCCGGTGTGACGCGCTGCGCAGGAGGGCGGCTCACCGATCTCCACCTCCACCTCCTCCGGCACCGCGGTGCGGTAGAAGAAGAGCGTGGCGGCGCCCTCCTCGTCGCTCATCTGGTTGAGGAAGTGCAGGATGACGTCCTCGGCCTCGCCATCGTCGCGGTTCAGCAGCTCCTCGAAGAGCTGGGGGTCAGTGATGCTGAAGGCCGAGTACACAAGGTCGCGCATCCACAGCACCCGCAGGTCGTCCATGGCGCTGTGCGGTGCACCCGGAGCCCAGCAAGACAGACCGAGTCAGAAGCCGGACGGGCGTCCGTGGCAACGGCTCCCCTAGCAACGGGCGCCCGGCAACGGCCGGCGCGAGGGCCGCACGGCCCCCCCCCCCAGCGCCCGGCCCGCGCTGCGACGGTGCGCCAGCCCCTTGGTGCACCTGGCCGAGCTTGGACAGTCCGGGTGGCAGGGCACCTGCAAGTCGAATGCCTGTTTTGTAGGTAAGAAAGCTGAGGCAAGAAACGTGTCAGGCGAGCTAAGGGGACATCTCGGAGGTGGCAGGACTCAACTCTAGGCCACTCCCACGGTGGACCCCTGGCACCAAAGGTAAAAATACACGGCGCAGAGCCCCCAAACCCGCCAGGTTCATTTGGGCATTTACGGTTAGGGAAAAGGGGCAGAGCTCTTTGGCTTTGCAGCCAACTAGGGCATAGTAAAGCAAGACACATCTTAAAAATATATATGTATTTATTTGTCATTAGCAAAAGGAAGTTCAATACTGATCGGAAGATGCAGATTTGCCCTTTCATGCATTTGTGGAGCAAAATACTAACTTGTTCATTGTCATTTCCCCTGGCAGGGAGCTAAGCCCCTGCATCACAGGGCTGACCGCAGGAACCTAGCCTTCTTGTTGATTTTTCCATCAAGGAACAGGTGGAATGTTCAAGGATTTCCTAAAATTCTAAACCAAAGCTCAGCCTCAATGGTCTGACTAGAAAAACTACTACACCAAACTGCCTTATGCCAGCATCTAAATAAGATTTCTTAATATCCTCCCTAGAGATACACCATGTGGTATACAAGCAAACATGCCTTTAAAACTTTAATACAGGAATTTATTGTTTTTAAAAGCAGACTGCAGAACTGCTGTTGGAGTTATTTTTTTGGTTTTGTTTTCCAAAATGGGTCAAACTCTTAAAAAGTCTGACTACTTAACTGATCAACAACGGTTACCTATGCTACCCAGAGTCTATGCCTTATTAAGCTATGGCAGATTGACCACTGAGGCCAGAATCTTGTAAAATAACCATCCCAAGTCCAGCACAGAGGTATGCACCTATAATCCCAGCTACATGGGAGACTGAGGCAGTAGATCACAAGTTTGAGGCCAGCCTGGACAACATAAGTGAGACCTTGTCTGGAAAAAAAAAATACGCACTCCAGCAATGAGGACAGCAGATAGGTCTTTTCAGAGTCCTCTCGAAGATGGAAAATCCACAGGGTTCAACCTCCTTCGCACTCCTTAAGTGACCATAAGCACTTCCCACCATTCAGGGTGAAATCATATTCTGTTTTACTAAAGAAGTCCCTTGGGTTTTTTATTTAGGACTCTTGTCAACACACTGCAGTAAACATCTGAATGGAAGTGGAATGATGTGACTGTTGTGACATTTTTCTCCAGAAAGATAAAACATATTTAGCATCAATCAGACAACTGACCATTTTTCCTCTGGATAATTTGCATCAAGGGAATAAAATATCTTGTAAAAATATACTCACAATTCTAGCACAGCTTTTTTAAACAGAACAAACAGCAGCCATTCTGGTAACATGACATGGAAACCAAGCAACTTATAAAGAAATAAAAGTTCTCCCGATATCTAAATTTCACCATTGTTAACTATATTTCCAAAGAGTTCTTTCACAAAAGTTAGGTTATTAATTTGTTTTTATATATATAATTACATTCTATATAAAAAGTACTACATAGAGTATCTTTGAAAAGCGATTCTCCACTCTTCATCCCATACCCTGAAAAGAGGTACTCATTGGAATTAAAAAGTGGCCCCATGACAGTTACTAGCTGGGGTAGTAAAAATTCCAGAAGATACTTCGTCCCTGGCTGACAGTGCCCTGAAGTCTTGGGATGAATTAGTTACCTCAGTCATTACCACAGATCCTTGGGGTACAGTAACAAACGGTTAAAGGACAAGGTACAAGGGAACGCAGCTCCAAGGGAAAAGCAATGGAACAGCACTGTTAGGGTTTCAGTTTCACCCAAAACAAGTGCCCAACATTACACTTTCCAGAGAAACAACTGAAGAGCAGGGTCATGTTCAGGAGTCTCATTAGCACTGTTTTATACTTGATAATTACCATATGAAGGACAAGCTGGCTTTGGGTAACACTTATCAAGCAGATGCATAGAGTCTTTACTATAATTTTTTAAAGGTTTAAACTTACAGTCATGGCTATGTCACATGATGTTCAGTTCATGACTCTCAGCAAACAGGCCATGAAATTACCTGAAAGATCCGCTTAAATTCAGTGCTCCCCTAATCCTGGCTTGTAATGAAAGGGCCACACCCTCTACCCTGAACAGGCTAGAGGAATACCAGGACAAACAAGCCTCTTAATGTGTCACTCAGTTTTAAGAATGTGAAAATATGTCAGATTTCTTTTTCAAAATAATTATCTAAAATCAATTGAGGTAAAATATGAAAAATCAGCATATTTACAAGGATATGGAATAGATCAAAATGTTCAACAGGAATGACTTGAATTCAGGCAAAATTAAATGTTAAGTGAATAGATGAATTTCAATTCAAGACTATAAATTAATGGCTTAATAATTGGTTTACAACTGATCTAAATAGTGTTTGAAAGTTTACCTTTACCCTTATCAGAACTTTATTTAAGAATTAGTCTGAAAGTAAAAATTTATACTATTCTCAAGGATAAGTGCAATCTCTTCATGGTAAAATATCTTAATTTATCTTTTTCTATAAAAATATACAACTATTACTTTTAACTCTTTCACTTGGTACAAACTCCTCTGGTTCAGTAACATCAGCCAGGCTGGTCACTGAGCTCAAACTGTACCCACATGCTGTCCTCCACAGCCACAGTGGGTTTAAGGCTCAATATTTAGTTGATCTTCCCAAACATACAATTACCATAATTGGTTTCCTGTAAGGATGGATAACAAGAGTCTTTTAAAAATATACAAATGGGATAACCATTTGTCGTGTGTTATTTTATCCCATTTCCCCAATTATTAAAACAAGATGAAATAGTAGAAATGATCCTCTACTGTTAATTCCAGATAGCAAACAATAAAAAATGTTTGCATATTTTTGATCAAGCAGAATAAGGTGAATCTTTTGATTATCCATCATTAAATTATTTAAAAAACTATGTTTTAACTTCAACTATTGGAAAATATTATCTGACAACTTCAGGTGACAGAATAAGCTCTGTATTTTTTAATAAGGTTTAAAAGGAATCAAGTATCTAAGACCATTTTCAATTAGCCATCCAAAATTGGCTTCTCTCCCCCGATCCTGTATTTTAAAAAATAACTTTAACATAACATTTGGCATGAACTTACACTTGCTCATAATAAAAACCAAAAAAAAATTATGTGTCTGAAATTGATAAACATTACAAAATATTTAACATATGAGGAAGAGGTATATCTTACAGAATTATTTGGCTACGTCATAAGGCAATCAATGAAGACAGAATTTTTCCTATCATAAATTTGACATATGTGAAATTCTATAACATGATATTCTCCATAAATCTGAAAGCTCATTGGTTATAGCAATATGATCATGCCACGTTGTCACCATCACTGAACTTCGATGAAAATAGACTGAATGAGAAAGGAACAAATTTGGTGCCTGCACCAACGTAGAATTTGTTCTGAAATTCTACCCTACAATAAAAAAATACATATATTAGTGGAAGATTGTGAAACAACATTTCTGTGTTCCTTAAAATAACATGTGTAAGTTAAAAAAAAAAAAAAAAGGTTCCTGTGTTAAAATCACTTCATTCCATACACATTCTTAGCATAGACATTTTTACTTGGAAGACACCCCTCCCTACGGTGCTGGCTTTCTAAGAGCAACTCTGACACACCCCACCACCTCCCAAGCTGCCAGATACACAGGGTCAAGCCAGATAACGGGAATCTCCTGTCCACTTAGGTCATGGATGCAGAGAAACAGTCGAACATACATACTATAAAACATTAAGAAATAAAAGGATTTTTTTTTTTTTTTAGTAGCAGGGGTTGAACTTGGGGGCACTTGGCCACTGAGCCACATCCCCAACCCTACTTTGTATTTTCTTTCGAGACAGGGTCCTATTTTGTATTTTATTTAGAGACAGGGTCTCTTTGAGTTGTTTAGCACCTTGTTTTTGCTGAGGCTGACTTTGAACTCTTAATCTTCCTGCCTCAGCCTCCCAAGAGGTTGGAATGACTGGTGGGCGCCACTGTGCCTGGCCATAAGACACTTTTTTTTTTTTTTTTAAATATTTTTAGTTGTAGATGGACACGATACTTTTATTATTTTTTATGTGGTGTTGAGGATCGAACCCAGTGCCCCACATACGCTAGGCAGGCGCTCTACCACTGAGCTACAACCCCTGCCCCAAAGAGGCTTTTATAATAAAGCAATCTGCTAGACTCTGAGGAGAATTAGAAGCCTGAATTATACATGATTAGTATACAGGCATAATTTGCTCTCACTTGCCAATAACAACATTTCAGAACCTACCAATAACATTTCAGAAAGAACTAAAATTTTAACTCAGAGGACCTCAGCCCAGACACTAAACACACGAAGAAAAGACTGGCCTGTGTTAGGCTTGAGATGGGTGGGTGGGAGGGGCTTCCCTCACTGGAGAATCAAGATTCTAAACAACAGCTCCTCAGCCACATCTCCAACTCACCAGTGGAGGCGTATGGCATGAAGAAATGCAGAAAGCCCTTCCATGATCAAGAGGATGAAAATTGTCAAAACTGCAAAGAGAGCAATCACCGGGAGCAGCAGCAAGACGCCGTAGGTGGTGTCCACTCGCAGGCCTACTCGCATCAGCATGGCCCACAGGACATCAGACAGCTCTGAAAAGGAATCATTTGGCAGGGTTCACTTTTTGTCAAAACAATAAAACTCTCTTACTGTTGGTTGCAAATGAAAATGAAAAGTAAATTCACTTTAAAAAGATTAGAAACGTTGAGTATTAAAGTGTTTTCTTTTTTTTTGAAGCGCACACACATATGCACACACACACCAGCCCCCTAAAGTCCATGGGTGCAGTGCT